TCATATCATATATTTTTTATTGTCCTTTTTTAAAGTTTCTTAATTTTTATCTTACCCATTTTATCGTACCTTCTTAAAGTTTCTTAGTTGTAATTTTCGTAATTATTTTTAGCTTTATAGATTAAACATTTTTATTATTGTAATTATTAATTGTCACTGAAAAGCCCTCTTAGGGAGTGTCAATAAAGTTTGTATTGTATTGTATCTTAAAAAACATTTTCGTATATGTCATACTCTTTTAAACAAATCAAACCGATCAATAAATATAATAAATATTTCTTTTACACTTAAGATTAAAAGATAAAAAGTCAATTACAATTCAAAATCAACTTTGTACAATTTTGATCTTGTCTCCATGTGGTGTCTGGTTCCAAATATTTTCAACAAACATTTCACATTTCATATTCTACTCTAAAAAAAAAGGAAATGCATTGTCAGTGCTTTCTGCTTACAAAGTCTTTGATATTTTAAAAAAAAAAAATGTTTCTGCACTGTTTGAAAATTTTCTTTTTCTTCAGTTTCCAGATCTCCTGTCAGTCAATCATATCAAAAGAAAATACAAACTCTGGTAAGTACCTGTAGCTTTAATTTACAATGTTTGGGGAGGGAGATTGAATGAGCAAGAACTGCTGAAAGGAAACAACCCCTTGTAATTTTTGTTACAAAATCTTTGTCTGGCCTCACCATACTAGATTACATCTACACAAAAAATATATTGCCATTTCTAAAATTCAAACCTTACTGACAAACGCAATTTCACTACTGTCACTGAAATCTTTGGTGGCTCCTCCCAACTTCTGCTGTCTGAACTGTGCTGAATGATTTGATTTGATTTGATTACTGCCCAATTGACAGTAGTCACAAGCTGCAAAGAGCTGCAGAACATTTGATTGACAGTACCAAAAAAACATTTGTTAGTTGAGTTATGAATTTTACAGTCCACATGTTATTAAAAGGTGCAGTAACTTATTGTGATCAACATTTCATGTCTAACTTCAGTTTTTATTTCCTCTTTCTTAGATAATCACCGTGGCTACATTCAGAATTTGAGTCCTATAAAACGCTCACGAAATCAAAATCAGTGGTATGATTTTGATTTACAAACCAGCCCATCAAAATTGAGACGAGTTGTAGGATTTAATATCGCAAACCACCCCATGCTACAAGAACATGAAGCATCAAAAACAGCTGTAACCCTCAAAAACACAAAGCAAAACAGCAATAATGACATCATATTCAACCAGCAATCAACAGTAAGGGTAACACCAACCTTTGATATTGATTTTGATTACAAACCCATCAACAAATCCCAAAAGACTGAGCCCTCAACTCAGCCTGCCACGAAGATTACGCTTGAGGAGCTCCCCACACTCCAAGTCAATCAGAAAGTAAATGTCACTGCTTCCATTTCACTGGGAAATGAAACCCCTAAACCTGTTCAATTGAAATCCTCAAGTGAAATGACGACTGTAAAGGAAGACTGTGTCCTGAAGGATGAAACTGGAACTGCTACTATTCATATATGGGATCTACTTTTCAAGAACATCAAAACTGGCACCACATATGAGTTTGAAAACCTTACTGTAAAGCACTTCCAAGGGATCACTCATCTGGGAACAACCCCTACAACAACGTTTAAACAAGCCAATCAACAGCTGAAACCTATCAATGGCCCTGCATTACTTGAAAATCCAGAGAAAGAAGCAAAAGTAGAGAGCTTCAAAATGATCAACAAACTAAGCATTTTCATCAACTGCAAAGCATGCAAACGTAAAATTAATGAAATCTCCCAACAGAACACACTCAATGTAAAAACTGTGGAGTCCGACAAAGAAAGATGCAATGCAAACGAGATGCATCTGTTCAACTACTTGTACATTTGGATGAAAAAGACATTTGGTTAACAGCATTTACAGATGTCTTGGAGTCCCTCTTCGCCACCCACCCGACAATCTCATTACTTAGTGACTCGGACACAATTGAAGAACTACTTATGGATCTTCAAGACATAGAATTCAAATATAATGTCAACAGAAAAGTGATCACTGAAATATCATCATCTTCACTGTCAAGTTAAACTGTCGTACAGTACAGAATTAACAAAGCCAGACCACCAACTAAAATATTTATTTACAACACTTAAGTATCAAGACTTTAACAAATTTTCATTACCATGTTCTGATTCAATGTTACGTTACCTGCTATTTGAAAGCATACATACGAAACAAGTTAATCTTATTTCTTACCATGCTAGTGATGTTCAAGATGTTACATTAATAGCAGAAAACCATTCACATTGGTTTTCACGTTCAAGTTCAAATGCTTTTTTTAAGATTACTAAGTTTGCAAAGACTAGTGCATGTATGTTTCTGTTCACAAACATTGTACTAACCACAACCCCTTCTATATGCTTCAATCAACATATTGTAACTGAAAAATTCAGTGTTGTTTTTTATGCTCTTTCAAAGCAACAGTTACACAATACAACACAATTCATATTCTTTGTTATGTTATTGTTTATAATGTTACATTAATAACAAGAACTATTCACATCCTTTCACATGTTCAAGTTATTAAATGACTTGGTTAATATTACCAAGCCCTTAAAACCTTAGTACAGTTTCCATGTTATTCTTATCAAAAACCCTTTTATCAATTGAAAAAAACTATGCCTCAGCATAAATCCCCTTATCAAACCACAAATTGATCACTCGTTGGTACTCTATCGATAGGTATACTTAGTAATTACGTACTCTGGGAGCTCGAAAACAAGTTAACGTAACGTTATTGTATCAAAAAATTACAACTTTGTTGCGGATAAAACCGAGAGAAGGTTTAAAACGCCTGAAAAATGTTTTTCGATTCATTTGAAATAAATCTCATGAACCACTACCAGAAAAGAAACGACATCGCAGGTCAGTCAGTTTAAGTCGAGTAAGTAAAGTTTGGCTCACATTTGATCCACCAAAGAAGAAACAATAACTTTCAACATACTAGAGAAACGTAAACACAGAATAAAGTGGGTGTAATAAACTAGAAAAGGTCGCAAAGTCAAACGGCAAACAAAAATGGCGTCAACACAAACGGATCAAGAGTAGATCAGTTCCAACGAAGTTTGAGGACGCGTGGTTCACAGCAGTTAGGCTACATTTCTTTGAAATATTTCTGCAACGTTCACTTTCTTCCTACTCTTCACGATTTATGAAAACAAAGCATTATACTCACAACATTTTCGCGCGGATCCGACGATTCATCCGGCCTCCACAAAGTTTGAGCTTTCGTGAAATACAAATTGTACTGTGTCACATAATGATGGCGTGACCACCCTGCGTGCGCATGCTTGCGCTTCCCATGCGCTATGTCGAGGCCGTGTAACGAAGGCTCTGTATGGGCCCGCAAACCCAGTTCTTTGTAAGGGCAGGTTGTAACATGTCAGAAAAAATCCCAGAAGATAGGGGATTTCACTGTTTCCTATCCGTACAAGAATTTGCCAATAGATGAACATACATAGAGAGATCGCCAGAAGCTTGCCTTAATATGATGGATTACTGACGCCATTTCATTTATGACTCGGGAGTACTGGAGCGGAGCAATGACAAGATTGATGGCGAGCTAAAACTATTGCTGATATCCCAGTAAAAATAGGATTTTTATATATCTTCAATGATCGCCGATCATCGCAGAAATCTAAGACGCGTCGGGGAAATAGAAACGCTCCTGATTTTCCCGATTTGTCATCGACCGTCTCAGAGACACATGCCGCATTCACACCTAAGCTTAAACATGTTTAAAAGTTGTTTTGTTAAACACAGCTTAATTTTTTTTTTCTTTTTAGAAACTATTTAACCGAATATTTTTGACTTGAATGTAGCACATTGGAAATGCAAGTTAGCAAGTACTTGAATCCAATGGAAAATCAAGTTTTTCAGTGCTCTGTTTATAATTTTCATTCAATGAAAACCAGTTTAACAAAACATGTTTTGCTGGTGTGAATGGGGTAACAGACAGTCAAGTTAATAATATTATCAGTCAGAAAACTCTGGGAATGTCGGAAACTGTGAAATGTACGACCATCTAGGGTCTTCCCGTTACATGAAAACTAGCCTTAAGGCTATGTAGGGTTGTGTCGGGGTATACACAACTGTGTAGGGTCATAGAGGGCTATCTATGGCCGTCAGGTAAAGCTGTTTGTGACCGTGTGAAGCTGTTTAGTAATGTATTGTGTCAAATGTGACTATGTGGAGATGTATGTGACAGTCCACGACTGCGAAGGGCCTAATGTGGCTATGTATGGCTGTTCAGGGCTATGTGAGACTATTCAAAGCTGCATACGGCTATGTCTGGCTAAGTAAGGCGGTTTAGGACTGTGTTAGGTTGTTCAGTAAGGGCCGTGTGGGGTTTAGTATGACTGTGTAGGGCTTTATAGGGCTATTTATGGATGTTTGGAGCTACGTAGGTTTGTGTTTAGTGGTGTGAGGCTGTGTAAGGCGATAAAGGAGTGTGTATAGGTGTGTGCGCCCACGTAGGGCTATGAAGGGGTTGTGAGAGAGAGCTCTGATTGGCTGTTTGTGGCCTTGCGAGGGTTTTTTCGGAGTTTCACTAACCTCTTTCCATAAGCGGCTGCTGATGGTATAAGCTTGTGTCTGGGTAGTTTGGTGAAACCCGAACACGAGAGCCTGCCTGGTAGCTTAACCCTTTCCACCCTAACATCAGTTTACGTATTCTCCATACTGTTCTCCGTACATTTCCTCAGGTGCTGACAAGGAGAACTTGTTTTACAATCAAGAGCTTCTTCAGCAGTCGATCATTTTCTTTAAACTCATGACCTTAATGTGTGATACGGGGCTGATATTGTAAGGATAAATTAGATGCTGACCACCCTTCGGGGTTAGAAGGTTAAAAGGAGGTAGTAAGAGGTCTCATAGGTGGCGGCAGACCGCCGGTAACTGTCTTTATATAAAACCTCTGAGAATGTTTATCGTTCATGTTAGCTAACTTGACACGATATGAAAGAATATACCGCTGACATGCACCTGACATAACTCAGGGCTCTCGGAAAGAGATTATAAACAAGTTTTGATCTCTTGCTCTTGGTTTATAGGAGGGTCAACAAACACATGAAAGTCCAATAAAAATTCACTCTCCGCGAAGTGCAAAATAACACTTTACTTACACAAAAACACCCAACGAATATACGAATATACAAAGCTCAATTTACAATAGGATTTCCTAGTGCTTTACCTTCTTTTAAAATTATTCTAGAATCCTATAACTGAGTCATAGTTGTTTATCTTTCCTGATCCTGACCAACGTTGAAGCGTAATTCAATTTTTCTCTCATTATATGCTTAAATAATGATTATCTCAACCTCTTTTATTCCGTGACGCAAGAAAATATGAAGAACAGCCTCCATACTGGAGTACGTTGTACTAACCAACCTTAAACAGTCTAAAAATAACTAGCTTACTAGATAACTGTGAGTGATTAACCATCAAGGCTATTAAAAACTGCGATATTCTTAAAGGAGACTAACACGGGCTTTTGGATGAAGGTATATCATTTGCTGAAACGCTACGTGGCGTGGATGAATGACACTGAATAAAACAACTGCTGGTTTACAATGTTTTCTTCACGGGCGAGGGGAGTCATAATTTTGAAGTTCTACACAAGGGGGCTTATTGGCGAGGGGCGTAATAGGGAGGGGCATTTAGAGGCGAACGGGGCCTATCAAGGAGAGGGCTTATTAGAGAGGGGCCTGGTAGGGGGCCTAGTATGGAGGCTTGTCAGAAAAGGGTTAAAGACATTAAAGAACATTTTTCAAGGGAAACAGAACAATGCATACTCTGGTTTAATACGTGAAGCTGTTGTTTAATGCATAGTAAGTGAAACTGTTGTTTGATGCATAGTAAGTCAAACTGTTATGTGATACATAAGAAGTCAAACTGTTGTTTCATACAGTAATCTCTCTTTTCCTAAGGAGGAACTAGATCTTAAAATTGGTGAAGGCGTTCTGCTATTGTCAATATTCAGTTCCTGTAACGGACTTTCAACTTTGACTTTCGGTAACATATCTAGTAGGTCGTCATCATCGCTGAGTTTGTGTCTCAAAAAGAATGACTGGCGCGCCACTTCATATAGGTTTGTCGCCAAATGTTTGCTTGTGTGTTCCACCATTTGCGAAAACAGACTGTCCTCTTTCTGGAGCAAAAGGTAAGGTTCGTCAAACTCGACAAGTCTCCCCTCGTCAAGTACCTACGATTAAAGTGAAAAACACAACAAAAGTAAGCAAAAAGTGAAAGTTTATTATGTGTGCTGGTCAATGAATATGTTAGGCGAATACCCTTAAAACTCCTGTAAGCAAAGAGATGCAAAATTTTGAGCTTGAGAATTGAGTAGAGTAAGATGCTAGGTATTTGTCAACAGTGAGGAACAAAGAAAAAATCCGAGTACCCGGTGGGAATAAGAGCCCGACACCTTCCAATATACGTTTGAAATCAAACGGCAAAGAGTTCATCTTATCTCAGCCAAAAAACAACGTTTATAAACATATGGCTAATTCGTTCTTCTTTCAAAGGGGTCTGTAGCATGCGATACAGACAGCTGAGAAAGGAACAACTAGAGGCGAACAAGACAGGAAGTTAAAGGCTGAAGCGGCAAGGTCTCCGCCTGTCCGCCTCATAAAAACTTCAACCACGAAGAGAAGAGAGACGTTTAACTTCGAAACATAGCCAAAATGAGAGATGGCATCAATCACAAGGACGTACTGCCTATCCAAACACTGATCACGCAACTTCATACAGAGCATATTGTGCACTCAAACTTACCATTACTCTGTCAGAGTCCATGATGGTGTTAAGTCTGTGAGCAATAGTGAGCACTGTGCAGCTTTGGAACTTGCTGCGAATCGTTTCCTGAATCAAAGCGTCCGTGCTAACGAAAAATTTTTTAAAAAATTAGTTACGCAAATGAAACAAAGAGACGTTTGTGGTCTTTCGTTCCAGGATTTATTGTTGGCATGTGCAATGAAGCAAAGATTTATTTAAGGGGCTACAATAAACCCTGGTTGTCCAATTTTAAACCCTAAGAAAGAATTTCCACAGAAAGTCATTTGCAATATACGCTATTCTTTGCTTTCTCAACCGTCAAGGGTTTCATTAGCTTAAAAGCCAGCACAACGCACTCCGCAGAATTCATTTGTTGTTATTATCATTATTTTTTTTTCCAATTAGTTTTTGGCACTTTTGAAGTATGCATATACTGCAGCATTATGGAGCTAGTCGCAGTTTACACTGCTAGTGCAATAAACTAATCACGCAGCGAGAAATAAGTTATCTGAGCCGGAGTACGAAACGTTAGTCTGGTTTCTTCGTGTGTTCAGGATTGTCCCATAATTCCATTTAAAATAACAAAAATACATACGTGTGATCTACATTCGCTGTTGCTTCGTCAATGATAAGTATTTTGTTGTGCTTCAGGACCGCGCGCGCTAGACATACAAGTTGCCGCTGTCCAACGCTGAAATTCGAGCCTCCCTCCGTTAGTTTAGTGTTCAGACCATCAGGCAATTCAGTAACTGTTTCCTTGAGTTGCACCTGGGAAGGAGACATGAGACATGCGACAACACAGACTTTTAGTTCACGCAACTGTTTCCTTTCACTAGAAATATAATTCTCAGATTTGTATTTTATTTCCATGCTTTTATTTTCAGTCTTTGTTTCCTTACAAAATACCTCTTCTAAGGCATTCCAAACTTCCGTATCATTGTATTGATTAAAAGGATCCAAATTTTTCCGCAGACTTCCGCTAAATAGGATGGGGTCCTTGATAAAAGAAAAAAATATATTGACATAGGTAAGAAATATAACTTAATACAAGAAAAAGAAAGAAAAAACAGTCTGGTTCCGAGGCCACTGAAAAAAATATTAAAAAATTCACTTAAAATGTTACCATCAATCTCAGCAAACCACGAACACGTCCAAATGTCCGAAATTATTTTTTCGTGTAACCATTGACATTCGAAATTAGGAGATGTGAGCAAATTTCGTAGTCCCAAACTAACCAGTGCTACTGTGTACAGTTAAGTTTTCTCTCGATTAAGTCGTTCTTCTCGACACAGAGTAATTCCCAAAATATTTCTAAATTTCAAAGAAATTTCAAAGAAATTTCAAAGAAAAAAATCCACATTGGTGGAAAGTGCCGTCGAGTTTTTGAAGCGCAGTTGATTGGTTGAATTTGGTTATCAGTCATTATACACCCAAAATATTTTATCCTGAGGTACGTGGAGTACATTTCCTTGCCAATGTTGTTTACTTGGACGACCAAAAAAAGAGCTGCTTCACATTTGTAGGGATTTAAAATTAAACAAAGAAGGAGATGCTGCCATTCGTCATCTCACATGTAAGCCCATAGGTGATTCTTTCACGAAATAGGCAACATTTCCCACATTTTCCCAGACTCTTATTTGACTTAGGATTGCGTTACCTGTGGAATTATGGATAGGCTGCTTCTCAAGTCACGTAATGAAACATCCGTGATGGGAACAGCGTCTATACGAACTGTGCCTTCTGGTTCAGCCATCCTGAATAACGCAGCCATTAATGATGATTTACCAGCTCCAGTTCTGCCCACAACACCGACCTCGGAGAACAAAATAAAACCAAACAAGAAAACAGACGTCACTTTGAAACACAATCTCACGTTCTTTTCGGCCCTTGGTTTCAAGTCAGAATGTTCCATTTTCACTCACACACCGTAGACTGTTTACCATAAACGCCTTGCCAAGTCTCTTTTCCGTCTTACTCTCCTATATGTAAGAACTTTAAGATAGAAACCCGGCGCAAAACAGAATGCTATAAAAACGCTATGTAAAGGGCGATCCGTAGACGGCAAGTAAATCGTTTAAGCTGATGGTAGCGTCCCAGTTCAAAATACTCTTCCATTTGAATGCCTGCCCTTTTGGTTTCTGTTTTAAACTCTCCAGGGTTTTCAACCACAGAAATACGATGATCATTGAGGAGGGGCGGAAGATTGAAGGATGTTGCCTCCCCCTCCCTCCATCCTCTCTTAAAAGCCTCTGTCTCAAAACCTTAGAAAACAATCGACCCATGAGGATTTACAGCAGTCATACTGTGGCGTAAAAGGCGACATTGCGCAATTTAGCAAAACTGCTTCTAAACCATCTTCTCTTTAGCCAAGCCATTTTCCAACCGTAAAGATTTTCTTTAACTGAAGTTTCGTGCATTAGCCTTTTGTCAGAGCGAATGAACAAAGGGTTGACGACAAGCTAACCCCAAAGCGTCAGCTCTAGAAACTCTTTGCAGTGGCCAATACACATTATCAACTCATGAAAAAAAAAAAAAATCATCCCGATCTCTCTACACGTTGACTTTTACTAGCAAGGTCAAGGCAGCCTTTTGGTAACACTGGAAATCACTTGTTTTCTCAAAACATTTCAAAGAAATATTGAGATCCGCTGATTGCCTAATAACCTCGCGCTAAGTAAGACTTCATTTACTTAAGTGAGTTAAAGTGTTAGTCTTGTGCATGGTGATTGCTGTATTCTTACCTACATGATCAGCGCCATATTTCAAACAACAGGCAGGGTTTTCCATAGATATGAGACAAATATAAAAATGTGAAACGCCTGCCTCCCACAGTGTACTGATGAGTTGCGCGAACACTCTCCTAAACGACTGGCGACGAGAATGAACACGAGTAGAAAAAAAGAGGAGACGAATTTCCATTTCGCCTTGAAGCGCTAATTTTTTTCCCTCACTCATTAAGAGACTTCTGGGCACGAAGCAGTTGAAAAAATATTTGGAAATAAACGTACCTTTTCTTGCGCCCGTATGCACAAGTTTAATTTCTTTAAGACTTGAGGCATTGTGTGATGATGTCTGTAGTAAAAGCTCTCAAATGTAATTATCCCATACTGAGGCCAACTGCCTGGTACTGAAACAGTTTTGTCGTGGGATTGGGTTTCCTGTTCCAACTTTGAGTACTCTATAACACGCTCCACTGAAGTCATCTGAAGGACAATAGGAAAAAGGGTCAGACTTGTAAGACAACAAATGAATTCCATTTCAAGGTATCCGGATAAATTACAACCGGTAGAGAGGCTCTTTCTTTGGCAATACGGGGTACTAAAGTTGGAATTCGTGACAAGCCTCTTTGTGCTATCGACAGGCGAACCAAAATTATTCCTTTTTTTTCCCCTCCTTCTCACAGGACGAATGACACTTGTCACATAAAAACGAGTTCTCTACGGATCAGCGGCAGAGCATCCTTGTATGAAGTTGGAAACTTTGAAGATGGGGACTCACAACTGTACAATTTCTTACACTCGTGCGTTATCAAAATAACATAATTAAAAGAGAAGGGTGCTCCATAAACCACATCATTTTTATCTCCACCATTCAAAAGGACTAGCAAGTTAGAAGCTAACTACCTACTGCGATTTGTTATCAAAATGTGTAACATGTCTTTTCGTTTAAAATTTCAATACCCAGTAGAGGACCAGTCACTCTCTATCACCTGGGGCGGTGGAAGATTTTGGGGGGCATCAGGTAGTATTGAGAGTAAGGGGAAGGGGGGATCAGTCGTCACCAAAAGAAAATAAAGGGGGGGGGGTTTTAGAAAACTGACTGCAGATTCACTGCCTAAGGGGGGGAATAAGAATTTTACAGATCCTTGTAGGAAGATCAGGTAAATTTTATTGTGACACAAATAAAATTCTCCGACCCCCCCGGGCGATGAATAACTACCGGTGACTGTTCCCTTAGGGGAACCAATCTCATCTGTACCTCGTATGGCAGAGAAAACAACATAGGATTTCTGAAGCATACGTCTTCTGAAAAAGACACTAGTTAAAAATGATAAAATTGTGCCACATACGAGATTTTCCACTTCAGCACTCTGTCGCACACACCATTGAAACCCTCCTGTTAACATCTTGGCGTAAGTCAGGGTTAGGCCGACTATTCCTGCAGACATACCTAGGAAAGAATATTGAAATGCTGGAACTGCAATTCAGGAACACATTTCCACAAGAACACGCCAGAGATGCAGAGATATATGAGCATAAACTTTGTGATTTACACGGGAATCAATGCAGCTCTAAGTGAAACCGTAAAAAGTAACTTTTGAAATGAAAAGTAGAAACTTAAAGGTACCAGCCATTTTTTTACCTGTTTTCCCATCAAACTCCAAATAAATCACAGTAACAAGAAAGGCGTCAACCAATAGCGAGACACTAGTGAATTATGTTGACCTATAGAAGCCTTCAAAGGATTCGGATGCTTCTAACTTAACATCGTAAGATGTTTGTAGGGAAATACAAGGGTAACAATGTATCAAGGTATAAAAAAGGTTTGGTTCAGAACTGCTCGCCAGACTTGGACGGTGTTTCAGATTGGTGAAAAAAATTTAATAAAGGGTTCGTTCAACCTGTTTCACGCGTGCCATTAAAAGGTAACGGCGCCAGCTTATTTAAATGTTGAATTGAGGAAGATTAAGAGTTTGTCTAAAACCCCAAACAACAAACAAAACGTTTCGCCAAGGGAAAAAAGGAAATTTCCAATATTCACAGGACCAACGGCGAAGCTATGTAGTGACTGGAAAACCAGAGAATCTCCACCTCCAACAGAAAATTCACTTACGAATTCCACCTTCAGCCAGAAAAAGTGGACTAAATGCTGCTGAGGCAATAAACACTGTGCATATGAAGTCGAGCCTGGCTCCAAGCCACCGCGATCCAGTCATGAACAGGAACCAAGCAGCCGTATGGTTATCTTGGTACACATCATATTGATTCTTGAATCGATTTTCTGCTCTGTAAGCTCGGATGGTGGTCAGGCCTTGAAGACTGGTGGATATGTGGGAATAAAATGGACTCCGGTCTAAAGAGGAAACAGAAATCGAAATGCAATTCAATAAAATGGAACATCGTAGTAGATAACATTCGTTTGTCACAAGCGTGGAGCAATTCAAACAACTACGCCTCCACACTTGATCGAACGCCGAACCTCGCGGTGCAGTGCTCTACCTCAGAGATACAGAAAACTCTTTGATGAGATAGACCAGGTTTATCTGTGTCACAATATCGTCCGTACGTTCCCCCTCCTCCCACCCCCCGCACCGCAACCCCTTGAAAAAAAATGACGATTCCCAGTAATCCAAAGATACCATTACCCTGTTCCCTGTAATTCTATTTTTATATGGCGCAACGGGTATGAAAGTAATCTTAAAAACAATTGGTTCACTCATTGTCTGGAACTTAAGGTTTCTCCGTACCTAACCTCTACGGAAGAACTCTTTCCTTGATCTTCTACAATTTCGTTTCGATACTTTCCTATCATTGTTAAACGTTATTTTCAAATATCGTGAACATTCAGCCCCTCTCTATATACATTGGCTTTGCGCGAAAGAAGACAAGTCGCAACTTACTCATTGCTTCGATACGTTTAACTTCCCTGGCGGTCTTTAAGTAGTAGTGACGTATGAACAGAAACAGAAGCACGATGGGTATAGCTGCTGCCAGCAAGTATGGCACAAACACCACATTCAGCATGAGGACTGCAAATGCCTGCAGCATCAGCTATGTGGTGAATATAAAATAAGGTGTAAATGAGTCACGCAATTAACGAATTTGAAGAGTTGTCATCGGGGCTATCAAATATCCCAAATCATCCCCTGGTTGGTGAAATCACCCGCCTAGACAGGTGTCCAGAATTCTACCATACTTTTTTAATAGAAGAATAAACCGACAAACACAACTTAGTCTAGGTATTGAAGAGGTTAAGTGAAATTCATTACCGTGTTTTTGGAGGGGTGGATCCGTTGAAAACTGTGGGTAGTTTCAAGAAAGCCTTTTGACAAAAATTTACCACGGAAAATAACACGTAAACGCACCTGACGGCACCTACCCGAGAGTAATCATAAAATGTGTAAGGTAGAAGATCATCCATCTGACCAATGTCTTTTGAAAACCTGTTTAACACTTGTCCTGAAACGAAAAGGAAATCAATTTATAACTTAATAGGCCCCCCTTCAAACCAGCTTGCAGCTGAACTCGGCCAGCCTGGTCAGATTTTGCCAATAAATAAATAAATAAATAAAAAGAAAAAGGATACAAAACAAAACTTCTGTTCAAAATAACTTATTGTATCATAACGGTTTTCGTCCGAGTGTTGTACGGCCAATCAGAAGAAGGAAAAATATCACAAGGAGCCGATAACAACTTTGACTTACAACGAGCAACCAGCCTAACATGTTTCAAAAACCACTGCCGAAATCTTACGCCGTCGATTTCAAATTGGAGAAGAGTACAAAAACCCCCTTGATATTAAATCAAATGAGTGGTATCTACATAACAATTTAGACTGATTTTCCTTCCCTATCGAAGACTACGCACTTTGCTTCGTTTTAGGGCAGAGGCTTTGGGCATCTCGGAAAAATTTTCTTCGTTCCGTTTCCCTTCTGAGAAGGTTACTAACTTGACCAATCAAAGAGCGCAGTGAAGCAAGACCAATGAAATTATAAACTACACTGACGAACTAGGAGTAGTTTACTATGACATCAGGACTACACTTTTTTGCACTTGATTGGCAACGACTTCAGTTTTTCAAGTGTCCATACCGCTATCTTGTTGGCATAAGATATGGTACTTTAACAAAAGCCATTTCCATTTCAAGCATTAAATAACCAGAATGACTGAAAAGAAAGTACAAACATTATTTATCATCCAGCTTTTCAAAAAACACTTACCAACAGGATTTGTATCAAAAAAATATATTGTCGCGCCAAGAAGCTTCCTGAACATGTTATTATGAAGGTTCTGTGATGCAGACACAGCAATAAAGAGGAAGGCACCTGCACTTGCATATGCTAGAATGAATGTACCAACCACGAGGCCAGCATATATAGAAATGTTCTGTTTCCTGAATTTATCAAGGTCCTCCGCCTGAATTGTTGAGTTACTTGGAAGAATTTCGGCTTCGAAGGCGCGTCTTTCCTCTTCATCCGCCCTGAAATTTGACATGCACCAACACAGACTCAAACGAGAATATCTTCTTTTGATTAAATATTGCGATCTTCCTCAAGAAGCTAATTTTGAAGATAACCATATAGTGACTTCTACTGGTCACTAACTCTCGCCGACAAGAGTATATATTAGGACAAGCCTACTTCAAAGTAGCACACCATACGATTGACTATTCATCCTGGTTTCAAACCGTCTCTATAAGTAAAGTACATGTAATAACGAAGTGTAATGGTAGGAACTCAACTCTCAACATGTTCATCGAGAAGTTTTGAATCGAGTGTTAAAAGACCAAAAACAAAGTAATCCCAGCAACCAATCACAACAAAGGTTTACATTATCATCAGCCAATGAGAGCTTAAAGCGAAAACAAGCACACTGCTTGAAGCGCGGGAGAGCTCGATTGGACCTAATCGCCATTTTTTAACAGTTTTTTATCTGATTGGTCGAGACGATGGAACGAGTTTTCTGGACCAATCACAGAGCAAAGTTAAGTAAAACGAAAGCAATCCCAGATTGATTTCAACACTCAATTGAAAATTGCTCTGAATGTCCGGAACAACAAGTTTTTTTTACTGAACATTCAGGAAACGTCATCACGTACAACAACTTAGATGCTATTGAATTTATTTAGTTCAACACTTCATTCAGTCTTTTTGATAATTTTTTTGATGGAATGAAATGCGCAGTCTCTAAGAAAGCGGTAAAACCAACGTGACTGTGGTTAACACCCGTCTCATGACGTTATGACAATTTGGGACAGACCAATAACTTTCTGAATATTTGTACGTAATAAAAGAATTTCAAATAAAAACAGGACCTTACCAATGAGCGAGCCACCATTCTGAAAGCATGACTACTGCCTAAAAGTTGAAAAAAGATTGTTATCAATTGTCCTAAGGAATGGGTATGAATATGTTCAACTATTCCTCCACGGGAAAGAAGAAACCTCCAAAACTTTCCTCAGTTGGTAGTATCTGGTAGTCATGGATTCGAACCACGTTGAAGCCTGACTTCGAAGCTCGTCTGCTGTTTACAGACTTTATAACGGAAAAGGTTTTTCGATACTTTTAAAAACAGCATGAAGGGGTACGTCTTGAAGAGTCAAAATAAAGACACCATATGACTATGTGGGAAATCCTTCACTTAATAAGTCTATTCAGTGGAATTTGCTAAATAATCACCTCATCCCTCAATTTTGCAAATAATGGGCTGCGTCATTATCCAACAAGTTAACCTCAAGTCCTGCCCAACTCAATTGACAAGAAATATTAAGGTTTATATCTAAGACGTAATTAGTCTATCTACCTGAGTGCAAATGACAAGTAGCACGAGGATCAGTCCCTTAAGAAATCCAGCTCCCGCCCTCCAGTAATCAAAGTACACTTTCCAAGTCACTGTCCCAGTATGGCGATCTTCTTTTACTGCGGCTTTTGTTTCAGATGAATTCTGTTAACAAAAACAGTAACAAGTAAGTTAAAACTCAGGGTGGGTCACTGTTTTGTGTTCTTTGGAAAGACATCTAACATAACTTATAACTATACCTACTAATGGTAGGAGGGACAGTGGCTTAATGGTCAATGCGCTGGACTCTTGGATAAGTCTGGGTTTGAGACCTGGCGGGTCAATGTGTTATTTTCTTCAGTAAAACGTGTCATCACTTATTGCAGTGCCTCTCTTCGACCCAGGAGTACAAATGAGTACTGGTAAATTGCCAGGGAAGCCCGATAAAAATCTGGGGAGTATCCTTGCAATGGACTGGCATTCACTGAGGAGTAGTAACACATGTACTCCTTGTCGCTTCATGCGATGGAAACTGGGATAAACTTTGGCTAGACAGGCCACTTGGCTCGAGTACAGACTTTGCTTAACAACCTTTACCTATACCTGCTGATGTTTGGGTTAAATCTTCCAGTTGTATATAAGTATATTACTTTTCTTGTGTTCATTGCATGACAAAATAGTGCAGTCAAGCAATTTTCTACTCTTTCTCACATGTGAATTATCAAAAGAGGTTGACAAACAATAATGAAATTTCTTACCTTGGCTTTTACAGCATTTGCTTGAGTGGTGTTACCCCCTTCTTTTTCCTTTACTTCAATATCATCAGCCTCAATGGCACTGTCATCATCAGACTCAGGTAAGGAGACAAGAGACTGTACATCAAGACCAGAATTGGCCAAGTCTGAATAAGTACCTTGACCTATGCAACAGCCCTGAAAACAAACAAGTTTAAAAGAAATAAATAAAAAGCAACAGCAAATTTTTCTAACAGTCAGGACAACAATATACCCAGAAATGTACCCAAAGGCATTTGATAGGAAAATGAAATGGCAGGATAACATAGTTTTGCCAAAAGAGAAGGTGAAAAACTGAAAAGTATTAAATTTGAACAATATGATGAATTCAGTGAATATGAAACATTTTTTCCAACTATCACTTTCAAAGTAAAGAGCTTGACAGAAATGCACTAATAATATCATGGCAAGTAGCTAAACCCCTTTGCAATATTTGTTGTGGAATTCAACATTTTTTTGATGGGTGTTCCTTGTCTTACAGGGTGAAAACAACTCTGACATCTACTAAAAGAAGTAGGTTTTTTTTTTTCAAGACAAATGTTTTGAGATCAGTTAAATTCTAAATGAAATCTATTCTTCTGATGAAACTTAAAAGAAAAAAATGAAGATATCCAGAGAAATGCTAAATACGCATTTTTAAAAATCCTAGTCTGGCCTGCCAGTTCTGACAGGTGCTAAGCACTTATTCACAACCCCACTTTGAAATTTTTTTGCAATACAGACCTCTTGCAAACATAATATTGAAGTACCATCTTTTAAGTATTGTAGCTGGTGAGTTACCAGTACACAGATTTTATCCTTTAGCAAACCACTGATGCACCTGTAAAAAGAACAGGTCATTACCTTAGTTAGCTTGTTTATTGCCAGTTCTTTTCACAAAGAAATGAATAAGAAATTCAGTTGAATAAATAAAATTCTACAATAAAAATACTCTGTTAAGACTAAGTTTTTGCTAAGATGGAGTAAACAGACTTTGTAATCAGATGCTGAAAAGTGACAAAATTTTGCAAAAATCAAACCAACAGAATCACAAGCATTTTACCTATGCTGGCCATTACTCTGTTTTTATTACTATTATTATTATTATTATTATTATTCATTATTATCTATTGGAAAATAGACTTCTTGTCTTAGATAAGTCTTGAGCTCAAGACTTTCCTTGTTAATTCAAACTTTGATTAATTAAAAGTTTAACTCTGACATCATCCTTATTGAACACCAGCCTTTAGGTCCCTATACCTATCAAACAGTTCTCTGCCAACATGCGTGTCTACAGCACTCAAAGGATCATCAAGGAGGTAGATATCTGCATCATGATAAACAGCCCTGCATTGAAAAAGTATAAAGAAATTGTTATTCACTCTCACATCTTTTTGTTCTTGAGTCTAGGTAGGTGGAGATATTTATGGCTATTACCAGTAATAAAATATAGTATTCTAAGTGCAAAGTAATCCCCTCACAGTGTACTAGTAATTCATGGTAAGTAGTTATTTCAAAATATATTTAGTTATTTTTTAGGTTGCTGAAAATTGTCCATGTCTGGAATGATACCTGTTGGCTGCAGTGCTCCAACATAAAAGAGGTAAAGATAAACTGGAGGAGAAGGTGATGGTTGAGGAAGAGAAGGTTCTAATGGACTGCAGATAATATACTTAAAAATTTAGGGTAAACTTTTCAAGATGTAAATAGGGTGACAAAATCCTTCAATAACTTGTAACAATCTGTGCTAAGATGAAGTTTGCAATAATTTGCATAACAATAATAAAGAATTAATCTTTTGACCCCTAAGAGTGACTAACATCTAATTTCTCCTAATAATATCACCCTGAATCACTGATCAAGTTCATGAGAATATAGGAAATGATTACCAAATAAGGAAACTCTTGATTATTAATTGAAAGAAATTCTCCTGGTCAGCACCAAGGGAAATGTTTTTGGAACAGTATAGAGAATTTGCATACTCATGTTGGGGTGTACAGGGTTAACACAACAAATAAATAAAGCAATCCTATTCACCTTGCTAAACTAATGCGAGCCTTCTGTCCACCACTAAGCACCAAACCCCTTTCACCAACAATGGTTGAATTACCTTTAGGGAAAAGCTCCAAGTCCTGTAGTTACAAATTCAAAAAATTATGTTAGCAATTTTTAGACTTCAGCTGAACCCTGCAAACTCTCACTTGGTTAGCTCAAACCCAAGGACAACTCAAACAAGCTCTGATTTTCCTTAACCCATTTTTTCAGTTGTCTACTATCAGCTAAATCAAACACCCATTAAGTAAACTGACAAAAGCTTATTTTGTTTCCCTTAGGAATTCAAGTTACCTGGGATTTACTGTATTTACATGCAGCAAGTACAATTTACAATCAAATTCAGTTGATCCATTGGCAGATGATAAAGTTTATAAGAGGTTGAAGAAACCTTAAAACATCTAAGGTTAAACAAAACAGCTTCCCCTCCTTTGCACAATAAAAGAAAAATTACATGTATTTTCAAGGTCTAGTTTAATTCATGTTCTCCATGAACTACTGTAAGATCAAGACCTTAAAAAATAATTTCCTGACCTAAGAAATAAGATTGTAAAATTCCATAAATTCAGAAACATTTGAAGACCCATATAGACCCTGAATCATTTAAGGCTTGCACTCTGATTCAACTCAAAGTGAGAGCCAAAACTGATTAGTGCCATTACAAAAGCAATTTGTTACTACCTTTTTTAGAGCACAACACTCAATAACTTGTTGGTACCGATCCTCATCAAAATCCTTGCCAAACAGAATGTTTTCTTTCACTGTTGCATTGAATATCCAGGCCTGCTGAGAGGCATAGCCCACTTTTCCATGAACCTTTTTGATGCCTTCAGAAACTGGCAATTCACCAAGGATAGTCATCAAAAGTGAAGACTGAAGGAACCACAATGACACCAAAATAAAACCAAAATGACACATGTATTAGCAAATTGCGTAGTGATAAAAAAAAGCTGAAATGAAGTTCTGTTTGGTCAGGTACAAATCATGTACAATAGGCTGCAAGATGAACTTCCATTTGCTAAGTTTTACTAAATACATAAATTATGCAAAAAATGTTAGTCACCTTTCCAGCACCCACAGGCCCAACAACAATATGAAGCTCTCCCTACAAAAAAAAAAAGATTTCATCTAAATACATTTTATTTTTATCCCTAAAGCACACCTAAATTTTCTGGTATTAGAGCATGACAAAAATATGCTGCCTCATTTTATTAAAAGAAAAAATTATCCCTTTACCTCAACCATTTATTGCAAAAAAGCAAAACTTTACTAACAATGACCTGCACAGCCTCACACATCTTTTTATTGAAAAACACCATAACAATACAATTCATGTCAGAAGCTTGTTTGCAATGGCTCAAACAGGTTCAAAAAAGGCCAAAAGGCCTATATACAGCACTGCTAGATGCACACTCAAGAAGAAGAGAAGAAAGAAAAAGAATGGACTCTACAGGGTAAATTATTGGCTCTTGCTCAAGTTTTATGGACCTCCCTAGGATCCTTTCGTGCTTCATGACCTAAAATCAATCCTTTTGTCTTTGGGCCCTGCTACTAATTGGCCATTTTACAGTTATGTACTTAATTGTCAAGCCTTTGATTTGGAGTGAGGCTGAAGGTGACCTTGTTGTGATAGTGACCAGTATCTAGTTAGCATGATAACAAAGTAATTAACATTTGAAAAACAGCAATGCTGGTATCATAACAAGGTCACCCTTAGCCTCACTCCTGTTCAAAGGCTTGGCAACCAAGCAGGTAACTGTAAAATGGACTATTCAATAAATAGCAAATAATTCCCTCCCTTACCATATCGTGGTGATGTGCTCATACATGTAATGCTACAAGACAGTGAAGTTGATTACCTACCTGTTTCACCTCTAAAGAAATGTCCTTCAGTGTGGGGTTTAAAGACTGAAAAGAAAGATAATTATACTTAATACATTTACATCCTTTGTGAGATCCCTGCTAATACAAATACATTTTTTATAATCATGTATTTCACCACCTACCACCAAGCAGCATAAGCTGTAAATAAAAGATTACAATAAATGATATTTCTTTAACAGGATTCTGTCTTTTGAAATGATATGTTTGCTTAATGAGATAAAACAGAAAACTAATCAGTATGTGAACAAATATCTCCATTCTTTAAGATTATCCTAAAGTTTCATCTTACAAAGGGACTTAACAGTAACTCCTGGTCTCTGCACAAGTCTTCAAAATAATCTCCCACTCAGAGGTAACTTTAACTGAAAAAAATCCTAACTCTTCATGTAACTCTCTATTTTCCAAAAGTCAAAATGACATAAACATCTTTCCAAGCTATATTTCTTTGTGTCAAAACAAAAGATTTAATATTTCAAATTTTTTTTTCATTTCTACCCTGTAACTAACAGTCTCATTGAATGATCATTAACCTAATAACAGAATTCTGTCATAAGTTTTTCCCATGAGGGGGGGAGGGGGAAGTCAAGTTAGGTGGATTTGGCTTTAGTAGAATATAATTTTCTCATAGGGTGGCATCTCTAGTTAAGTGAAGGGGTAAGTCTTAAGTATATGTCTATTAATCAGCAACTGCATGTAGTAACGAGTTCATTAATGAGGAACTTACTTTGTCCCAATATGCTGTGATTCCTTCCAACTTCAGAAGTGGTACATTGTCTTTGCTGCTAACACCATTTTCAATGACATTAGACACACTTGGCTCTCTTTCTTCCAACTCTAAGAATGCCTTACAAGTGAAAAAGATATAAGATAAAGTTAAGAATACACACACACACGCACAGAGGAAGTCTGTGTATTGATTCTTCCGTTTTACAGTGCTCAGAAGTAGAGTGCGATATATGTTGCAATAGGGGAAAAAAACAGAGAGACTATACTTTCATCCCTACAAGCCTGTTTCACAACACATATGTATATGTATATATATATATATATATATATGTATGTATGTATGTATGTATGTATGTATATACATTTATATTGTGTTTAGAAAAATTTCAGAGAAGTTGAGTACCACACTACTAGGACTGGAGAAGGGGGAATACCATTTAATTTCATGCAATTTCTGTCTTGCCCGCAAAACAACATAATGACTTTTGCCAGGGCTTAGCCTTTTGATCCTTATTCTTTACATCATGCACGTATATATACCCAATATGTATGCAGTGATAATGACATTTTACCTGCACACGCTTCTCTGAAACAGCTGATTCCTTGAGATACATCACACCAAGAGAAAAGAACAATGTAAAGCAAACCCTCACAGCCATGAGTAGTCCCAAAACAACAAACACTCTCTCTGCTGTTAAGATATGGCCAGTCATCACGTACACAGTAAAAACTACCAAGCTTATAATGGCCAATGCAGAGTGATAAAATGCACAATTGATTGCTCGATAAAAAGAAGTGTGCTTCACCATTTTGGTTTCTTTCCTGAAAGAGTAAAGTAAGGATTTCACACTACAGGGTTAAAATAAAAAATACTCTTGGAGTTATCATTATACTGGGTACAACCTTACCTGCAGCGTAAAATACTGTTTGTAAAATTCAATTGAGATACATTTTTTTTACTAAAAATAACTTTCCTTTTGATTGATAGAGATGTTGCATACATGAAAAACGTAATACGTGAAATACAGTGTAGATGCTAACAAACTCCGAAGGGATCCAATTCTGATTTGATTTTAAATAACACTCCCCTTGTGTCTTTAAAGCACCCCTAACCCTTTAACTCCCAGATCTGGTGGTCAATTCTCCCCTCTGTAGCTACCACATATTTCCTTTAAAATAAGTGGTATTAGATCAAGACAATTAACTTCTATTTGACATGTTTGAGTATTCTCACTACCTGTTTGCTGGATGATTTATAAATGTTGCAGGGAGAAGTTAGATGTTAATCACTTCTGGGAGTTAAGGGATTTCATGTGATAGTTAAAAAATTTATGTTGTACGCTGGTCTAAATAGAAATAGGGAGTCACTCAGTTGACCATGAATTAGTTGATTACATGAATTAGTTGGGACAAAATTACATTTTGTTCAGAGAATAAAAACATCTTGGAAAGCAAGGATCAACCAAAAATGAAATGTCATTACCCCTGCAAAATGTTACAACAAATTATTTCTAGTAAATGACTGCCACCTAGTATATGTAGTTTGTAGATTGTAAGTCATAAATTTTCTCTTCTTGACAGACTGTACCTTCGGATTTCTGCCACCAGCTTGGCAAAAGACTCTTCCCAAGTGTACATTTTAATAACTCTCATCCCTGATATAATTTCATTCATCATCTTAATTCTTTCATCTGTTAGGACAGCTGTTTTGGATCTGAACGCAAAAGAATATTGTGAAAGTTGAATCATCCTTTTCCTTAAAACTTGCAGTTCTAACCCTTTAACTCCCATAATCCCATTTAACTATAGTAATTCTCCCTTCTGATTGCCTTGATTTATGCCACAAGCCAGAGCTATTCAAATGAAAAAAGTCCTACCACAAAAAAAAATCATACAATTTTGTCAGCACAATCCTGATGAAACAATTTTAAAAGACTATCGGTAAGAGGCAAAACATTTTACTGCACTTATTTTATGTTGTGCTTGTAATATCATTGGCACTGAAATGTGGGGAAGAAGGAGAAGGCTGTAGCCCCTCCTGCCTAATTGGTAACTATTCAAGACACCTCTAGCAATATTTGTGAAATCTTCAGAAATCATGGAATTTTTTTTCATCAATATGACTAGTCCTTATCAAAAATTACTACATCTTTTAGGATGAACATATCTCACCTAGTCACACATCTGCCACAAAAAAAGTTGGCAGCTATAAAAATATCACATTCCATTTACCTCATTTTTGCAAAGAATCTACCAACATAGACTTGAAAAGGGCCGAGAAGCAGGAAAAGGAAAATACCAGGCAGGATATAGATTCCAATTTCACGCCAACAAAGGATTGCTATGACAACAACCATCAATGGAGCAACCCAGGTATAATGAAAAAATATTGTCACCTTCCAAAATAAAAATACCAACAACCCTAATGTAAATAAATTTTTTTTGCTTTTTCATTTGATTTGTACATCTATCCATGACAAGAAGACAACAACTTTTTCAAACAAAGATACAAAACTAGTTACTTACTTTTTGACTTATTAGTGAATAATCAAACTTTGCATTACCAAGATGTTGGACAGTCCTCCAGTTTTTTTTTCACTCTTTTTAATTTTCAAATGTATTGAGTAATCAGAGTAACTTAGCCAACAAATGAAAATCACAGCTTTACATTCTGACTGAGTCTTTAACCCTTTAACTCCCATGAGTGACCAAGATAGAATTTCTCCTTACAATATCAATACGATATGAACCAGATAAGTGATGAGAATAAAGAAAAATATCAATTTTGGATAATTCGTCGATCCAGTAATAAATTCTCTGAACTAAGATCATAAGAATTGTACGGTTGGCAGTAAGGAGAATTACAAATCTGATCTGGGAGTTAAAGAGTTAATTAGTTTCCCTTTGTCCTGATTGATCAACTTCATTAATTTCATTTTGGTTTCACAACACCTTGATGAAAAGCCCTTTTTGTATTTTGATCTGACTTCTCATAATCATATGATTGGTTTGAGGATAAACTCCTTCCCTGATGTCTCTCCTATCTCTTTTTAACAAGTAAGTGAGATCAGAAGTTTTCATTACCCACTCCAGTCTTTGTATATCATTAGTAACAAGGTTCACTATTTGACCAGTTGTTGTTTTGATAAAAGACACATGACTTAGTCGCAGTGCCTGAAAGATGAAAATCATTCATGTCAGTTATTAGAAAGAACAATAAACAAGGGTGGAAACTTTAACTTTCCCACTTAAAACATTTTGTGATCACAGTGTGATCACATGTAACACAGAAAACTTGCAAGTTTATTAAAAAGGTAATCAAAGGTCTTTGAACAATCATCATGGGTCATCACAAAACTATCCAATAATCATTTTAATCCTAATACATAATAATTATCTATAATTTCTTATCAATAGCACTAAGTTTACTAACCTTTCTATATATCAGCGACCCTGCAGCTAGCCTCAAATGCAAACCGCACCTTTGATTGATGAAAAAATTGGGAGCATGTAAGGCTCCTTCAGAAAATGCACACAAAGAAAGAAGTGCAGCTGTAATGTACGCATCAGTGCTACTTATGGCTGGATCTGGTTGGAAGTAACTGAGAAGTCTGCCAATAAGCAGAGGAGCTGACACTTTCAATCCTTCCTGAACAAAAATAGCAAAACAGATGACTTGTTAATTACTGCAGACACTAACAATCTTTGATTGGCACATATCCCTATTATTTCTAACATTAGCATAACATCAATGTAAGAATTAATGATATAAATTTTTCATATACTTCCCTAAACAATATTTATGTTGAATACAACCCCATTTCCGAATTTTTCCAAAATTTTGCTAATTAATGAAAACTTATATAGTACAATCTAGGAAAGTACAGCCTAAATGTTCTGGCATCCTTCCACAATGTTTCAGATCATGTATGTTTCAGATCACATGCATGATTTGCATGCAGTATTCTGCACACGTTACTAATTTCAATATTCATCCTCTAAGTGCACTGCTAGAAAGAGAACAAGAGGCTTTTTTTAGGTCCATGAGTACTAAAAAATTACTAAATGAAACCCCAAGAAACATTTACTGGAATTGATGAAGTAAAGAGAGGAACATGTGGATTTATAATGTCACACATTAAATATGTTATCCCAAATGTTGCAATCACCATTGCCTTGGTTACAAGTCAGAACAGTTACAACCTTTATATACGATTCATTCAATCTAGACACATAACCAAGACTTAGCAACTGCTACAAAATCTTTTAATATGCAAGATAAATATGTAATGATGTGAGTGGCAAAGACTCATTCTTGTTTATCTACTTGCTAAAATTTTCTTTGCGCCAAACTGTTTCAAAAAACAAATCAGACTCACCTCAATTATTGGAAAAATAGCAAGCATGAAATAGCGGATTCCCAAGAACTTAATGAAAGCATTTCTGAGCTGGGGTTTTCTACTCTTCCTCTGGGCATCTCTCAGTTCTTCATTCCAAAGTCTACAAACAGTAAATAGCATGTAACATTACATTTAAACTAATTTAGCCTAAGCATTGGCCAGTGCACTAGTCCAGATCAACTTCAATCTCCTCCATACCAACAATGAATACTCCACAAGTATTCACCAAGGAGGTTAATGTCTACCACTTAATTTCATCATGACTAAGCTAAACAATTGTTCCATTGATACCACATGGAGACCAAAAATTAAGTCTATTTAAACATACCAACAAGGGTCTAAAATTATACTCCTGAGACACAATTTTATCACAAATTTAACCATTTCTAACATAAAAAAACAACTAAAAAAGACTATTAAACAAACTTTTCAAGTCTATCAGCCAGTCCTTTAGCCTCTTCTTCAGGCAGAATTTTATAGATATCTGAGTTATCAATGGGATGCCTGTATCCTTTACTGAAGAAATTGTTCATCCACCTGAAAATCATGATGATTTTAACTTATAATCAGATTGGCTTACATCCTCTACAATCTGTTACATGACACCAGTATACTTATATAACCTCAATACTGTTTTTTTCAACATATTTCCTAAGGTGCTGACATGAAGAATAACTACAATCAAGGGCTTCTTTATTTGGTGATCATTTCCTTTATTCTTGTAACCTAACTGAATGTGTGATTCACAGGTGATATTGTGAAGACAAATTAGACGCAAGTCAATCTTAGGGGTTGAAAGGTTACTATAAATTAAATAAAATGATCACTTTATATCAAGTGGACACTACTTAGCTCTTTGACCCCCGTGAGTGATGAAGATGTAATTTTCCCTATGATGTCAATATACTATCATGCAGACAGGTATTTCTCGTTGATCAAACAATTGGAAGAACCAATATTAAGGCCTTGGGAGTGTGAAAGTTGATACAGGTGTCACAGTATAGTTTCAGTTAAGGTATATGATAGCTTGAAGGGTAAATGAAGAATCAAAAGTTGTGAATTTAGTGATAATAATAGGGGGTGTAGCATTCAAAAATAAGCAAGAGAAGAATGTTTGAGGAGAAATTCAATGAGGAGTAATACAGCCAGAGGCTTGCAATGACAAATTGAGCATCTTATGTGGTAAAATTTCCGGACAGCCCCATACTATTGTAAAACAAATCTGTTTTCCTAATGGCAATCTATTGTTTTTGTCGTTGTTTTCTCTATCCAAGAACAGAATGCATGATGTAGTATAGGGCTGAGCGGAAATTTTACCCTATTCTCCAAGAAAGCCGCAGTCCCATTACTGGCAATCCAAGACTAATTTCGTCATTATTTCCTTTATCCAAGAACTGTTTGCATAATGAAGTATGGGGTTATGCAGAAGTCTTTTCAAGCTTACAGAGGGTGCATATAAGTTTATTTTAAAAAAGGTTCGGTTATTTTCAGCAAAACTACAGAAATTTTGAAGTGCGTTAATTGGTTGGATTTGAACGTTGGGACAACGTCGACACGTATCAATTTATGACTGAAAAAGACACTCAACAGTGGAGAGCAGAAGTCCAGATGATCCGTTTCCAACTCTACGATAAAATAATTGTATTGTACTTTGTGGAAACTGTGAAAAGTCTGAAGAGATCGATTCATTGGTCAATAACTAACATTATGTAACTCGGTGTGACCGTGAGGCGGCAGAAGTGGAACGAACCCTCATCTGGGATTGAGGTTTGTCCGTCAAAACAATACTTCAATTGGATTCTACTCAATGACAGATATATAAATAAACCTACCAGAAAGTTAAAAACTTGCCGAGGATTGTGGCTTTCGCCATTGGATTGGCCTTGGTGTGTATCCTGATGTTTTCCATCTTTCTTCCCGCGTGTATAATGTTCTTAAGAAAAAGAACGGAGAGAAGGAATGGGGAGACTAACAAGATAGGATTGCGTGACTTTCATGAATTCCGTACTGAAAGTGTGACGGGCCTTCAAGCGATTTTAAATCTTCTGCCTTCAAAGTTTGGCTCTGATCAGGATATCTTTAATGACTTTCCTTTGCAATATGATGATAGCGCGGGCTTCTTAAATATTTCTCTTAAGCTTGGTTGGTTTTGAATATGAGGTGCCATTTCCCCATCTTTGTGCTCTTAAGGCTAGTTGAAGCCGGTCTTTATTGTGTCATCAGCCATAGTAACACATTCGATTACCTTGTGTATTTGAAAAATCTTTCTTGATACTGCTTGTCTGGCCCACGTGAGGGAGGGAGCACCGAAGAAACCCTGAGCTTCTTAAAATTAAATCTGTTCAGTAATCGTAGCAAATCGAGTTCAGGGAACCACCTAAAGCGTACACTCGCTATAAGATTGAAATACAGTTGTCACCGCTTTAACTTGAAAAATTAAACCGTGGAGGATATCACGGTTCTTGGAGTATTTAGTTTGGTGTTTGGCCTCTTCGCGTGTATTTGCCTGCATAGCTTAATTTTATATTTTACAAGAGAGATAGAAGAGGATCACCGAAATCAGTGAGGGAGATTTTTTTTTTGTTTCTCAGTTTTAAAAATCAGAAAAGTCGCAATATGATTCGATGCAGAAATTTATTAATCCACCATTCCGGAAGGCTGCTCCATCCCGGAATTAATCAACGGTAGGAAACTGTGATTGGTCAATATGCGATGAGGACCAGTTTCTGCGCAACACTGAAAGAGACTGACTGATTGAGACTGAGTGTGTGTAAAAATATTTACCGACACGTCTGTTTCTCAATTTACCTGAGCTTGGCAATGGATACAAAAATTCCAGTTATCGATTTGGCTAACCTTGAAAAAGGCCAGCCGACCGTAGAGCAGACGATAGCAATTGGAAAAGCTTGTTTAGAGTTTGGCTTCTTTTACGTCGTCAACCATGGAATCGGGGAAGAACTAAAAGGAAAAGTCTTTGAAAAACTATGGCAATTTTTTAATCTCTCGACTGAGAAAAAAGGAGAAATTCACAGACGTAACGGTTTCCGTGGATATTTTACGAAAGGAGAAGAGCACAGCATTGAGTATGGCTGCGTTGAGTGGAAAGAAGGGATATATTATTTTCGTGAATTTAACAACGTACCACAGGGAAGAAGAGAAAGAGTTTTCTGTGGCTCTAATCCTTGGCCGAACGATGAATATGTCCCGAGATTCCAGACAGTAATATGGGAGTACTTTGAAAAGACTCAGGCATTGGCGTCGAAATTGCTGGGCTGCATGGCGATATTTTTAGGTTGGTACTGCAGAAAATTGAAATTTGTTAGTCGGAGACCTGCTGGCCGCTACGTGACGGAATGCTTGAGCAGGCCCTCTTTGGCTGAGATTTTATCGACAGGGTTCCAAGTACAAAAAAAGTTCTTTTCACCGGTGAATTTTCACATTAAGGTCCTCTCTGAACTCAAACGTAGTGATTTCGAGAGTTGAACGAATAGAGTACGTGCCAGTTGCACTCACTGAGGTCATTTGTGCTTTACATTCCAGCTATACGTGATCTCTTTGATACTTGCAAAATTTTCATTTTCTTGTGAATGAGTATGGTTGCCTACCTCCTATTCCCTCTCTCGGTGTGAAATGAGTACCGGGTATTAACTTTTCTCTCACGAGTGACCGAGACAGAATTTCTCCTTACAATATCAATGTAAAATCAAGCAGACGCGTGATTTAGAGAAATGTAAATTAAGGGTTACTAATTGATACAATACCAAATTCTCTTAACTAACATCACCAGAGTTGTATGGCAGACAGTAGGGAGAATTACTAATGAGATGTTAAGAGTGAAAGGGTTGGGCAATGATACCTGACAAACCTCTCTGTTTGTTTACTCTTTTGCAGGCCTGGAAAGGGATTTTTTCAACAAGGAATTCACTAATGATCCATTTGCTCAAATAGCTATGTTTCACTACCCTCCCCACCCTACATCAAAAGATGACCCAGAGGTGTGGGGAGTGGGGAGACACACTGATTATGGCATGCTTACAGTTCTTCTCCAGGATGATGTAGGTGGACTTGAAGTGGAGACCAAAGATGGACTGTGGATGGATGTTCCCCCAGTTCCAGGCTCTCTCATCATTAACATAGGAGACATGGTAGAGATCTGGACAAATGGGGCTTTTAAGGCCCCTCCTCACAGGGTCAAACTGTCAGCAACTAATCATAGGCTTTCAGTTGCAATGTTTTATGAGCCAGGGTTCGAGAGTGTTATCTCACCCATTCCTGTTGACAAAGCTCTAATTCCTTTAGAAAAATCACTGGCAAAGCCCTCTTTGACGTTTCCAATACGCTATGGTGATTACGTTCTAAGTAAATATTGCAGCATCTTACCAGAGAATAAGCCATAACATAAAATATGTAACACATTTAAAGATACAGTTCTAGATAATTTGTTGCTTTTTATAAGAATAACTCATGATTTATGAAGTGAATTATAGGATTATTAATGCACTCTGTTGCCAAGTATTGTAGCTACCCCAAGAGTTGAAAAAAAAAATAGAAAAATATTTAAGCTACATTCATTTGTAACTGTTGATAACAGCTTGCACAGCCATTACCAAATTTAAATTTGTTGAATTTTCCCCCTCTTGGATGAAAGATAGGCCATGACAGATTTCCCTCATCTGCCCCCATCTAGTATACTCTGCAATTTAGTGTGCTTAGTGAGAGAAAAATCAATAAACCTTTGCAGAAATAAAACAAAAATATGAAGAAAAGACTCACGCCAACTTACACACAGGCAAATGTTAAATCTATAACCTGCCAGGTGGACTTTAAGGCAATTGAAAATTTCCATGCAAAATTAACCACAAGGGTTAGAAAGCAGTTTATTTTCCCTTTGGCAGACATAATTTTTGCTAGCAAGTGCTCAGTTTTTTCTTGGTTGAAAATTATAGCTGCATGGTGTGGGACAATAAAAGTTACTTTTCCATTTCCCCACCCCATCATTCATTCTTACTTTAACTCAATTACATTGCCAGTGAAATGAACAAATGCAAGGTTGCAACATTAACTTATCTTGACATCTGCATTGAAGGGTTAGTCAAGACCAAAAAAATAAATGTTTCCCTTTCCCAGCCTTTTGTATGGTGTAGAGTATTCATAGGTCAAGTGATTCCTCTCATTGCCCTTATTCAACTGTCTTTTATTCAGTGATCAAGATAGCATATTTACCATAGGATACTGACAATTAGTTATTTGCAGTGCTTTCAGTAAGATTTGAAGTAGCTGGCTACCTCGGTAAAGCACTCGCCGGAGGATAATATGAAAAACAATTTCGATCTCATTAGCCCATTAGTTCCATTTGAGTAAAATTGCTTCAAACAGAGTTTTCTGCGGCGAACTTTGGTAAATGATCGTTAAATACTGGTCTCCTTTGTAACAACTGTTTAACTGATTGTTTATTTCTAATCAAAATCTTCCATTTACTGACTTGCAAACCTGCTGCCCGAGTTTCACACAAAAAGTCCTCTAAAAGGACATGTGATAACTGGTTACTGAAATTTTAGTCAGTATGTACTTGCAAGCTTAAAATCTTATTTTTCCAGGAAATTTGGTTTACAGTATAACAAGACAGTACCAATACCACGTCTCGTTCCACACGTGAAGGAGTTACTATATCCATTCCAACATGGTTTCAAAAGGGAAGGTCTCGTGTCGCGCAACTCTTAGAAGCTTTTTATGATATCAGTGACGCGCTGGACCGTGGGATTGAAACTGATATTATCTATCTTGACTTTGCCAAGGCTCTTGACTCTGTATGTCCCGCTAAGCTGATATCCAAGTTATCAACCTTTGGAATAAAGACCCTTTACTAACTTGGTTTCACTCATATCTAACTGGGAGGAGTCAGAGAGTGGTGATAAATGGAACGTCTTCTAGATGGACCGTTGTAGGGTCAGGTGTCCCGCAAGGGTCACAATTTGGGACCAATACTGTTTTTACTATTTGTTAATGACATGCCTAATGTTGTTACCAGTGCAACAATGGCTATGTTTGCAGATGACTCCAAATGTTACAAGGTTACTAACCACCATTCTGATTACTTGCATCTGCAGCAGGATTTAGATGCGCTTTCAAATTGGTCTTTGCGTAATGAGTTGTTTTTTCAGCCTACTAAGTGCAGCAATTTGAGAATTTCTAGGAAGTGCATAAGTCCTCCTTATAGCTATGTTTTAAATGGTATTAATGTGGAGTTGACACAGCCGAAAAAGATCTAGGTATTATGATTACAAATGACACCTCTTGGAAAGATCACTTTGTCATGATTGTAGCTAAAGCTAATAGGATGCTTGATTTTCTCAAAAGGAACTGCCCTGGTATTGTTGGTAGTACGGTGCTTTTGCATCTTTACTGCTCTTTAGTACGCTCTCATTTTTGTTTTTGCTCTCAGTTATGGGCCCCTCAGTCAAGTACCAGCAATTTAATCCTTGTTGAAAACATACGAAGGAGAGCTACTCGTTTTATCTTAAGGAATAGTAACCTATGTTATAAGGCTCATTTAATCAAGCTTAAGTTACTACCACTAAGTTACTGGTTAGAATATCTTGACTTCTTTTTTAAGTGCCTTCATGGGCTTATAGATTTCACTCATGAATTAAGTTATTATTTTTCTTTTCTAAAGGGCAACACGCGCTGTGCTTCATCAGGGCTGCATTTAAAGTTAAATGCCTGTCGTATGTCTTCCTTTCGAGACTTTTACTTCAACAGAATAACTTTGATGTGGAACAGTTTACCTAAAAATATCAAGGATTCAGACATTATAAGCTCTTTTAAAAGTAAACTCAAGTCGTTTTATTTTACTAAACTTTTGAATGCTTTTGATAGAGACAATTTTCGTTCTTTTAAATTAATTTGTCATAAGTGTCGCAGTGTAAATACTTCTTCTGTCTGTACTTGTTAAGTTAAGTTAAGTTGTTAATTTCTATACTTTAGAATGTTCTGTGTGATTTAGATTATTTGAATTGTAGTTTAGTCAGATCAGGGAAGGGATCTTTTTTCGGGATATTTCTTTCCGGGATATTTTTTACGGGGCTGGGTGTGGGTGTATTAACCAAGTAGGGGACTTATGTTCTATTGTTATGCACCTGTACTTGTACTTGTACGAATCCATTAAATAAATAAAATAAATAAATAGACCTCTCAGTCTCTTGCTTCGAACGCTGAACGCACTTTTTGTGATTGCAAGTTTTTATTTTGTTTTTGATTTTTGATGTGTTGCGTTTTGTTGGTTACTGAGTGAAATTAAAGATTTGCAGCAGTGACTTCTACCAGTTTTATTTTCTGGAAAAACCTAAGCATTTTTCATTTCTGCAGAATTGTTCATTTACTGTTTACAAAAGATAATTAAATTAAATCAATCAGCCAATGAATTTAGCTGTTTCCACGACTCGTGTTTCATGTGATCGTAAACAATCATCGTGTAGTCATCGTGTCTAAAAAGTAGCTCTTTTGAACCTTCCTAACATCTAGAGAAATCGAGATCATAGAAATTGACGTCCAGCAAGATGAAAGGACTACAAACAGGTGAACTAAATTTACTTTATGATATTCTTGCTTAGGTTTCATTCATTCATTCAAGAATATCATAAAGTAAATTTAATTTACCTGAGCTACTTTTTAGCAAAGGGTACGTATGGGGGGAGGGGGGGGGTGGAAAAGGGTTTGTAAGTGATGTATGATTAAGCCAGAAACTAATAAGTGACACATGAGTTTTACAGAGAGGCAAGGTAACAAGGTGAGATGTGGAGTTTTTTTTCCATCCCTTTCAAATTTTTGATCATGAAATACTGTTAAACTAATGCAGGTGCAAACCCCTCCCCCCTTATCCTCCTTCCTACTATCTCGTAAGTACAGATAACCTTGGGGGAAGGTGACCTCTGCTCACAAGCCTCAATATGAAATACTGTTTAACTAAAGCAGGTGTAAACCCCTCCCCCCTTATCCTCCTTCCTACTATCTCGTAAGTACAGTTAACCTTGGGGGAAGGTGACCTTCTCCACTCACAAGCCTCAATATCTTTTCTTCAGGGTTAACTTTTTGCTTCATTAAGCCTGCGAAAGCTAAAGATTAGGTTAGCCCCTTAGTTGGGTCAGGTTTAAGGCTAAGAGAACACTGTTACACTCGCTATCACAGAGATTGTACATATTTGAGCAGAGAAATTCCACAACTTTCCATGACTTTTTCCATAACTTTTAAAAAAATCCCATGAGCTAAGTTGAGCAAGTGTGCTGATTGGTTCACTCCAAACAACAAACAAATTTGCATAAATGTCATGCAAGTTTGCAGTGTACACAAAAATGTGCACAAGTGTAGATCTTGCAACACACCCTAATGTAGAGTTTAATTCTACTGAAATTAAATCTTACTTTGGATCTGCATTGCTTGGCGCTCACAGATAACCTGCTGATTTCCATGACTTTCCATGATTTTCCAGGAACCAAACCTAAATTCCACTACTTTCAAGGCCTGGAAAATAAAATAATAAAATTCCAAGACCTACCATGTTTTCCACAACCCACTCCCAAATCAGATTTGTAATTCTCCTTACTGCCAACCGTACAATTCGTATGATCTTAGTTCAGAGAATTTATTACTGGATCGACGAATTATCCAAAATTGATATTTTTCTTTATTCTCTTCACTTATCTGGTTCATATCGTATTGATATTCGTATTCATATCGTATTGAGATTTTTTTGTTTTGTTTCTCAGTTTTAAAAATCAGAAAAGTCACAATATGATTCGATGCAGAAATTTATTAATCCACCATCCCGGAAGGCTGCTCCACCCCGGAATTATTCAACGGTAGGAAACTGTGATTGGTCAATATGCGATGAGGACCCGTTTATGCGCAACACTGAAAGAACAATGACTGATTGAGACTGAGTGTGTGTAAAAATATTTACCGACACGTCTGTTTCTCAATTTACCTGAGCTTGGCAATGGATACAAAAATTCCAGTTATCGATTTGGCTAACTTTGAAAAAGGCCAGCCGACCGTAGAGCAGACGATAGAAATTGGAAAAGCTTGTTTGGAGTTTGGCTTTTTTTACGTCGTCAACCATGGAATCGGGGAAGAACTAAAAGGAAAAGTCTTTGAAAAACTATGGCAATTTTTAATCTCTCGACTGAGAAAAAAAAGAGAAATTCACAGACGTAACGGTTTCCGTGGATATTTTACGAAAGGAGAAGAGCACAGCATTGAGTATGGCTGCGTTGAGTGGAAGGAAGGGATATATTATTTTCGTGAATTTAACGATGTACCACAGGGAAGAAGAGAAAGAGCTTTCTGTGGCTCTAACCCTTGGCCGAAGGATGAATATGTCCCGAGATTCAAGACAGTAATATGGGAGTACTTTGAAAAGACTCAGGCATTGGCGTCAAAATTGCTGGGCTGCATGGCGATATTTTTAGGTTGGTACTGCAGAAAATTGAAATTTGTTAGTCGGAGACATGCTGGCCGCTACGTGACGGAATGCTCGAGCAGGCCCTCTTTGGCTAAGATTTTATCGACAGGGTTCCAAGTACAAAAACAGTCCTTTTCACCGGTGAATTTTCACATTAAGGTCCTCTCTGAACTCAAACGTAGTGATTTCGAGAGTTGAACGAATAGAGTACGTGCCAGTTGCACTCACTGAGGTCATTTGTGCTTTACATTCCAGCTATACGTGATCTCTTTGATACTTGCAAAATTTTCATTTTCTTGGGAATGAGTATGGTTGCCTACCTCCTATTCCCTCTCTCGGTGTGAAATGAGTACCGGGTATTAACTTTTCTCTCACGAGTGACCGAGACAGAATTTCTCCTTACAATATCAATTAAAATCAAGCAGATGCGTCATTAAGAGAAAAGTAAATTAAGGGTTACTAATTGATACAATACCAAATTCTCTTAACTAACATCACCAGAGTTGTATGGCAGACAGTAGGGAGAATTACTAATGAGATGTTAAGAGTGAAAGGGTTGGGCAATGATACCTGACAAACCTCTCTGTTTGTTTACTCTTTTGCAGGCCTGGAAAGGGATTTTTTCAACAAGGAATTCACTAATGATCCATTTGCTCAAATAGCTATGTTTCACTACCCTCCCCACCCTACATCAAAAGATGACCCAGAGGTGTGGGGAGTGGGGAGACACACTGATTATGGCATGCTTACAGTTCTTCTCCAGGATGATGTAGGTGGACTTGAAGTGGAGACCAAAGATGGACTGTGGACAGATGTTCCCCCAGTTCCAGGCGCTCTCATCATTAACGTAGGAGACATGGTAGAGATCTGGACAAATGGGGCTTTTAAGGCCCCTCCCCACAGGGTCAAACTGTCAGCAACTAATCATAGGCTTTCAGTTGCAATGTTTTATGATCCAGGGTTTGAGAGTGTTATCTCACCCATTCCTGTTGACAAAGTTCTAATTCCTTTAGAAAAATCTAAGACAAAGCCCTCTTTGGCGTTTCCAATACGCTATGGTGATTACGTTCTGAGTAAATATTGCAGCATCTTACCAGAGAATAAGCCATAACATAAAATATGTAACACATGCAAAGATACAATTCTAGATAATTTGTTGCTTTTTATAAGAATAACTCATGGTTTATGAAGTGAATTATAGGATTATTAATGCACTCTGTTGCCAAGTATTGTAGCTACCCCAAGACTTAACACACAGGCAAATGTTAAACCTATAACCTGCCAGGTGGATTTTAAGGCAATTGAAAATTTCCATGCAAAATTAACCACAAGGGTTAGAAAGCAGTTTATTTTCCCTTTGGCAGGCATAATTTTTGCTAGCAAGTGCTCAGTTTTTTCTTGGTTGAAAATTATAGCTGAATGGTGTGGGACAATAAAAGTTACTTTTCCATTTCCCCACCCCATCATTCATTCTTACTTTAACTCAATTACATTGCCAGTGAAATGAACAAATGCAAGGTTGCAACATTAGCTTATCTTGACATCTGCATTGAAGGGTTAGTCAAGACCAAAAAAATAAATGTTTCCCTTTCCCAGCCTTTTGTATGGTGTAGAGTACTCATAGGTCAAGTGATTCCTCTCATTGCCCTTATTCAACTGTCTTTTATTCAGTGATCAAGATAGCATATTTACCATAGGATACTGACAATTAGTTATTTGCAGTGCTTTCAGTAAGATTTGAAGTAGGTAGCTATCTCAGGTCAGGTGTCCCGCAAGGGTCACAATTGGGACCGATACTGTTCTTACTATTTGTTAATGACATGCCTAATGTTGTTACCAGTGCAACACTAGCTATGTTTGCAAATGACTCTAAATGTTACTAACCACCATTCTGATTTCTTGCATCTGCAGCAGGATTTAGATGCACTTTCAAATTGGTCTTTGCATAATGAGTTGTTTTTTCAGCCTACTAAGTACAGCAATTTAAGAATTTCTAGGAAGTGCATAAGTCCTCCTTGTAGCTATGTTTTAAATGGTATTAATGCGGAGGTTGTCACAGCAAAAAAAGATCTAGGTATTACGATTGCAAATGACACCTCTTGGAAAGATCACTTAGTCATGATTGTTGCTAAAGCTAATAGGATGCTTGGTTTTCTCAAGAGGAACTGCCCTGGTATTGTTGGCAGTACGGTGCTTTTGCATCTTTACTGCTCTTTAGTGCGCTCTCATCTTTGTTTTTGCTCTCAGTTATGGGCCCCTCAGTCAAGTACCAGCAATTTAATCCTTGTTGAAAACATACAAAGGAGAGCTACTCGTTTTATCTTAAGGAATAGTAACCTATGTTTTAAGGGTTGTCTAATCAAGCTTAAGTTATTATGGCTAAGTTACTGGTTAGGATATCTTGACTTAGTTTTCTTTTTTAAGTGCCTTCATGGGCTTATAGATTTCACTCATGAATTTAGTTATTATTTTTCTTTTCTAAAGGGCAACACGCGCTGTGCTTCATCAGGGCTGCATTTAAAGTTAAATGCCTGTCGTATCTCTTCCTTTCGAGACTTTTACTTCAACAGAATAACTTTGATGTGGAACAGTTTACCTAAAAATATCAAGGATTCAGATACTATAAGCTCTATTAAAAGTAAACTCAAGTCCTTTTATTTTACTAGAATTTTGAATGCTTTAGATAGAGACAATTTTCGTTCTTTTAAATTAATTTGTCCTAAGTGTCCCAGTGTAAATACTTCTTCTGACTGTACTTGTTAAGTTAAGTTAAGTTGTTAATTTGTATACTTTAGAATGTTCTGTGTGATTTAGATTATTTGAATTGTAGTTTAGTCAGATCAGGGAAGGGATCTTTTTCGGGATATTTCTTTCCGGGATATTTTTTACGGGGCTGGGTGTGGGTGTATTAACTAAGTAGGGGACTTATGTTCTATTGTTATGCACCTGTACTTGTACTTGTACTTGTACTTGTACAAATCCATTAAAAAAATAAAATAAGTAAATAGACCTCTCAGTCTCCTGCTTCTAGCACTGAATGCACTTTTTGTGATTGCAAGTTTTTATTTTATTTTGTTTTTGTTTTTTGTTTTTGCGTTTTGTTGGTTACTGAGTGAAATTAAAGATTTGCAGCAGTGACTTCTACCAGTTTTATTTTCTGGAAAAACCTAAGCATTTTTCATTTCTGCAGAATTGTTCATTTACTGTCTACAAAAGATAATTAAATTAAATCAATCAGCCAATGAATTTAGCTGTTTCCACGACTCGTGTTTCACGTGATCGTCAACAATCATTGTGTAGTCATCGTGTCTACAAAGTAGCTCTTTTGAACCTTCCTTACATCTAGAGAAATCTAGATCATAGAAATTGACGCCCAGCAAGATGAAAGGACTACAAACAGGTGAACTAAATTTACTTTATGATATTCTTGCTTGGTTTCATTCATTCATTCAAGAATATCATAAAGTAAATTTAATTTACATGAGCTACTTTTTAGCAAATGTTAATTTCAATGGCAAACACTTGAAGCAGATTATAAAGATCAATATTCCACAGCACTTACTGATCGTCCATTGTGGAAACAGTGTTTAGACTGATGGCCGATGAAGAATGGGGCAAATATGAAAAAAAAAGACTGGGTCGAGGAAGTCAGTGAAAAGAAAATGGTGGCTTTTTTGATTGTGCAGGTTGAGCAGGTAGGCTTGAGTCTCTTCCCCCATTTTTTTTTTATTTGATTATTTAGGGTAGTCCACAGGGTAGTCAGCAGAGTAGTCCATGGGGTAGTCCGCAGAGTGGGGGTCAGTGGGTAGTCCGTGGATCGGGTGTCAGTCTTTTCAACTCTCCTGTAAATGCCTTTTTACAGAGAGGGAAGGTCACCTTTCTTGAAAGGTCTCCCCTCCAGGAGGGTCTTCAAAGGGTACATATGGGGGGAGGGGGGTGGAAAAGGGTTTTACAGAGAGGCAAGGTAACAAGGTGAGATGTGGAGTTTTTTTTTTCCATCCCTTTCAAATTTTTGATCATGAAATACTGTTTAACTAATGCAGGTGTAAACCCCTCCCCCCTTATCCTCCTTCCTATTATCTCGTAAGTACAGATAACCTTGGGGGAAGGTGACCTCTGCTCACAAGCCTCAATATGAAATACTGTTTAACTAAAGCAGGTGTAAACCCCTCCCCCCTTATCCTCCTTCCTACTATCTCGTAAGTACAGTTAACCTTGGGGGAAGGTGACCTTCTCCACTCACAAGCCTCAATATCTTTTCTTCAGGGTTAACTTTTTGCTTCATTTAGCCTGCGAAAGCTAAAGATTAGGTTAGCCCCCTAGTTGGGTCAGGTTTAAGGCTAAGAGAACACTGTTACACTCGCTATCACAGAGATTGTACATATTTGAGCAGAGAAATTCCACAACTTTCCATGACTTTTTCCATAACTTTTAAAAAAATTCCATGAGCTAAGTTGAGCAAGTGTGCTGATTGGTTCACTCCAAACAACACACAAATTTGCATAAATGTCATGCAAGTTTGCAGTGTACACAAAAATGTGCACAAGTGTAGATCTTGCAACACACCCTAATGTAGAGTTTAATTCTACTGAAATTAAATCTTACTTTGGATCTGCATTGCTTGGCGCTCACAGATAACCTGCTGATTTCCATGACTTTCCATGATTTTCCAGGAACCAAACCTAAATTCCACTACTTTCAAGGCCTGGAAAATAAAATAATAAAATTCCAAGACCTACCATGTTTTCCACAACCCACTCCCAAATCAGATTTGTAATTCTCCTTACTGCCAACCGTACAATTCTTATGATCTTAGTTCAGAGAATTTATTACTGGATCGACGAATTATCCAAAATTGATATTTTTCTTTATTCTCTTCACTTATCTGGTTCATATCGTATTGATATTCGTATTCATATCGTATTGAGATTTTTTTGTTTTGTTTCTCAGTTTTAAAAATCAGAAAAGTCACAATATGATTCGATGCAGAAATTTATTAATCCACCATCCCGGAAGGCTGCTCCACCCCGGAATTATTCAACGGTAGGAAACTGTGATTGGTCAATATGCGATGAGGACCCGTTTATGCGCAACACTGAAAGAACAATGACTGATTGAGACTGAGTGTGTGTAAAAATATTTACCGACACGTCTGTTTCTCAATTTACCTGAGCTTGGCAATGGATACAAAAATTCCAGTTATCGATTTGGCTAACTTTGAAAAAGGCCAGCCGACCGTAGAGCAGACGATAGAAATTGGAAAAGCTTGTTTGGAGTTTGGCTTCTTTTACGTCGTCAACCATGGAATCGGGGAAGAACTAAAAGGAAAAGTCTTTGAAAAACTATGGCAATTTTTTAATCTCTCGACTGAGAAAAAAGGAGAAATTCACAGACGTAACGGTTTCCGTGGATATTTTACGAAAGGAGAAGAGCACAGCATTGAGTATGGCTGCGTTGAGTGGAAGGAAGGGATATATTATTTTCGTGAATTTAACGATGTACCACAGGGAAGAAGAGAAAGAGCTTTCTGTGGCTCTAACCCTTGGCCGAACGATGAATATGTCCCGAGATTCCAGAAAGTAATATGGGAGTACTTTGAAAAGACTCAGGCATTGGCGTCAAAATTGCTGGGCTGCATGGCGATATTTTTAGGTTGGTACTGCAGAAAATTGAAATTTGTTAGTCGGAGACATGCTGGCCGCTACGTGACGGAATGCTCGAGCAGGCCCTCTTTGGCTAAGATTTTATCGACAGGGTTCCAAGTACAAAAACAAGTCCTTTTCACCGGTGAATTTTCACATTAAGGTCCTCTCTGAACTCAAACGTAGTGATTTCGAGAGTTGAACGAATAGAGTACGTGCCAGTTGCACTCACTGAGGTCATTTATACTTTACATTCCAGCTATACGTGATCTCTTTGATACTTGCAAAAGTTTCATTTTCTTGTGAATGAGTATGGTTGCCTACCTCCTATTCCCTCTCTCGGTGTGAAATGAGTACCGGGTATTAACTTTTCTCTCACGAGTGACCGAGACAGAATTTCTCCTTACGATATCGATGTAAAATCAAGCAGACGCGTCATTTAGAAAAAAGTAAATTAAGGGTTACTAATTGATACAATACCAAATTCTCTTAACTAACATCACCAGAGTTGTATGGCAGACAGTAGGGAGAATTACTAATGAGATGTTAAGAGTGAAAGGGTTGGGCAATGATACCTGACAAACCTCTCTGTCTGTTTACTCTTTTGCAGGCCTGGAAAGGGATTTTTTCAACAAGGAATTCACTAATGATCCATTTGCTCAAATAGCTATGTTTCACTACCCTCCCCACCCTACATCAAAAGATGACCCAGAGGTGTGGGGAGTGGGGAGACACACTGATTATGGCATGCTTACAGTTCTTCTCCAGGATGATGTAGGTGGACTTGAAGTGGAGACCAAAGATGGACTGTGGACAGATGTTCCCCCAGTTCCAGGCGCTCTCATCATTAACGTAGGAGACATGGTAGAGATCTGGACAAATGGGGCTTTTAAGGCCCCTCCCCACAGGGTCAAACTGTCAGCAACTAATCATAGGCTTTCAGTTGCAATGTTTTATGATCCAGGGTTTGAGAGTGTTATCTCACCCATTCCTGTTGACAAAGCTCTAATTCCTTTAGAAAAATCTATGACAAAGCCCTCTTTGGCATTTCCAATACGCTATGGTGATTACGTTCTGAGTAAATATTGCAGCATCTTACCAGAGAATAAGCCATAACATAAAATATGTAACACATGCAAAGATACAGTTCTAGATAATTTGTTGCTTTTTATAAGAATAACTCATGGTTTATGAAGTGAATTATAGGATTATTAATGCACTCTGTTGCCAAGTATTGTAGCTACCCCAAGAATTTACACACAGGCAAATGTTAAACCTATAACCTGCCAGGTGGATTTTAAGGCAATTGAAAATTTCCATGCAAAATTAACCACAAGGGTTAGAAAGCAGTTTATTTTCCCTTTGGCAGGCATAATTTTTGCTAGCAAGTGCTCAGTTTTTTCTTGGTTGAAAATTATAGCTGAATGGTGTGGGACAATAAAAGTTACTTTTCCATTTCCCCACCCCATCATTCATTCTTACTTTAACTCAATTACATTGCCAGTGAAATGAACAAATGCAAGGTTGCAACATTAGCTTATCTTGACATCTGCATTGAAGGGTTAGTCAAGACCAAAAAAATAAATGTTTCCCTTTCCCAGCCTTTTGTATGGTGTAGAGTATTCATAGGTCAAGTGATTCCTCTCATTGCCCTTATTCAACTGTCTTTTATTCAGTGATCAAGATAGCATATTTACCATAGGATACTGACAATTAGTTATTTGCAGTGCTTTCAGTAAGATTTGAAGTAGGTAGCTATCTCAGGTCAGGTGTCCCGCAAGGGTCACAATTGGGACCGATACTGTTCTTACTATTTGTTAATGACATGCCTAATGTTGTTACCAGTGCAACACTAGCTATGTTTGCAAATGACTCTAAATGTTACTAACCACCATTCTGATTTCTTGCATCTGCAGCAGGATTTAGATGCACTTTCAAATTGGTCTTTGCATAATGAGTTGTTTTTTCAGCCTACTAAGTACAGCAATTTGAGAATTTCTAGGAAGTGCCTAAGTCCTCCTTGTAGCTATGTTTTAAATGGTATTAATGCGGAGGTTGTCACAGCCGAAAAAGATCTAGGTATTATGATTGCAAATGACACCTCTTAGAAAGATCACTTAGTCATGATTGTTGCTAAAGCTAATAGGATGCTTGGTTTTCTCAAAAGGAACTGCCCTGGTATTGTTGGCAGTACAGTGCTTTTGCATCTTTACTGCTCTTTAGTGTGCTCTCATCTTTGTTTTTGCTCTCAGTTATGGGCCCCTCAGTCAAGTACCAGCAATTTAATCCTTGTTGAAAACATACAAAGGAGAGCTACTCGTTTTATCTTAAGGAATAGTAACCTATGTTTTAAGGGTCGTCTAATCAAGCTTAAGTTATTACGGCTAAGTTACTGGTTAGAATATCTTGACTTAGTTTTCTTTTTTAAGTGCCTTCATGGGCTTATAGATTTCACTCATGAATTTAGTTATTATTTTTCTTTTCTAAAGGGCAACACGCGCTGTGCTTCATCAGGGCTGCATTTAAAGTTAAATGCCTGTCGTATGTCTTCCTTTCGAGACTTACTTCAACAGAATAACTTTGATGTGGAACAGTTTACCTAAAAATATCAAGGATTCAGATACTATAAGCTCTATTAAAAGTAAACTCAAGTCCTTTTATTTTACTAGAATTTTGAATGCTTTAGATAGAGACAATTTTCGTTCTTTTAAATTAATTTGTCCTAAGTGTCCCAGTGTAAATACTTCTTCTGACTGTACTTGTTAAGTTAAGTTAAGTTGTTAATTTGTATACTTTAGAATGTTCTGTGTGATTTAGATTATTTGAATTGTAGTTTAGTCAGATCAGGGAAGGGATCTTTTTTCAGGATGTTTCTTTCTGGGATATTTTTTACGGGGCTGGGTGTGGGTGTATTAACCAAGTAGGGGAGTTATGTTCTATTGTCATGCACCTGTACTTGTACTTGTACAAATCCTTTAAATAAATAAAATAAATAAATAGACCTCTCAGTCTCCTGCTTGGAACGCTGAATGCACTTTCTGTGATTGCAAGTTTTTATTTTGTTTTTATTTTGGTTTTTTGATTTTGCGTTTTGTTGGTTACTGAGTGAAATTAAAGATTTGCAGCAGTGACTTCTACCAGTTTTATTTTCTGGAAAAACCTAAGCATTTTTCATTTCTGCAGAATTGTTCATTTACTGTTTACAAAAGATAATTAAATTTAATCAATCAGCCAATGAATTTAGCTGTTTCCATGACTCGTGTTTCACGTGATCGTCAACAATCATTGTGTAGTCATCGTGTCTACAAAGTAGCTCTTTTGAACCTTCCTTACATCTAGAGAAATCAAGATCATAGAAATTGACGCCCAGCAAGATGAAAGGACTACAAACAGGTGAACTAAATTTACTTTATGATATTCTTGCTTAGGTTTCATTCATTCATTCAAGAATATCATAAAGTAAATTTAATTTACATGAGCTACTTTTTAGCAAATGTTAATTTCAATGGCAAACACTTGAAGCAGATTATAAAGATCAATATTCCACAGCACTTACTGATCGTCCATTGTGGAAACAGTGTTTAGACTGATGGCCGATGAAGAATGGGGCAAATATGAAAAAAAAAGACTGGGTCGAGGAAGTCAGTGAAAAGAAAATGGTGGCTTTTTTGATCGTGCAGGTTGAGCAGGTAGGCTTGAGTCTCTTCCCCCATTTTTTTTTTATTTGGTTGATTATTTAGGGTAGTCCACAGGGTAGTCAGCAGAGTAGTCCGTGGGGTAGTCTGCAGAGTGGGGGTCAGTGGGTAGTCCGTGGATCGGGTGTCAGTCTTTTCAACTCTCCTGTAAATGCCTTTTTACAGGGAGGGAAGGTCACCTTTCTTGAAAGGTCTCCCCTCCAGGAGGGTCTTCAAAGGGTATATATGGGGGGAGGGGGGTGGAAAAGGGTTTTACAGAGAGGCAAGGTAACAAGGTGAGATGTGGAGTTTTTTTTCCATCCCTTTCAAATTTTTGATCATGAAATACTGTTTAACTAATGCAGGTGTAAACCCCTCCCCCCTTATCCTCCTTCCTATTATCTCGTAAGTACAGATAACCTTGGAGGAAGGTGACCTCTGCTCACAAGCCTCAATATGAAATACTGTTTAACTAAAGCAGGTGTAAACCCCTCCCCCCTTATCCTCCTTCCTACTATCTCGTAAGTACAGTTAACCTTGGGGGAAGGTGACCTTCTCCACTCACAAGCCTCAATATCTTTTCTTCAGGGTTAACTTTTTGCTTCATTAAGCCTGCGAAAGCTAAAGATTAGGTTAGCCCCTTAGTTGGGTCAGGTTTAAGGCTAAGAGAACACTGTTACACTCGCTATCACAGAGATTGTACATATTTGAGCAGAGAAATTCCACAACTTTCCATGACTTTTTCCATAACTTTAAAAAAAATTCCATGAGCTAAGTTGAGCAAGTGTGCTGATTGGTTCACTCCAAACAACACACAAATTTGCATAAATGTCATGCAAGTTTGCAGTGTACACAAAAATGTGCACAAGTGTAGATCTTGCAACACACCCTAATGTAGAGTTTAATTCTACTGAAATTAAATCTTACTTTGGATCTGCATTGCTTGGCGCTTACAGATAACCTGCTGATTTCCATGACTTTCCATGATTTTCCAGGAACCAAACCTAAATTCCACTACTTTCAAGGCCTGGAAAATAAAATAATAAAATTCCATAACCTACCATGTTTTCCACAACCCACTCCCAAATCAGATTTGTAATTCTCCTTACTGCCAACCGTACAATTCTTATGATCTTAGTTCAGAGAATTTATTACTGGATCGACGAATTATCCAAAATTGATATTTTTCTTTATTCTCTTCACTTATCTGGTTCATATCGTATTGATATTCGTATTCATATCGTATTGAGATTTTTTTGTTTTGTTTCTCAGTTTTAAAAATCAGAAAAGTCACAATATGATTCGATGCAGAAATTTATTAATCCACCATCCCGGAAGGCTGCTCCACCCCGGAATTATTCAACGGTAGGAAACTGTGATTGGTCAATATGCGATGAGGAACCGTTTATGCGCAACACTGAAAGAACAATGACTGATTGAGACTGAGTGTGTGTAAAAATATTTACCGACACGTCTGTTTCTCAATTTACCTGAGCTTGGCAATGGATACAAAAATTCCAGTTATCGATTTGGCTAACTTTGAAAAAGGCCAGCCGACCGTAGAGCAGACGATAGAAATTGGAAAAGCTTGTTTGGAGTTTGGCTTCTTTTACGTCGTCAACCATGGAATCGGGGAAGAACTAAAAGGAAAAGTCTTTGAAAAACTATGGCAATTTTTAATCTCTCGACTGAGAAAAAAGGAGAAATTCACAGACGTAACGGTTTCCGTGGATATTTTACGAAAGGAGAAGAGCACAGCATTGAGTATGGCTGCGTTGAGTGGAAGGAAGGGATATATTATTTTCGTGAATTTAACGATGTACCACAGGGAAGAAGAGAAAGAGCTTTCTGTGGCTCTAACCCTTGGCCGAACGATGAATATGTCCCGAGATTCCAGAAAGTAATATGGGAGTACTTTGAAAAGACTCAGGCATTGGCGTCGAAATTGCTGGGCTGCATGGCGATATTTTTAGGTTGGTACTGCAGAAAATTGAAATTTGTTAGTCGGAGACATGCTGGCCGCTACGTGACGGAATGCTCGAGCAGGCCCTCTTTGGCTAAGATTTTATCGACAGGGTTCCAAGTACAAAAACAAGTCCTTTTCACCGGTGAATTTTCACATTAAGGTCCTCTCTGAACTCAAACGTAGTGATTTCGAGAGTTGAACGAATAGAGTACGTGCCAGTTGCACTCACTGAAGTCATTTGTGCTTTACATTCCAGTATACGTGATCTCCTTGATACTTGCAAAAGTTTCATTTTCTTGTGAATGAGTATGGTTGCCTACCTCCTATTCCCTCTCTCGGTGAGAAATTAGTACCGGGTATAAACTTTTCTCTCACGAGTGACCGAGACAGAATTTCTCCTTACGATATCAATGTAAAATCAAGCAGACGCGTCATTTAGAGAAATGTAAATTAAGGGTTATTAATTGATACAATACCAAATTCTCTTAACTAACATCACCAGAGTTGTATGGCAGACAGTAGGGAGAATTACTAATGAGATGTTAAGAGTGAAAGGGTTGGGCAATGATACCTGACAAACCTCTCTGTCTGTTTACTCTTTTGCAGGCCTGGAAAGGGATTTTTTCAACAAGGAATTCACTAATGATCCATTTGCTCAAATAGCTATGTTTCACTACCCTCCCCACCCTACATCAAAAGATGACCCAGAGGTGTGGGGAGTGGGGAGACACACTGATTATGGCATGCTTACAGTTCTTCTCCAGGATGATGTAGGTGGACTTGAAGTGGAGACCAAAGATGGACTGTGGACAGATGTTCCCCCAGTTCCAGGCGCTCTCATCATTAACGTAGGAGACATGGTAGAGATCTGGACAAATGGGGCTTTTAAGGCCCCTCCCCACAGGGTCAAACTGTCAGCAACTAATCATAGGCTTTCAGTTGCAATGTTTTATGATCCAGGGTTTGAGAGTGTTATCTCACCCATTCCTGTTGACAAAGCTCTAATTCCTTTAGAAAAATCTATGACAAAGCCCTCTTTGGCGTTTCCAATACGCTATGGTGATTACGTTCTGAGTAAATATTGCAGCATCTTACCAGAGAATAAGCCATAACATAAAATATGTAACACATGTAAAGATACAGTTCTAGATAATTTGTTGCTTTTTATAAGAATAACTCATGATTTATGAAGTAAATGATAGGATTATTAATGCACTCTATTGCCAAGTATTGTAGCTACCCCAAGAGTTGAAAAAAAAAATAGAAAAATATTTAAGCTGCATTCATTTGTAACTGTTGATAACAGCTTGCACAGCCATTACCAAATTTAAATTTGTTGAATTTTCCCCCTCTTGGATGAAAGATAGGCCATGACAGATTTCCCTAATCTGCTCCCATCTAGTATACTCTGCAATTTAGTGTGCATAGTGAGAGAAAAATCAATAAACCTTTGCAGAAATAAAACAAAAATATGAAATGACTTACGCCACTTTACACACAGGCAAATGTTAAACCTATAACCTGCCAGGTGGATTTTAAGGCAATTGAAATATCCATGCAAAATTAACCACAAGGGTTAGAAAGCAGTTTATTTTCCCTTTGGCAGGCATGATTTTTGCTAGCAAGTGCTCAGTTTTTTCTTGGTTGAAAATTATAGCTGCATGGTGTGGGACAATAAGTTACTTTTCCATTTCCCCACCCCATCATTCATTCTTACTTTAACTCAATTACATTGCCAGTGAAATGAACAAATGCAAGGTTGCAACATTAACTTATCTTGACATCTGCATTGAAGGGTTAGTCAAGACCAAAAAAATAAATGTTTCCCTTTCCCAGCCTTTTGTATGGTGTAGAGTATTCATAGGTCAAGTGATTCCTCTCATTGCCCTTATTCAACTGTCTTTTATTCAGTGATCAAGATAGCATATTTACCATAGGATACTGACAATTAGTTATTTGCAGTGCTTTCAGTAAGATTTGAAGTAGGTAGCTATCTCAGGTCAGGTGTCCCGCAAGGGTCACAATTGGGACCGATACTGTTCTTACTATTTGTTAATGACATGCCTAATGTTGTTACCAGTGCAACACTAGCTATGTTTGCAAATGACTCTAAATGTTACTAACCACCATTCTGATTTCTTGCATCTGCAGCAGGATTTAGACGCACTTTCAAATTGGTCTTTGCGTAATGAGTTGTTTGTTCAGCCTACTAAGTACAGCAATTTGAAAATTTCTAGGAAGTGCCTAAGTCCTCCTTGTAGCTATGTTTTAAATGGTATTAATGCGGAGGTTGTCACAGCCGAAAAAGATCTAGGTATTATGATTGCAAATGACACCTCTTGGAAAGATCACTTAGTCGTGATTGTTGCTAAAGCTAATAGGATGCTTGGTTTTCTCAAAAGGAACTGCCCTGGTATTGTTGGTAGTAAGGTGCTTTTGCATCTTTACTGCTCTTTAGTGCGCTCTCATCTTTGTTTTTGCTCTCAGTTATGGGCCCCTCAGTCAAGTACCAGCAATTTAATCCTTGTTGAAAACATACAAAGGAGAGCTACTCATTTTATCTTAAGGAATAGTAACCTATGTTTTAAGGGTCGTCTAATCAAGCTTAAGTTATTACGGCTAAGTTACTGGTTAGAATATCTTGACTTAGTTTTCTTTTTTAAGTGCCTTCATGGGCTTATAGATTTCACTCATGAATTTAGTTATTATTTTTCTTTTCTAAAGGGCAACACGCGCTGTGCTTCATCAGGGCTGCATTTAAATTTAAATGCCTGTTGTATGTCTTCCTTTCGAGACTTTTACTTCAACAGAATAACTTTGATGTGGAACAGTTTACCTAAAAATATCAAGGATTCAGATACTATAAGCTCTATTAAAAGTAAACTCAAGTCGTTTTATTTTACTAGAATTTTGAATGCTTTTGATAGAGACAATTTTTGTTCTTTTAAATTAATTTGTCCTAAGTGTCCCAGTGTAAATACTTCTTCTGACTGTACTTGTTAAGTTAAGTTAAGTTGTTAATTTGTATACTTTAGAATGTTCTGTGTGATTTAGATTATTTGAATTGTAGTTTAGTCAGATCAGGGAAGGGATCTTTTTTCAGGATATTTCTTTCCGGGATATTTTTTTACGGGGCTGGGTGTTGATGTATTAACCAAGTAGGGGACTTATGTTCTATTGTTATGCACCTGTACTTGTACTTGTACAAATCCATTAAATAAATAAAATAAATAAATAGACCTCTCAGTCTCCTGCTTCGAACGCTGAATGCACTTTTTGTGATTGCAAGTTTTTATTTTGTTTTTGTTTTGTTCTTTGATTTTGCGTTTTGTTGGTTATTGAGTGAAATTAAAGATTTGCAGCAGTGACTTCTACCAGTTTTATTTTCTGGAAAAACCTAAGCATTTTTCATTTCTGCAGAATTGTTCATTTACTGTTTACAAAAGATAATTAAATTTAATCAATCAGCCAATGAATTTAGCTGTTTCCAAGACTCGTGTTTCACATGATCGTCAACAATCATTGTGTAGTCATCGTGTCTACAAAGTAGCTCTTTTGAACCTTCCTTACATCTAGAGAAATCTAGATCATAGAAATTGACGCCCAGCAAGATGAAAGGACTACAAACAGGTGAACTAAATTTACTTTATGATATTCTTGCTTAGGTTTCATTCATTCATTCAAGAATATCATAAAGTAAATTTAATTTACATGAGCTACTTTTTAGCAAATGTTAATTTCAATGGCAAACACTTGAAGCAGATTATAAAGATCAATATTCCACAGCACTTACTGATCGTCCATTGTGGAAACAGTGTTTAGACTGATGGCCGATGAAGAATGGGGCAAATATGAAAAAAAAAGACTGGGTCGAGGAAGTCAGTGAAAAGAAAATGGTGGCTGTTTTGATCGTGCAGGTTGAGCAGGTAGGCTTGAGTCCCTTCCCCTATTTTTTTTTATTTGGTTGATTATTTAGGGTAGTCCACAGGGTAGTCAGCAGAGTAGTCCATGGGGTAGTCCGCAGAGTGGGGGTCAGTGGGTAGTCCGTGGATCGGGTGTCAATCTTTTCAACTCTCCTGTAAATGCCTTTTTACAGGGAGGGAAGGTCACCTTTCTTGAAAGGTCTCCCCTCCAGGAGTGTCTTCAAAGGGTACGTATGGGGGGGGAAAAGGGTTTTACAGAGAGGCAAGGTAACAAGGTGAGATGTGGAGTTTTTTTTTTCCATCTCTTTCAAATTTTTGATCATGAAATACTGTTTAACTAAAGCAGGTGTAAACCCCTCCCCCCCTTACCCTCCTTCCTACTATCTCGTAAGTACAGATAACCTTGGGGGAAGGTGACCTCTGCTCACAAGCCTCATTATCTTTTCTTCAGGGTTAACTTTTTCCTTCATTAAGCCTGTGAAAGCTAAAGATTAGGTTAGCCCCCTAGTTGGGTCAGGTTTAAGGCTAAGAGATCACTGTTACACTCGCTATCACAGAGATTGTACATATTTGAGCAGAGAAATTCCACAACTTTCCATGACTTTTTCCATAACTTTAAAAAAAATTCCATGAGCTAAGTTGAGCAAGTGTGCTGATTGGTTCACTCCAAACAACACACAAATTTGCATAAATGTCATGCAAGTTTGCAGTGTACACAAAAATGTGCACAAGTGTAGATCTTGCAACACACCCTAATGTAGAGTTTAATTCTACTGAAATTAAATCTTACTTTGGATCTGCATTGCTTGGCACTTACAGATAACCTGCTGATTTCCATGACTTTCCATGATTTTCCAGGAACCAAACCTAAATTCCACTACTTTCAAGGCCTGGAAAATAAAATAATAAAATTCCATGACCTACCATGTTTTCCACAACCCACACAAAACCAACAATCATAACAAAGATAGCTTACCCCAGTAATAAGCGTTAAGAATTATTTTTGGAACTATGCTGGCCAGAGGTGACAGTCTGAACCTGGGTGATACAAGATATCTTCCTGTGGTATTGTCCAGTATCATCTGTGAAACCTTTCACTGACCTTTTACCTAGGAAAAGTTTGCTGTGCAATAGAAATACTGAAATATCATTGCAAACAATAAAAGATCAAACCAATAGTTGTTTATTACCAAGTAACAACAGCCTCTGAACTCAGAAATCAGTTTACATTTCACCTGACGAGATACATATTTTGAAAATTCTCTTAACTACACTCAGCCATAAGTATTAACAGTTTATTGCATTTTGCAAGACCATTAATGTTCCAATTAGCCACAAGAAAAGAACAGTTACATAAAAAAAATTGCCGGCAAGGATCCAAAGGCATCAATTCAGCGAAAAAACAAAACTTTCTCAAATTACGGTGTCGATCTTTGGCTGATTGATCGGCGTCTCGTTATCAACATTGCGTGCGCAGATTAAAAGACTTCAAGAAAATATATTCTTTACAGTAGAAGTAAGAAGATCCGCATCAAATTTCATTCGTCATTTTCAAATTCTTTCAGATTCTTCCTGTTTCGCTTGTGAAAGTCGTCATTTGCCCATGTGTAGATCAATATTCCAGTGATAACAGCCGGTAGCTGATACGGTAACTGCAACTTCACTCTTCTGGCCATGTTTGCCATCCCTTTCGCAATCCCAGCAAAAGCACGTTGTTCGAATGGAGACAAGGAATAAGTGATGATATTCTTGGCATTCGTCAGCATCCCAAATTTTCGACCCATCTTGAACCAGAAGCACCCAAACAGGGAAGATTTACCACGGGAATGCAGTTATAACATCAACTCGAAACAAGCCAATATGGCGTTCAAAGCTCGCTAGGAAGCATGGGATCGTGGTCGACTTCGTCTCTGAATAATATCGGAGGCTTCCGACAAGGTCCGATTATTGACGATCACTGATATCAATGAATGCGGGCTCGCGGGAAGTTGTTTGCACGTCAACCAACGTCAACGGTGTTGAGTTCCGCTTTCGCGTGATGGACCACGTCTTCCACCTGAGTCATTTATTTGATTCGAGATTCTCTGACCTTTTAATGTAACCAATTTACAGATTTGCTTTTTTGAGGGCGTTTGGACCTCGACTTGCTGGCATGCGAAGGAGGAAGAGGAGTGTAGGCGAGCGCTACCGGCTCGTTGCTCCAAAACATGCTCAAACTGATGAACATCTCAATAACATTCACTCTAAGTACAATCTTGGCAATTCGATCAAGACCACCAAGTATTCACTATGGTCCTTTCTTCCAAAGAATCTATTCGAGCAATTTCACCGATTTGCGAACATTTACTTCTTGACGATCATAATTTTAAATTTGATTCCTGAAATTAATGCATTTGGGAAATACATCGCCATGGTGCCTTTGATATTTGTTCTTTCGGTGACGGCGATAAAAGATTTATATGAAGATCGAAGACGGTACAAATCGGATAAAGCGGTGAATAATAATATCTGCCATGTTTTTAACAGGTGAGTATCTCTATTTTCCAATTTTATTTTTTGTTTTTTGCTGCTCTTGGGTTTACCCAGTTGCATATTTTATCAAGTCGACGTGGACGTTCTTCAAATCTTGTTCTTAAAAGCAAATATTCTAAGCTGAAGCTCCGTATGTCTTTTATGTTTCATTATTACTCTAGAAACGTGTAGAGAGTGACATATTGGAAACACGCTTTCAATCTCAAGATTTCTCTTATGAGGTTGATAGATCTAATATACAAGAGTGCTTGAAAGATTTAGTCTGCAACATTCATTACAAAGATCTAGACTTGTGATAAGTAAACACATCTGCCCACACACTTAAGTAAATTTTAATGAGCGGAATGATGTTCCCCATGACAAAGCAGGAAAGAAAACAAACTTCAATTAACCTTCACTTTAACATGAAGCTTTTTTTTCTCCTTGTACTTTTCCCCTGTAATAAATCAAAATTGCAAAAATATGCTAAATATGTTGACCTTCAGTTGACCAAAAGAGAGTATGGGAAGACTACAAGCGTTTATTAATTTTTGTAGACATTGTGAAATTAATGATGTCAGGTTAAAAAGCAATGTTTACTGGAGGCTGATGTGGTTCAACCACCCAAAGATGACTGTCAAAATAGTGTGGCACTTGAAATATTATGGGGATTTATGATCATAGGGTTAACTTATGCAAAAAATATTTTTTAGCTTAAGCCAAAAACTGCTGTTTACCATTCAAACATAATTATACATTTTAATGATTTAGGAGAAAAATATTTACAGAATCATGTCAAAATAAAACTTCAAATGTTACATCATTAAAAGCACAGGAAAGAAAAAAGGCAATTTCTTACATATTATAAAATATCTCTTTTACTGGATCTGGCAAATTTTCTAATTTGTGATGTGTTGCTAATCCAATTTAATCACAGGTTTTTTATGTGAATGGACTTATTAGAAATATATGTTTGTGTTAAATTTGGAATTTACATAATAACAGGTTAATGTAAGTTCTGTTTCAGCCAAGTTTAACAGTGGCCTCTGACAAGCTTTCTTTTCTGGGAGTGAAAAAAAATATATATATGTTAGAAATATATCTTAGAAATATATGTTTGTGTTAAATTAGGAATTTACATAACAACAGGTTAATGTAAGTTCTGTTTCAGCCAAGTTTAACAGTGGCCTCTGACAAGCTTTCTTTTCTGGGTGTGAAAAATTTGATATGTTGTGTTTTTATAAAGTATGGTTACAGTAGTTGACTCAAATGAATGGTTTCATCTTCAAAAAATGAACTCAAACAGAAACCACAAAAAATTACTTAATTTAGAATAGAATGATATAAGATGTACATTTATAGATTTTTTGGACCTAGTCTAAAAAAATCATGACATGTAAAAAGTTATATATAAAAGCCAGAAATTATAGTCAATAACTAGAACAGTATCAGACACCATTACCAACCAGTATAAATAAAATTATCATATGGCCAACAAATTAGCAGCTGCAGACAGTAACTGTTGTTTGAGCTTCATTATGTCAGGTGCAATGTGTTCTGCACCAGTTTATATATTCTTTTTACATCCTTCCTTCTGGAAATGAAATACACTCCATACACTTTTTAAAATAATAATTCAACTTATTTTTTTATATTTTAAAGTGAGGCTAAGGAATATCAACCAGTCAAATGGAAAAAGGTGGTAGTTGGAGATTTTGTGAAGCTTAGAAGTGATGAGAGCATCCCATCAGATATCCTTTTAATTAACACAAGTGATGAAAATTCTATTTGCCACATTGAGACAGCTAACCTTGATGGAGAAACCAATCTGAAGCAAAGAGAAGTGGTGAAAGGACTTAATCTGGTATTTATAGATTTATTTTTGAATTGTTTTTTGCTTGATACTGAGCTGAACAACTCTCATAGTTGATGGTTTCTTTTCATTAACCTTTGAAGAATATGGATACTGATTTTAAGTTAAACAGATAAAATTTTCTAGATCAGTGTAATTTCTATTTTGAAATTTGCTTGAAGAAAGAAATTAAAATCCATATGGGTTTAAAATTTTTAAACTTAATTTTGCTTGTTTATAAGGGTCATTAAGTGTTCTTACAAGCACCAGCAACTTCTGTTATCGTTATTTTATTTTTGTTGACAGGAAAATTTGAGATTTTCCCCCGAACAGTTTGAATTTAAACTCAAGTGCGAGGAGCCAAATAATCACATTCACAGATTCCATGGGACCTTGTAAGCATATTGTTTTGACAACTGCATTTGACTTTTGTAACTGTCATGATGACTTCCACCAAGGTTGCAAAGAAGGCCAGTGTCAGTCACTACTTAGTCTGTTCAGTAGTACTGATAGGAAACTATCTGAGCACTAGACCTCTTGGTTTTTTGGTCGACACTAAGTGTGACAGCTTATAAGCCTCCTGTTAATATAGTGAAATTATGTGTACATCTACTGTGAATTCGGTGGGTACTATTGTGAGACATCACACCAGCGGGAAAGATGATCAAGTTTATAAGCTCAGCTATCCAAGAAGAAGGAATCATATTTACCTTCTTGCATGAGCATGAGTTATAGAAAACAAAACTTTCTGTCACATTAGCCTAACTTAGTATATTTAAGTTTATTGGAGATAAGATTTCAGCAGCTGTGTTATTTGTTGGTCTCTCTTCTGATGTTCAGATCCAATAATGAGGGAAGGGAGATTCCTGTTGGAAAGAGCAATCTGCTCTTGCGTGGCTGCATTATTCGCAATACAGACTGGGCAGAGGGAATGGTTGTCTATGCAGGTAAGGAAATGCTTTTACATGGAATTCAGAATATAAGTATTGACATTAATGGGGGAAATTTTCTTCAATTTAAAAGATTTCCAAACAATTTAATTTTTATTTTTCTTTAATTGCCTCTCACTAGACATCCATAGATCAGAAAAAAGGGAAATTTAAACCATTGCACATGTAGGCAATTCATATTTGGTTTGACATTCTGGGGAATAGGTGCAGGACTAAAATTTGCCCTAAAAACTCTTGAATGTTTTACCTTGTTGTCTAAGGTATGGGCTATAGTTACTGTACTGTAAAATATATGTGGTGGTATGACTGACCTTCAGGGATCATTTTATAAACTTTTAAACAAAAAATGTTTTTTTTTCTAAATTTCCCTGTTGCTGTTAGGTCATGACACCAAAGCTCTAATGAATAACAGTGGTCCAAGATACAAGCGCAGTAAAGTGGAAAGGGATCTTAATAAAGATGTTGTGGCTTGTGTCCTCATTCTCTTCATTCTATGTTTCCTTGGTGGTGTTGGTAAGTAATGTGGTAATGTATATCATAGCAGACTATGTAGAACACTGGAAAAAAATTTCTCAGCAGTAAGCCCACTGCCACATTTTCAAGAAGAATAGTTGTTAGATATGCTTAGCATGTGTACAAAGAAAACCCTCTGAAATTTTTCTTGTTTCTAATGAGTGGCTAGAACCTAGGTAGTAGGGCCCAACTAGTATCTGGGAAGCACTGGTGAAAATCCAGTTGACGCCCAGTTTTTTTTTTTTTTCAGACTTCCCATCTGCAATTGCTAAAATTTCAGCTTACCTGCAATGATCATGGCTTAATTTGATTTGTAGTTTCATAATTAAATTTAAAAAGCTTTGTGAATTCTCTCTCATTTTTTGACAATGCATGTCTCTGTCACAGGTTGTGGGTATTGGTCGTGGAAAAATGGTTTCTTCAACACACACTTCACACCTGGTTTCACTGGTCCAGATCAGCCATTTGTGAGAAAACCAGAGATGGAGGGTTTCATCAGATTCTGGACATTTGTCATAATTTTGCAGGTTTGCTTGTTTTTTTAGTAGGTACATGTACATGACCTGTGTGATACTTTTTTCATGAACTGTGGTGGTTCTTTACGTGACCATTAAACTGAAATTGCTCCTCTTTTGTACCAGTAATTATAGATACTCTAACTTGTCATTTACATTTACAGAGAATATCCCAAACAGGCATACTTGTGCTGAACACATTTATTTATCCTCAGGTCCTCATTCCAATCTCGCTTTATGTTTCTATGGAAGTTGTCAAGTTGTTCCAAGTGTATTTCATCTCTAATGACCTGGAACTATACTATCCTGAAATGGATCAACCAGTCCTATGTCGTGCACTGAACATTAATGAGGATCTAGGACAGATCAAGTATGTCTTCTCAGACAAGACAGGAACCCTAACTGAAAACAAAATGGTATTCAAGAGGTGTACCATTGGTGGAAGAAACTTTCCTCACAGGGACAAACTTGGTAAGAATGTTGCATGCATAGGGTGTGTGGAAGGGAACAATTTAATATGATCATCCTCTATTATTTAAACCTTTTGTTATAAATTGGAATTGTTTTTTACTGGAAAAAAATCCATTTCCCTTTAAGGGCCACCCCTTTCCCCTCAGAATCTTCAGGGTTAGGGTTAAGGTCAGTCCAGTCTGAGTGGGTGCTCAGTATTTTCTTTGCAACAATTGGGCCACCATCTTTGATTTTAATGGCAGTGGTAGGCTGGGGAGAGAAAGAAACATTTGTACCAAGGGGGTGAGCAATGGTCAGAAATAAGTAGAGGGATGGGGGTGGGGGAATGTGAATATTATGTTTCCCTCCCCCCCCCCCTCACCACTGCCTCTTTCTTCAAATCAAATGTGGCCAGTTTAAAAGACGATTGAGAGCTCCTGAAAGGTAACTCACTTAATGAGATGCCTGCACAGTTATAAGCAAGAAACGAAAATGCCAATTTTTTGACATTTCTTGATGAAACTTTGGTTATTTTTCATGTTAATGTCAGTGACAATCTTCTTCAACCACTGTCCCTTCTCTGGAAGAATTCTCTGAGCAGTTTGTTTCCACATAAGCAAGAGTTTCAGTGTATTCTTAATTTCTTAAATTAGCCTTCTCATTTTTCTTACTGTGGCTAGTAGAAAGCAATCACATGATTCCCAATCAAAAAGTTATTTTATAAATAACCCAGCATTGCTCCAGTGGTTTTTTAAATTTTTTTTTGCTCTATAAGGGAGGTGATGTTTATGATCATTTCTGACAAGTAGAACATGTCATGTACTGAAAGATTTTGTACACTTTAATCTGGCTGATTTTGATGTCTGTTTCATTGCAACAATTAACAGAGTCAGATGTTACAGATGCTGCACTGTCATCATCAGATGCTGATCAAATGTACCATCAAATTTCTGAGGGATCAAATGTAAGTGAATTATGATAAAGACTTACTGAAATTTGCTGATCCATGTTGCAAGGGAGCCATTTTAAATTTTTACATGTATTAAGAGATCCTGTCAAATTGTTCAAGATTTCCATAGGGATCTTTGTCTTGTGTAGTCTTGCAAGGGTCCTCCAATAATGATTTCTGTGATCTGGCTGTTAATGGTTTCTTAATTTATCCCATTGACTCCTAAGGGTGACCAGCATCTAACTTCTCCTTACAGTATCAACCCTGAATGACACATTAAGTTCACGGGAACAAAGAAAATCATTACCAACTAAATAAGCCCTGGCTTGTTAAACAAATTCTCCCTGTCAGTAACGTAAGGAATGTATAGAGAACAGTATAGAGAATACACAAACTAATTTTAAGGTGTAAAACAATGATGAGGCCATGGCTAGCAACTAGTTACAGGTTTGTTGATATGAATGTTCGTGTGTTATTAAGAGGTTGCCTGAATGGAAGCATTTGCTTTCGACCAGCCTGCAAAGTCACAGGAGTTAGAAGGCATTGCATTTCTATATTTCTCAGCAAGCTCAAAACTGGTCAGCGTGGCGAACAAAATGCTATTTCTCAGGCAATAACTGGCATTTCACAGATGTGAATGAAAATATTTTGTCTGTGGTAGTAAGTTATTCCTTCTTTCCTTCTCCAATCCCTTATGGCTTTCTCGTTAAATACAACTTTCTAACATTGCACAGAATCTTTTGTTTGCTTAATTTGACTGTTCCACATTGCAGGGTGGTGAAGTTTACTGGGATAAAGAACTTGCACAAGTAGTGGAATCGAGCAGCAGTAGTAGCTACCACTGTGGGCCACAAAGCTCTTACTTGAGAGAGTTTTTCATATTACTTGCCATATGCAATACTGTGGTTGTAACAAGAAAGTCTAGCGGGACTTCAAATAACAGCGCTTCACCACCAACAGATCAAACCGATTTACCCCACAATTCACATAATAAACACGTCCCTGTAGATTTAGGCGAGTACAGTTCGTGGAACGATCACCTCTGTAGGCCTGATTATGGAAGCACACACTCTCACTCAAGAGACTTAAGTTCTGCACATGGCAACCTGGGTGTGTCGGTAACACCTGTGAAAACTGCTCTTGAAAGGTCATCTAAACGGCCTAAGTGCCCCGCATCTCTGATGGAAGCTGCGGTGGAAGACAGTACAGCAAATGACGAAATTATTTATGAAGCAGAGTCGCCTGACGAGGCCGCACTTGTGAAAGCTGCTCACTTGTACGGCTACAAACTTTTAAGTCGTAGTCCTGAGAAAGTTACTTTGCATATTCCTGGCGAGGGTCCAGTGACTTACGAAATATTACAAGTGCTACCATTTGATTCTTCGCGTAAACGCATGTCAGTTATCGTGCGCCGTCAGGATGACAGTAGCATAGTGTTGTATTGTAAAGGAGCTGATTCAGCCGTGCTTCCAAAGCTGGAACGAGCTAATCAACAGTTCCGAGCGGATGATGTTGATGCAGGTGAAGGGTCGTGGGCGGCCAGGAGTAGCAGTAGGGGATCGTTAGTGGAGGAGACGTCGAGTCATTTGGATCTTTATGCTAGGGATGGGCTAAGGACTCTTTGTATGGCCAGAAGGGTGAGTGATTTATGATACTACTTTGCTAAAGATTGTAACAGTTCAATAAAGTGTGATTGTTGTAATATAATTAAGACTGTAAAGACTACAGCGTTATGCCTTTCAACTGTCTAAATGACCGCGTACTGTGGGGGAAACGGCACAGAGGTCTGCAACGCATACAGTAAATTAATAATCTTCGCGAGGTTATGGTCCAAAACACGGAACTACCCATGTTTTGTATTATATTTCGAGCGAAGTTTCGCCCCGTTGGCAACGATGCACGCTATACGGATTTTCATTCCTTGGATTAGACTAGAAGTAAGGACTTCAAATCGTGTGAAAACTAATTACGCGAAAACTCCATGGTTTCCCAACTTCGAGAGTCTCGAACCGAGTTTCGATGGTCTCGATACTCGACTTAAACATCTCGAAACTCGATTCGAGCCTCGATCCTCGAATTTATTGGGTATCGGGTATCGAGTATCGAGGTTCGAGATCGAGGTTCGAGGGACTGTCAACTTACCTTTGAGCGGTACTGTATAACACTCCTCAGTTTTGGCTAAATGACGGAACGGTTACAGCTAACTTACAGTAACAGAACCTACCTTTACGACCGAGAGTAAGTTGTATTTTATCAAAAGTGTTGCACAATTTTCTGAGGATTGTACACCAAGAGTTAGAATAATATACTGCTTTGTGACGTAAGGATGCTCTGTTAGGTCCGCAAAAATTAAAACTCGCAAAACTTTCATGTTGTGCTATAGAAATACATATGGTTAATTAGAGTCCTCAATATATTTCATTTTCAATGCTGAGAGACCCACTGGAATATTGGCGCAGAGCATATGCACGACAGGAACTGACTGAAAAGAAATCGTGAAGCCGTCTTTGCTAAAGCACTTAGTGTTGTAGCGATAATTAGACTCGGACAAAAACATCATATCTACTGTTGTTTCAGGACTTAGCAACCGGCGATTACGAGGATTGGTTTGAACAACACCGGCATGCTGAAACAGCTCTCCATGACAGAGAAAGGCTCCTTCGAGAGTCAGCCCATAGATTAGAATGTAACTTGGAGCTCCTTGGTGCTACTGGCATTGAGGACCGTTTGCAAGATGATGTCCCTGAGACCATCGCCATGTTACGTGAGGCAGGCATCAAAGTTTGGGTCCTCACAGGAGATAAGCAGGTGATTGAAAGATGAAATTATAACCAGATACTCTGTTAGCCCGTCTGGTCATTGGAGCGCTTTTCAATTGAGTATCGTAAAAACAAAACCAGAGTATTACATTGGCCAATCAGGGCAAAATAAAACACTACAATCAGCCAATAAGAACTCAAAGTGAAAACGGGAAAACTACTAGAAGCGCGGGAAACGCGGGTGCGCACATTGGTATTGGTTTGATTCTTGCATCTGATTGAGTTCCCTCAACAACACGCAGGTCCTAGTGAAGCAAAACTAATGCAGGCGCCGTTTGCTTCCGACACCTAACTGAAAGTATCTCAATTTCTGGAGACCTATGAAGTTTTGCTTTTAGCTTTTCACGCTGGTTAACTTACTCACAGATTAACTGATTTCTTGTTTTGTGCGTCTGTAGTATTTGAAATTGAATTAACCCAAGCTGTAATTTTATTTAGGAAACCGCAATTAACGTGGGATATTCCTGCAAACTTTTGGAAAGTGCAATGGAAAGGATCGTTTTGAACGCGAGAACAAAGGTATGCTTTCCTTTTCCTATTTGTTTAATAGCACTTATTTTTTAGTCCAAGAACCAAACAAAATCGTAACTTCATTTCTGCCGGCAGGCGGAATGTGAAGACCAGATCACATCTTGGCTGGCGCATTTTGCGCAGTCTGAAGTAAGGAGTATTTCCAGCGACCAGTCCTCCAACACAGTGTCAGGCCGTATCAATGCACCCCTGAATGACAAAGCTGTCGGACTTGTGATTGACGGACGGACACTCATGTTCGCGCTCGAGGAGCCTTTGAATGAAAAGTTCTTGGACTTAGCCAGACATTGTCAGGCGGTTCTTTGCTGTAGAGCTACTCCGTTACAAAAGGTTAGTTGTGGTATGTAAAGTTCTAAACTTGGCTAGGGCTGATCTTAACGATGGTGTAAATTCAGACAAAAGACGACACGTTGTAGATAATAAAAGAAACTATTGCCTTAACCCTTTACACCCTAAGATCAGTATGCATATTCTCCATACTGTTTTCTACACATTTCCTAAGGTGCTGTCGAGGAGATTTTGCTTAACAATCAAGAGCTCTTGTACATGCTGATCATCTCCTTTACACTCAGGACCTTAATGTTTGATCCAGGGGTCATACTGTAAGGAGAAATTACAGGCTTGTCACTCTCAGTGGTGAAAGGGTTAATGTTAAGGGTTAATGTTATAGGTATTTCACTCTTTCAGTTCGGCCAATGATTTGAACCTTGGAGTAATAGTTGGTAGGATAATCTCATCGGGAAAAAAAAAACCGTTGGAGTCTTTCATCCAATAACGTCGCCACGACGGCAAAACTTCCTGTAGGATCTTTTTAGAACAATCCGCTCTAACTGCTGAACCGAAAAATTCTTGCTACACGATCCACTAGATTTGACTTTTATTTATATCCCCAACTGAGCCTCGGTATGTCTTGGTTTTTAGTCTGCAGTTGTTCAGCTGGTCAGAAATGGACTGAAAACAATGACGTTAGCGATTGGTGATGGTGCTAATGACGTAAGCATGATACAAATGGCCGACGTTGGAATTGGAATTTCGGGTCAAGAAGGAATGCAGGCTGTCATGGCAAGCGACTTCGCCATTGGTCGATTTAAATTCTTATCTCGCCTCCTATTGGTCCATGGTCACTGGTGCTATGATCGAATCTCCAAGATGTTTCTTTATTTCTTCTTCAAGAATGCTGTAAGTCAGCTATAAATTTGACTCTATTTAATTTTAGACGATAATGTTTTCGATGAATCAGAATAACAGTTTTTATACAGAGTGTTTTGTTTTGTAACCCTTTAACTCCCGGAAGTGATTAACATGCAACATCTTCCTATAATATCCATGCATTATCCACCAAACAAGTGATGAGAATACTCCCACTTTTCAGGTAGAAGTTGTTATCTAGCAACAAATTCTCATAACTAATTTACAAGGAAATGTGTAGCAGCTAAAGGGAGAATTAAAAATCAGATCGTGAGAGTTAATGAATTATGGCTGGAAAGCAGAAATGAAAATTTACCTAAATCTGCAGCCAAATAAACTAAAATCAATCAATTTTATTCGTAATTATTTAATAATCTGTCAAGCCGTTCAACTTTAATTTGTGTGAGTTATTATGTACTACCATGGAATAATGACAAAAGCAAAAATGCCTGATAGAAATAGCGGTCTGGCAGAAACCGGTGGACGTAGGTACTTGAGGTTATTGACTTCAGCTTGCAATAGAGTGCTATTCGATTGAGTGCCGCAAAACCAAAACCAAAGTTAGAGCAACAGTCAATCATAGCATGGAAACTATCACAACGAGCCAATCAGAAGAAAGGAAACTACCTTCAAGAACCAATAAGAAGTCTGAGTACAAACAACCAACTGACTAAAACGCGGGAAAACGCGAGAAAACGCGGGTGACCAAGGCGTGAGTGGTTTCAGTTTTGCATCTGATTGGTGGAAAAGGTGGCGCGAGTTTTCTTGACCAATCACAGAGCGAAATAAAGCAGAAACAAAGCAATCTCCAATTACTTACGACATATTATTTAAAAATTGCTCTATTTTCACTGTGCTTTTCCTTTCAGATGTTTGTGCTCGTTCTTTTCTGGTTTCAACTTCACAACGGTTTCTCAGGCTCAAATGCTATCGACGACTTGTCTCTGATTCTCTTCAATCTCGCGTTCACAACGGTGCCTCCGGTGATTTGTGGAGTCCTGGATAAAGATGTTCCCGATCTAATATTGACTGCAAATCCTTCTCTGTACAAAACAGGACAGAAGAGCAAGGTTCAGATCAGTAGAATACAGCTTTTTTTTTTAAATGTAGCTGTAACCGAACTATTCCTCGTATTACAAAGATCTAGTTAGACAAACCATGTTAAGAAGCACCAGACACTCTGAGTCCCACTTTGAAGTACACGTGTGGAACGCGCTAGTCATGTGTTAGGCGTGCTGGACTGTGGATCGGTCTGCTTACGAGCCCCGATTAGCGTGGTGTCTTCTTGGGCATGGCGCATCCCTGTCACAGTTTTTCTTCTTGCCCAAGAGTAGGAGTGGTTACGGATGAACTTTTAGTAACAAGTGACGGTTCTTCGTCGGGAAAAAGGGGAGTGGGGGGGTAGGGTCTCCTACGATGGACTAGTACCCGTTCACAAGGAGTTGTGATACTCGTAGTCACCTCGTGTTATAGTCACGTGGTTAAACTCCATTATTCTCGCCAAACTTTCTCTTAAAGTATTCCTTGGCACATATCATACCGTTCCTGAAGAGGTACTGATCAGATACGGATTGAACAGGTTTTTGAGCCTACTCCCAAGGGCCCTTTGCCAATCATCAAGCAATGTGAAAAAGGCATTTGTTTTAATCACGGATTTGTTTGAAGTACTTTGTTAGTAAAGGACTGTATTTTGAATAAAACTTTTGGATTTGTTTATACCTATAGCTTTACACAAGGAAGCTGTTTTGGACGACAATCTTGGATGCTTTGTATGAAAGCTTGGTGGTGTTCTATGTAGCTTTCTGGGTGAGTTACATCGTATAATGAACCTGAAACACCAAAGGCCTAAGAGCGCTTTTTGATTGAGCCAAAGAACCTTGGACGCTTTAATAAGCTCATGGTGCTAATCTGTCTCGGGCACCGACAAGCGGGTTTGACTAATTTACAATTAGCCTTAGATTTGAATCTGACTGGTCACAAGATCTTCTCAATAACAAAAAGAGGTGGGAAAAATCTTGTGCAAACCGAATTTCTTTCTTCACTCCTTTGACTGTTGCTCCAATCAGTGTTGAAGAACACGTGATTTCATAAATCAAACCAAAAATGACAAATTGACTTGTCAAATGTTTTAATGAAAGTAATGAAGTATTTAATCTCAAGATTTCTGCTTTAATTTCCGATGGTAGATTGATTTCTCAGATAAGAACTGTAAATAAGGGCCAGAAGTTGATTCAGCAATGCGTCGACGCATTAGAGGATGTCAAGTGCAATTAATAAGTGTCACTGTTTTCAACTATTTCCAATTTTTATTCATTACAGGTGTATAATGGAACCGCTGCTGGCATTCGCATGGTTGGGGTTACCCTTCATCAGAGTTCTGTGATAGTTGCCAACTTGTATTTAGCTCTGATCACAGCTCAGTGGGTAAGGAAAACAGCGAATATTTCAACCGTCATTTCTTTTTCTCCCAAGTAATCGAACCTTTCTCAATTTTACTTGAAGTTTCGATTTAACGCAGTTCACCATATATATATAAGGAAAAGAATGCACAAGTGAAATATGACTTTTTTACCCCCTCTGATTGACTAGCTCGGAAGTGACTAGCAACGCACTATTCAACCAAGAGCAGCCGAAGTCAAACAATGAGAGGAAGTAACGACAGAACTCAACAAAAACCTTAAACCACAGTACGGCCAAGGTTCAAACCCAGGCCCTCAATCGGAACTTGAGCACGCTAACCGTTAGGCAAACGCATCTCCCAGGAGATAACTCCTCAAATGTCTGTAATTTTGCGGGCAACTGCAAATCTGTCTGTTAATGTAAGGCGTACTAACTCATGTCGTGGCATTTTACCCGCAGACAATTCTACATCATGTGTTCCTATGGGGTAGTATCGGTACCTCATTCGTGTGGTTCGCTGTCTTTGGCGAAATTAGAGGCGTCTTTTGGGAGATGTATAAAGTACCATTCGTAACCATGGCAACCAGGGAATTCTGGGCTGTTTGCGCTTTAAGTGCGGTTGCTGCTCTGCTTCCAAGGTATTGTTGAATGTTATCCGATGTAAGTTTAGTTCTCAGTTAGTAATCGGGCGAATGATTTCAAACTGGCCAAGCGCGTAGCGCAAGGTTCATTTGAAATTAGGAGCACGATGACACCTGACACGAAGTCCGATTACCAATTAATGTCGGCAGAACAACAAAATGCGAGAGGCTCAAGAATGAAACATGTAATTTTAAGGGCTTGTACGCTTCTTATGGATAACTGATCAGCTAAAGTTCAATTTTCTAAAGTTGATTTTCAATCCAAACCTGTCAACGCGCTCATCTAAGAAGTTTTCCTTTATTCTGATTGATCAGCGAAGGGTTGGAAGGTGAAATTCATTGATTGATAGTTTATAGTGCTTCATCATTTTTCGCATAGGTAATCACATAATTTCGAGTGCAATTTGTGGTCTTTGGAAAAATTTACAAGTGCTTATTTATTCCAAATTGCACGAGGAAAATCATATGATTTCCTATCAATAATAAACATGAAAAAAAACGAGATAACTTATCATAATTATGCAGAGACAAGGCGCGCGCATCAAGTGCAAAAATAGTGTATTCAAACCCTGCAAGTGACATTGTGCGTTCTGTCAAAACAACTGCGTACGATCAAAACAATAATATACAATGATATTTTCACATCTTTAAGGCGCAAAAAAGTCGATAGTCCGGCTAAACAGTTCAAGGAATTGTTCAGTCTGGTTTGTTACTTCCTTGCATTGATTTAACCCTCTTCTGCATTGAATAACATGAAAACTGCTTTTATCTGAACCAATCAGAACTGAGTAATTTTTCATGTATCTTATTAACTGCTTAACTGTCCGATTTGGCTTTTTACTTTTTAATATTTTTTTTCCTATTTTCAGGGTGGTAATTTTCGTGTTTCGGCACACGATTTGGCCCACAGAGATCAACAAAGCTCAGCTGGAGTCAAAACAAAGGGAGGAGACATTGGAGAGTAGAACAACGTCCGTGGACCAAAGTCCTGAAATAGAGAGAACACCTATATCAGTTTAAGTGTAACGCAGCCCAGGCGATATACTTCGGTGATGTTCTCTGTTCTTTTCTCCTGTTAAGTGCTGTTGGGAATAGTTACCAGGTCTTTGCAACTTGAGTCGATCAAGAGAACAGTATAAGCGATTTTATCTCCTTTATGTATGCCGTCATATTAATAATTTTAACTCCTGGAGGTATCCATTAACTGACGAGAATGACAATTTTCGAATGTGCAACTAAACAACAAAAATGGTTTCGAATGGGTTGCAAACCTATCGAGCTATTTCTAAGACTGGAACATGTATCACAGGATGAAGCGCGACCTATTCTGAAACCGACATCGTTTGCACTCGACGTTTCCAAAATGGCTTGATAACTTAAGTACTGTAAATTTTATCCTGATATCCACAGAAGAGTACATTAAATAAATATATTTTGCGGATTTTGGGTTCATCTCTACTTGATCGTTGCATGGAGACCCGTATCAACCTAATTGTGAAATGGTAGTGAGCACTTCCTCCACTTTCAAACTCGGCCGATAACCCTAAGTACAAGTGCACTTTACTGCTTCTGCGTATATCGGTTCAACTCTTCACTCGCATGTTCAAAAAAAAAATTCTCACTACAGATTCTTACCGTACATCGTTTTTTGTTTTGTTTTGTTTTTTCACTCGAGCTGAAAGTTGGTGCTCTATCAAAGTGATATCCCATGGTTAAACTTGTGTCAATTCTTAGTACTTATCCATTTAACCAAGGGCATAGCTAAGCTTAAGGTTCTTGGGTGCCGCTTGATATTTGCGCGCGACGGACTTCCTGGTAAAAGAGAGACTGCTTGGGGTCAATTTACTTAGTTAACCCACCCAGGGAGGGAACGGAGGAAGAAAACGGGGTGGAATGGGAGGGACATTTGGGCATCTCCATTTGTCCAGTGCAGTCATTTTCTGTACTTCTCTATGAACAAAGGCTGCACAAAATATGAATAAATTGGTTGCAATGGTTTTGAATGGTTGTGAATGGTTGTAATGCATCTTTGTTTTCATTAGAATAATTTTAATCGATGCAAAATCTCAAAAAAATACAATGAACTCAAATATAGGCTTCCTTGCTCATTTAGTCATTAGGGTAACTACAATTTTCACAAATTGAAAAAAACATGAAGATACTTCAACTTATACCTTGCACAGTATTTTCAATATTAAAAGGTCGTATTCACAAAGAAAAAATCCTATATTCAAGACCGTATTTCTTTACTTATAATTATGGTACCTCTTCTACTATTTCAACCTGAGGAAATGCGTCATAATTTTTGTCAGCAACGATAATTTTGTTACATATTATGATATCTTGTGCCTATTAAGCATTTATCTCTGTACATTATGTGCAGTAATTAACGACCATTTTACAAAAGGAGGGCCCATCCGTTTTCGTAGTTTAAGTGCGTTATAAACTGCCGTAGATGGAGTGCAATATGCTGGAAAAGTACGTTTTAGTTTAAGGTATGTTTTTTAGCTATTTTCCAGCGAAAGAAAACGAATTACTTGAACGAATCTAGGGTTCAAATTTTAAGGACATTTAAGCCTGAAATACGAGTTCGCTTGCGGGAAGCATATATTTATTTAAATCCAAGTGAGGACGCCGCTGTTCAAAGAAAATCAGGGAAGACAGGTTGCGCTGAATCTCTTTACATCTTGATGGATGTGGTCACGATCCATTGTTTTCTCCAGGTGGAATGTTCTGCATGCTTTCGCTGACCACTTTTCTTTGAACCGCAGGCGAGTTCTCCACTGATCTGGAAGCGTAAGGTTTGGGCTTTGGTGGAGGTTCCCTGGCCTGCGAAGGTCTGGGAGGTTTGGGTGGCGGAGGGGACTTTGGACCTTGATCTGATGAAAGACTTGTGGACTTTCGGGGTTTAATTGGGGGCGGAGTTACCCGCCCGGGACCTTGGTTACCATCCGACACATCGGAGCGTGATCGAGATAACGAACCCGTTGGTCGACTTGACGATGGGCTCATCGTGTTCCTCCGTGGGACTGGGACTGGGGTACGGGGTTTCACTGGTTGGTCAACAGACTCTTCTTCTGTCGATGACGTCATCGTTGATGTCCCCGTTAACGTTGTTTCCGAAAATGAAAATGTTTCAACCATTTCAACGGATGTGGAGAAGTGATGAGTTCCTTTAAACGGAATAAGTGGTGGGGTAGAATCGTTCTTCGTGGGCGACGTTGCTAAAAGATCTATACTCCGCGAGATGGATGACGGTGATGGCGACGGCACATCTATGTTGGATTCGCGCTTTGGAGGTGTTCCTGGGGAAAAGATGTCGCTGTCAAAGGAAGACGAAGCTGAAAAATATTGTGTGCTGTTCGATACCCAGCTTGCTACTGACTCATTGGGTGAAGAAACGTAGTCGTAGGGAACTCGTGGAGACGATGGTGGTGTTACGTAACTATAGTTATTTGGTCCACTGCCACTTGGCCTTGGAGCTGTAAAAGACCCCGGGCGGGGAGTTCCCAGGGATACTGTTGAGCTTGTAGACCCCGATGGAAGAGTTGATCCACGGGAATCTCGCGTTGACGACCCAACCGGGAGTCTATCAGGAAATTGTTTTTGAAATTTTAAAGGAACTGAAGGGGACATTGGAGACGAGAAATCTGAAGCTGTATCAGAGAAGACTGAGGAAGACGCTCGACTGGAAGCGGTGCTGGCGTAGCTTTTACGTTTCTCTGGCAACACAGGAACAGGTTCTGGGTTCGAATCATCTTTAGCAAACGTCAGAGTCTCAGGGCGCTTGAATGAAAGAAGGGACAGAACACAATCAGTCAGGAGAAGATAAGTAGAACAATTGAGTGTTCTATATTTTCTATGGCGCCGTAATAAGGGCGCTGGCCTTTCACTGGTGTTGACGTGGTTTAACTTCCAAACCTAGCGTTACATGCGGACTGAGGCCAACGTTGGTTTTTTTCTTGCCTGTTTCAAAGACTTTTCTCCGTATTCGCCAACAATGATACCACAACGTATTAAGTTTCATTGAGACCTTGAAGTAGTAGATGAGCCACTTGGAGAATTTCCGCTTTTAAATTCAATAAATAGAGTACATCTTTGTGAGCCAATTTACTGTTTTTCCACGAAATAGTCATCTATTAGCAAGTGACCCACACTGCACAGGATTCTTTAATACCAGCCTGAGAGGCTTAACATAGAGCACACAATGACAACATCAGGAAGTGATTTCATAATTCACGTTGTCGGTAACCCGTTTCCTCCCTTTCAAAGTAGATATTTAAGTCTATACGTACGTAAAAGAAAACCTGTTTCCTACCATTGGTTTTTCTGGAAACCCTGATTCGCTATCCAGAGACATTCTAGATACAGACTTCTTGGGAGGTAAAGCGGGAAGATTGACGTCATCAACTGCAGGGGCCTCCCTGGGCTCGTTCCCAGTAACAGCTCCGTTTACAGAATTATCTGCTGGCAGACCAATAGATGTACGTGTAGGAAGGGGTGGAGGGACTGACGAGGTGCTGTCTTGCGGACTTGAAATTAAGACACTTTTACGCTTGGGAGGGAGGGCGGGGGATATTTCCCCACTGGAAAGGAACGTGAAATGAAAAGTAAGAGGAATAAGACCACCAAAGTATTCGTTAGCTTAGTAAAGTTCAGTAGTACATGTACCAACTATAGAGAATAATTCAGAAAACGAGAATTTCAACAAGCTTGTTAGACACTTTTTTAGGTTAATGGATGGTTCATTGGCTCTAATTGCATTTCGGAATGCTACTTCTTCAATTAGTTCTTTTTTTTCTGGTTGGGATTAGTTTTGGTTTAACAACACCTATTTAACCTTGAAATAATTCTAAGGGCAAATCTAGTAGATGGACATACTTTGCTTGAGGTGATAGCACAACCCTTAACATTCCCGCTGGGGAGGAACTTCGTTGTTGAAGTTTTCCACCAAGACCCATCCTTCTACGGATCGTCTCAGGCGAGTGCCCAGAAGCAAGATCTGGTTTGGAGTTTTTCTTCGTTGGAACTGGTGGCGAAGATTCATCTATTTCAGAAAGAGCCTCCAAGGATTTAGAACCAGACATCTGCTAGTAAAAGAAAAAAAAACTTCAATTATTCATATTTCCAAATTTGTAAAGAAACAACAATGTTTTATTTGTGGGTTTAATTAGCTAGGGTCTACTTGGAGAAAAACTGATCTTCAGGATTGAGGTTTGTTCTCGTCAAAATAACGTTAAGCATAAATAACGACTATTTCTGATTGATTTTCATCGGATAAATTGTATCATATGAAGCTTCATTTAAGAGTAATTTTAGAGACAAAAAAGAGAAACTAGCGCACCTTTTTGGACGGAATATCATCGCTGTCATACCACAAACTCTGTCGTGATCGATGTTCACTTTGCCGCCTCAGATTCATGGTCGCCGCCGCTGCTGGAACACTTCTGGTCAAAGAAACACAACAAGAGAACACAATAAGAGTAAGTGTTATAGGGAAAACATTGAAGTTTCTCTTTCCGCAAAAGTATATTACAACAAATATAATCAATCGACAAATAACAGAAAAGTGTGGCAAGGAAGCCAAATAAAGGCTGGAGACTTGTGAACATTGGGTTGTTCAGGTGATTCAGTGAATGAAAACACTCAAATCTTCAGGAAACGTGCACTCCATTACCCATTATATGTTTTTCCAAACAAACTAAATACTTGTAAACTCTGTCAGGTTGAAGGCAGTTTGCGGTTCGACAAATGAATCTGTAAGTTGCAACAGAAGTCCTTTCCGGAACCTTGTCTAGGACAATAAAGAGGAGACGTAATAATATACTTACTCCCTTCCCAAATCTCCGGGTAAACTCTGTTTTCTTACTGCCTTCACAAACCCTGGTGTTGACGTTTGATTGACGGGTACTGCCGGTAACGGGATCTACGAAATCAAGATTAAATCATAGCTTCAACGAATCTAAAATAAAAACGATGTCAAAGCTACAACTAAGTGCGCTCAAAAATACGCCTTACCCACCCTTTGCCTGTGAGCAATATATTTTCCACTGTTATTTTAGCTTCGCATACCTTATTACAGTTTGTCACCTTTCGGTGTCGCAGTACGCTTATTGTAGCTTCCGATTGGTTCGTTTTACCCATTTAAGATGCTGTTTTCAGTTTGTTCTCTCTCTCTCTCTCTCTCTCTCTCTCTCTCTCTCTCTCTCTCTCTCTCTCTCTCTCTCTCGCTTGCGACCTTAGCACTTGATGAATATGTTTCGGATGAGTTAGCGTCTGGCTCGAGGACGAAAAACGCTTAAAGAAAGCCAAGAAGGCAGCAAGCAGGAAAAGGAGACAGCCTACACAAGGTCGTCGTGGACCTGACAAAAAGTTCAAAGAATCTTCGACTTCGACGGATCAGCAGCTTTTTCGCGGTGAGCTAGCCCGATTTTTAATTTTCTTTTTGCGCTCTCTCAGTTTTTGTCTGATTATTTTTGTAGTACTTTGTTTGTTCTCTCGCTGTTAGGGTTCGCACGCGATCCATCCTCTCAGTGCCTGTTTCCGGGAACATTTCTAGGATCATGATTAGGCACTGTATTATGTCTACATTAAGCGCGCAGCACTGGGACTCGAAAGTTAAGATGGATCCCTATTGCACTGAGGAGTTATATTTTTGGAAAAACAATCCAAATTCCATCAAAGTGCGCGATTGATTTCTCTTTAATAAGCCATAGCGTTTCGCTTTCACTGATGCCAGCGCTTCAGGGCGCGATTCAGTTATTACCCTTAATGAGGATTGTGTGTGTCACAAGCTTTGGGAGCCTTCAGAGCGTTCTAAGAGCTCTACTTGGAGAGAGCTTGCAGCGATTGATTTTTCTCCGAGTCTTTTGCGCCAATTTTGGAAGGTTCACTCGTCAAGTGGTGCACTGATAGCCAGACGATGGCTAGAATCATAAAAGTCGGAAGCATGAAATTGGATTTGCACAGGCTTGCTATTAAAATTTTTCAGTTTTGCGCGGAGCACAGTATTCGTATGGAGGTGCAGTGGATCCCACGAACTGAAAATGAGAAGGCGGATTACATCAGTCGCCTATAGACTTTGATGATTGGCAAATCACGCAGGATTTCTTTCTAAGTTTGGAAGAGTTATAGGGCCCGCATACAGTTGACTGTTTTGCTAATTATTATACAACAAAGCTCCCTAGATTCTTTGCGTCAGGAATTGACTTCTTCGCCCAAGAGTTAAGTTCCGAGAATTGTTTAGTGGTTCCTCCAATTTCTCTTGTTGCTTTCATTATCCATTATCTGAGCCTACAGAAAGCGATGGCTACTCTTGTAGTTCCATTATGGCCTTCGTTCAGTTTCTGGCCTCTTCTGACGAGCAAATATCGGTCGCTCTTTATAGGATACTTTACGCTGAATGTATCCCAAGCTCTCACCCTGGGAAGAAATTCAAGTACATTCCTTGGTTCTCCTCGCTTTACAAGCGAGGTTGTTGCGCTTAGATTCGAATTTTTGTAGGGATTATCCATCTTTTTCGCCCTTCGAGTAGGTTTCTGCACTAGCTTTTAGTGCTGGTATTTGCAGGATTTGACACTGGTCATTAGTTGCATGGACAGCTATGTCCAGGGTAAATGACACTGGTCATGTGAAGGGACGACTGCGTCCGTTGGAGAAGATTTCTTTCGTTTTAGAGCTTTATAAGTTGAACAAGAAGGTTTCGAGTTCTCTCGACAACAGACCTGTTCACTTATGGAAAATTGTGTCCTTTTTTGACACTTGTTCGCGTGCCATTCTGGCCAAGGTTTTTCACAAAGTTGAACTGCGCTGTTCCTGTTGGTTTAGGTTTTTCATCTTTCTTAATCAAGGCTGTAACTTTGTTTTTGCTAATTGTTAGGTTGTGTTAATGTCTGAGCTGACTGTGTCCTAGACGTGGCGTTGCCTATTTTATATCCGTTTACATGTAGTTTGTGGAGCCTTTGGGGGTTTAAATGATCTACTAGAGAAAGTAGTGTTTGGATATAAATGCAGTTATTGCGCGTTAGTTATTTAGTTTTCCTTGTAGGTTATTCGCCAGGCCTTTGTTTAGAAGCAACTTCGCATGCCTATTTTGCCTCGGGAGGTAGGTGTAGTTTCTTACTATGATGCAGCCTGCAGACATTGAGTCATAGGCATAGGACCGCTTATCAGAATTGCTGTCATCGCTTGCGTCACAATTACTAAAGCCGCTATCCTGTAGTTGAAAAATTTTGGCGATATGATTTTTTTTCTTGCAGGTTGTAATTGCAAGTAAAGCATGGATGGTACTCCCTCCTGCTATTAGACCGGATTTCAATTCAGGGCGGATTCTACTGTGAAGAAATATCTTAACGAGGAAATAAACAAGTTTTTGCTGTGGTGTGAAACTATGAAAACTGCGCTACAATTGCCTTTTTCTTCCTCTGTTGTCACCTTTTATCTATTTGGCTTAGATCAACAGCTTGGGTCCCCGGCCGCAATGGTTTTGGTGCATGCTGCACTTTGTTCCTGAAGATGGTCCCAATCCTTTGGATAACGCTTTTTTCAAGAACTTGATTGCGTGCGCCAAGAGGACAAGGAGCAATCCAGTTAACAAGAAAAAGCTCATGGACCCTGCCATGATTAGAAGCATTATTGGCAGGCACGGGGCTGAGGAAGCACTTTTAAAGGACTTTCGTATCGCCGCAAGAAGTTCTTTAGGCTTTGCAGGGTTTTTTCGTTTTAACGAGTTGGCTAATATTCAGCCAAAACACCTAGCGATTTTCGATGGTTTTGTTAAAATTTTTGTGCCAAGGAATAAAATGGATGTATATAGAGAGGGCAACTATGTCTATATCGCTAAGTTATAAAATCCTTTGCTTAACCAACCTGGAGGTCTTTAGGCCTGGCAGACTTTCTCTCTTCCCCTGAGACACGAGCCTTCATGTCGGCGAAACAAGTCTCCATTTTGTTATGAAACGGTCTCAAGTCCTTGGTTGCTAGCTCATCGTGAAGATTCAGACCTTTCTCCAAGATCTTCACCTAAATGAAGGAAAAAAGTCACATATCACATTTTTAACCTAACTTTGTCCAATCTAAGCCGGTGAGATTTGAAAAGGCCCTTTTATTTCTTGGGCTAGGCACACCATGCTCACTGGTATGGATTGACTGCTCATCGAAAACGGAGCTTTTCAAGGGCGCTCCTTGAATCGCAAGGCCTACTGTCTGCACCAATCTAGAGAGCAATCTGAGCTTGTCGAAAACAAGTCACAGCTCCTTAATTTTCAACAGAATAGTAAGGCCCTTATTCTGCGTATGCCTATTGATGCAGTCGAGCGTTTCCGTAACCGGTGATTGATGCATTTTCAACTTATCCACCATGATGTACACAAGGCCAAAAAAAGATTACGGAGGAATATTGCAGTAAACAAAAGAACCTGCAGTATTTTAAATAATCAGGCCGTTTAGCATACGAACAACCTTACCTGATTTCCTATGGCGCGCTTTAGTTGGTCGATGAGTTGCCTATCGCCTGGATTATTCTTTAAATAGTCTGGGGCGAAAAATGCCTAAGAGAGATAAAATAATGAAAAACCATTTGCATATCTTCCGATCGACCAAACGCAATAACTGTAAGAATATCGTAGCTGTTTCGACAACTGTATCTAAAACAGGCAATTTGTCAACGTACCTCTTCATACTTGGCTATCCCTCCCATAACAGCAGCATCTATGATACCATTGAGTATCATACTCAGAGGGTTGATACTCTGATTCCTATCTGAGGACAGATTAGCGATGATCCTATCGAGCTCTTTGTTCTTCGATTCCACAGTTTCAACTGCATTGAGAAGGGGGCTGATTTCAACCTAAAAAGGCATCAAAAAGGTAATGTCATATGGAAGAAAATAAGAGAACATATTTTTCGAAAAGGAACATGATTGTCTTTCATGTGTGTACCGAGGTTGTATTCGGTAGAGGAAAATCTCACCCTAAATCTTCCAATCGCAGACAAACCCTGTAATTGGTACTTTGGACACCCTACCGTTCGAGGTACACAGCAAGCCATAGACACCGATGTGGCTACATCTTATAAGAAGCAAGCCACATAAATTATCATTTGGATTTAATTTCATTGTTGAAGTATGGAATAGGTAACGAAATTGAGGCCAAGTCACCCATAACTGTTGCAGCCTAGAACGGTTTGCGAGGCATAGAGAGACCAGAAATGCATTTTTTTTATCGATGGCATGGTGATCCATCGCAAGATTACCCCCTGTGTCTTGCAAGGTTTCTCTTACAGTTGAATACAAACTATTTCTTCAAACCAAACTCTATCTCCTAATTTTTTGCTCGTTCTGATAGGCAGTGCAGCTTTTCAAATAGATAAAATATCTTACGAGCACAACACAACCTGTTGCTATCACAACACTTACGCTTTCTGAAGATGTGATTTGAAACCATCGAAGAATTCCAGGCAGAGGTGAAGCGATCGTGTAGGTCGTTCTTTCTAACCATAAGTTCTAGAACAAGAAGATAACAAACATTACGATACTAATTGCAAAGCGCTTTAACTCCTGCTGCAAAGCACAAAGTAGTAGCATACAACTCTGTCTCTTACCGCAAAATCCTCCGAACCTGGACGCAAAGGTCTTGAGTTAGTAAACCTTCTGACATCGTTCACCCGGTAATAACTAGAAAATCAATTCATCAATTAAATCATTAATTAGGCGTTTACACATGACTTCACGGCCAACATATTGGTTTAACGAAACAACAGGATGGTGGCCATGCTAAATTAAGGAACCATGTGAACGCTTTTACAGTAAACACGCCCTTTTGTTTGAAATGATTATTAATTATTATTATTACAAACCATTTCTAATCTGACTGTGAATATATGAAAATCATATGTGACGTGCGGATTAGAAAATGAATATGAAAGCGATCTTCGCCGTAATGAAAAATACTGAAGCGGCGTTGAAGATAAGGACTAAAACAAATTCAGGCCTGTACGAGATTTGAACCCATGACCACGGCGATAACGGTGTAGTGCTTTACCAACTGGGCTAACAAGCCTTATCTACTGAGCGTCGCCCCCGGATAAACGCCGGTAAGGGTAGACCTTAATACAAAAAATAAACTTTTCCCGTTCGAAATGGCTGTCGCTCTCTTTAACTCTTCTTTTCATTCTACATTTTGATCACATAGCTGGAAGGAAGTTTAAAACGTAAAAAGTACAAGTAAAACGCAAACAGAATGGACACGCCTGGACTTTCGCTACAAAGAGTCTTGACCAAGCGCACAAAAACTACTGACCACAGTTTCATCCTTGTACAGTTGACGAAATTCAAATTGCGAGGTTGCAGTTTGTGCTGGTTGTCACATAATTTAGTCGATATTTGTGCTGGGCGGTCTTAAGCGATAGTTGAAAGTTGAAAACAAAATAAGCCTTATTTCACATAGAGTCATGTTTTAAGCCTTGTTTTCATACTATATCAGTACACTCACCCTGCAATTTTATCATCTACGACTTTGCCAGCAAAACGTGCTTCGTGTTCTGAGATAGGAATCACTCGGCAACACTGCAGATCTGTAAATAGTCAAGGTCACAAGTACAAAACAATACCGGCCTTCATCCATTGTAGTTCATCCGACTTCTTACCTAAATGAAGCTTTTAATATCGAGCCTGCGAACACACCCTCATTTTAAGCGCTTCGCCGCGAGCGCTTCTTCGCCCAAGAGAAATTTCGAGACCTGACGCAAAGCAAGCCGGCGAGAGGTCTAGCACTAGTAACAAACCCCTCGGAAACATCTCGCCAGCTGGCTTAGCTCCAGGCCACACAACTTCTCGCAAACGAGGGAACGCTCCTGCCCCAGCGCTTGTAACGAGGACCTCCTCGTACGCTAAATGACATCCATTTCACATTCTTGTCAGATTATTGCCATTATTTATTAACTAGAGTGATAATTTGTATTTATCACTCCTTAAAGCATACGCTAAAGGATACATTGCTTGTCAGATTCCAAGATGTCGTCTTCTGGCGGTGTGTTCTTGTCCATCATCTGAAACAGAAACCGTTTTCCGAAGGCGGATTAAGTTACAGTGCTATGAAAATCACACAACTTTCAAAACTGCTACAATCATACATGTTCTTTGATTGAGAGTGCAGTGTCGTAACCCTTTAACCCCAACAGTGATTGGCTTTCACTCCTTACAATATCAACCTTGAATCAAACTTTAAGGTCGTGAGAATAAAGGAAATGATCCCCAATTTAGGAAACTCATGACTCACTGTCAAACAAGTTATATTTGTCAGTGCCAGAGGTACTGTAAAAATGAAAAGAACAGTGTGTAGGGTATAGGGTAAACAAATATGGGCAGCCAAACACTTAGGTTTTGAGTTCTTAAATGTGTAACAGGGTATTCAATTTTCTTATTTCGCGCCCCGAAAAGCGATAAAACTTGAGGGTACGTGGTCTACGTGTGATACGTATTACATGCGATGTATGAGGGCTGCGCGAGGATTGGGACAACCTGTCAGTAACAGAGGATTTGTTCTATGCGTTCACTCAAAAAAAACCCACCACAAGTGGGCAAGTACTCACCAGAGCATCAGGGAACTGCGCCTTCAGTCTCTGATTAAAGGAGCCGATTTTCTCGTATTCGTGACCTCGGTAAACAAAAGCCTTGTTCTGAGGGGAAAAAAACACATTGTTAAAATTACGACATTATCAAACAAGGCCAACCCTAGATTACTACTGTGTGGTATTTAGGAAAAAATGAACAGACACGCAGGTTTCCGAGTTTCAAAGTAGCTTGAAGACACTTTTTTCTTATGATGGCCCCACCGGTAAAAAGTGCTGACATATTTTTCTGTCAGCCTTTCCTAACGTTCTTCAATAATGGGTGAGAGGAAGGTATAAGGGAGAGGGGGAAAGGTGACTCCTTGGGAACATTTATGGAGCAGATTGGTAATCAGTTTCAATCATTTAGCCCTCCAAAACATGGTTAAAATGCAACTTCTCTAGACAATATCGATACATATTCCAGCAAAGAGGTAACGAGTAAAACGAATCAGGTAGAGGACGTCATCTTGATATAACACTGAATTGTCTAAACAAGGTAACAAAGAAAGCGGGAATAGCTGTTCCTAAGGAATAATTTCAAAGCATATCTTGACAATGTTGGAGTTAATGTGCGACTACACTACAGACATTAAACGAGTTTTCTCACCCTCACTGATAATGGGAAGCCTTTGCCGTAGAACCCGACTCTAAAGTACTCAGATTCTGCCCGAACCTGGGTCATGATGTTGTCGAAGAACTTGGCCTGTTTTTTCTATTCAGAAAAAAAAAACATAAAGGTTACGAAGATTATCATGAACAACCACTTTAATTGAATATTCTCGTTTTCAATAATGCAGAATGCAGCAACAATACGACACGTAATCGGAATGCATCAATCACGTTTGTTGAAAACCATCCCATCACAACGGAGCATAAAGTGACACGTCAGCACAGTCGACCTCACCGTATGACGGAGACTAACAGCATGAAAGTCAATCCACATCGGAAGCAACTAATTCGAAAGACAAACCACAAGATTTCATTATCGTAATAATTACTATATTAACGTTTACTCACCAAAATGTCTCCAAGTTTAACGTAATCACACAGCAACAATTCGTATTGCTCCGTCAGCTCTTTGCATAGTTCAATCGCCTTCTCCCATGTCTAAGAGGGAGAAAAGAAAAAAAGAAAAAAAACAGACAAATGACTATTTGGAGAACACAAGGTCTGAGCCAAGGTGCTATTGTTAGCGACTAAAGTGCAAAAATACTGTTATTTTGGTAAACATTGTGAAATGCAAACTCGTGTACTACGAAGTGTATTTTTTTAAAATTACATTGCAAATGAACTGCAAACGAAGTTTACAGCCCTCGTCACTCCCTGTAGGAACAGTAAAAAGTAGACCGCAGAAATGTACATCTTCTGTTGCACACAAATTGAGTGAAGAGCCCGAGGTTTGGAGTGCGTATGAACAAACCTGGGTCTACTGCAGATAGTCAAAAAGTTCAATGTCAACATGTTTTTCTATACCTTTCCTTTGTCCAGGAAGTCAATGGCGTCCAAATACAACTTTTCCTTCAGCTGGAACTCTTTAAAAATTTCGGGGGAGTCCTCAGGCATCGTCTCAGGCCACTTATAGAGGCAAGGACAAATGTTAGTAATAACGCGAAAACCCTGTCGAAAAGCCAGTGACTTTAGTATTCCCTTGGTAGGGTCTCGCTATGTAAGTGCTTTATGACTGAGTAACATGAACCCATGCAAATCCAAAGGAATAAGAACATCCAATAAGATTAAGGTAAATGTCACGAAGAAACAATAAGCACTCTACGTTTTTAACACATGAGCGGCATGAAGGGCGCCAAAACAGAGGTTGCCAAGTTACTGCCGGTGTAAGCTTTGCACATTAGTGATTGGTTGAGAAGCTGGCGCCAGTTTCTAGAGCAAATCACTAATCAATTAAAGCCAGAGATATTGCCAGAGATATTGCCGATTACAACCGACACCTAATCGAAGACTACTTTACCATAGGTTTTAAAACTCTTTTCATCACCTTGAGTAACTCAGCGTGTTTCAAGACGGTAAAACCAGCTTCTGTGAAGTTCTCTATCGCAATATGAAGTTCACAAAGTCTGTTTATACACCTAAAGGAAAATGAAAGAATAGACAGTCGAAAGTAAAACAGGGCGATTATTTCAAGGACGGCCAAGAAATGAAAACATTCATAAGGTTTCATTAAGTTCGAAAGAACGATACAAACTGGAATGCTTTCACCAGAAAATCTACTGCAAAGGAAGGGAGGACTTAACTAATACAGGTGAATAAAGGGGGTAAGTTTCTAAAGAAACTGAGCTGCTGCGTCAGAGAGAGGTATTACAGGATAATTTGGTTGTAACAACTAAGTTTACTATGTAAATTTGCCATATAAAGTTTCTAAAGCTCACAATTTCGAGCGCGAGCCCTTCAAGAGAGCGAGAGGTGAACAGCGTTCAAGATACTTTAGTTAAATATGCAAGATATCCTCACCTGATATACATGTCTTCACGACCAATCTTCTGGTAAAATTCCTGAAATTGGAAACACCACTAACTTGATATTGCTTGGTATAAAGAAAGACTCTTAACTGTGACTTTAAGAAATAGGGCTTATGATGTTGCATAGAAAAACGTCTTCGGGACGTTTCACCATCTTTATCTCTTCTCCAAGTTGGGAACTAAATCTTCCGTATTTCCAAGACTATACTAAATACGTCGAGTCGAGGCTTTCTTCAAGCAATCAACTGAGAAACTGTAGCGGGACGGAAACAGTAGCGAGCTCGTCATCCCTGCATCCTTATGATAAAACTAAAAGCAACCAATAGAGCTAAAAGATCTTCTTGTCAGCTTTCCCGAAATAGAAGAGTGAGTCTTCATTTCTTACCGACAGATTTACAAGGCAGCTCATTTTCTGTTCTCTATCATCTTCACCAGACACCCTCCTAATGAGGAAACGATACAACAACAAGTTAAAACTTTCAATTCCAAGAACGACCCCGTGGGTCGCTTGATAAATTGTCGAATCTCTCTATTATTCAATTGTTTGATACAACTCACTATGCTGCCTTCAGCCTTGCTACTAAAGAGTTCAACTCGTTAATAGCAAGAGTTCTATTTGCTTGCAAAGAAGACTTCACAGTGATTAAGTTTTCCTTCCTCGCCCAAACATAATTTTTCATAAGGGACTAAATTAGGAAAATTCGGTCATATCGTCATCTTTACCTTTTCACCTTTCCAACCCACATAAATGTAATTTTGAGATGCGTGTAACATTCCTCTTATTTTCTCTCAAGATTGTGAAGGAAACATGCTTGCAATTTGAAACTGAGGTGGCAGTAGATTAATGTAATTGTTACAGAAACTGTTCCCAAGCATGTACTTGCGTGACGTTTTAGTTTCAGTTTCAAATTTAAGTCAGAAATGATTACATTAGTTTAAGTAGCTGTGGTGTAATTTGCATATTAAGCATATTCAAGAGCCATATTTTTTTTTGTTGTGTCAGTTAACTATGGCCGAACTAAAATGACCCACGTAAACGTTTTCCTTTTCTGTCTGAACTATCTAGAAAGGTCAATTATGAAAATACCAACAAAACACGAGTTGAAATTAACACGGGGGGGTTGCTCCTTGGTAGATGAGGTAGGCCTATGGGGATGTGCCGCTAAATGGGGTCGCATTTTCACGACCGGATTGATGGGGTTGCATAGAGTATCTAGAATGGGGTCGCACATTTACGGGATTTTGGGGGTAGGGTAAGAAAACTGAAAGATTCGCAGTTAAAAAGCTGTTACCGTGTTACGATAAGGTCTATAATGGGCCGAAGAATGGAAAATGGTGGGTAGGGGTTATGAGAGGCAAACGGCACATACCCTGTAAAAATTGACCAAAGTACCCCCCGCCCCCCGCTTTAACATCACTTAAGCGAGTTACCTGTATTCTAGAAGTAACTCTAGGAGGTCCGTTACTCGATTCACAAACGCTAAGCCTTCCTCACGAAACAGTATCTCGAGTTCAAACTTTTCTGTTAGACTGCGAAAACAATGATTAAAATACAATATACTGCTTCAATTATGGAAATCTACATAAACTGATTGTTCGACAGAATTAAGAGACACGCCCAAGCTATTGAAAGAGAAACATTATGAAGGTTCCAACACAATGAAGATTTTATCAGTCGGAAAGTCGTGGGAATACTCAAGAGGCTGAAATAACCATGCAGATGTTCGCAATAACAGTCACCCTGAGGTCTTGAGAACGTCGTCCTAATTTAAGTTTCGACAAACAGGAAGATAAAGTGCTTTTTAAAAGCGATTTTCCGACGCAGGTGAGTTAAAAATGTAAAGCCGGTTATTTTACTACAGATGGAGCCTGTCTGATGTAAAAAGCTGTTTATCTGGTGTTAGCTAAAAGTATCCACGACACTCTCCATAGCATTTGTCTAAATAAAACATTTGGCACAATCAAACACTGTCTAGAACGCAGTGATGCCGACCAACAGCTAAACATTATTTAGATAACCGGCCTTTAACGGTCGGTCAGTATCTTACATTTCCTTGAAGAGTTTCTTGTACTCCCTGTCACCCTTCTTATCCATACTGACAAGTCGGTCGAGTTCGTTTACAATTTTGGTTTCCACCTTCATTCAAAACAAACAGTAACACACAACAGGATATAAGTTACCCAAAGACGCAATGTCACAAAACCAATGCGCAAGTCACAAAACCGTTGTTTGTGACGAGAAGCTAATTAAAAATGACCATTCTCGCATGTGTTTGTTTACCAATGCCTTCCCTCTACAAAGAGGTCGTGAAAATGAAAGTCACTTTCATACACACTTATCCCAATATTTTTCAGTTTCTGTTCCAGTAAAACATATCAAAACGAACGAAACCGTTAATAGCAGATAATTTACTGTTAACAACTGAGTTGAAAACGTAAATTGACCACCGTAAAGAGTAAAAAAGTTGACGTTTCGAGCGTTAGCCCTTCGTCAGAGCGATACGGTTATTAGTTCATTACACATCAACCTTGCATCACTTATCATACCATCGTGGCCGCGCCTTTGGAATTAAGTTCGCATTGTACCATGTCAAAGAATATGGGTAATGTTGCTTTACGTAATTCTGAAAAAGAAAGAGGAAAAAAAAAAACAAAACGATTCAAGGAAATTGTGAGCTATATGTTTCAACATGGAGCTAGGAAACAAACAAAGAACACATCGATTCCACTCGTACTTTATTGAATATTCCTTTCCGCGCACATTTGATAGAAATGGATCAAGTGACACAATCCAAGCAGGCGATACCTCCAGTTACATTCAACATTTGTCTTCCTCTTATGTAATGCCGTGAACATTCTACTAGTAACTCAACAAGTACAAAATTATTTCCATGCTTGACAAGTCTCGGAGGTAAGCACGGCTATTCGTCTACCTCACCTTTTTGAAAAAAGGTGATGTAAACAAGATGGCGGCCTTGATGTACTGTCATCAATAAGTTATTCTCCCGTTTTACTCTCCCACAAGGCCGCCAAACTATGTACATCAAGTACCTTGATGTACATAGTTTCACAAACTTTATTTCTCACGGCCGTACTAGACTAAGCAGCTTCTTTAATTTAAAACACCGATCTGTAAAACGAGCAGTTGTCAGGCCTCCTACTTTAATTGCATTGTGAAACTTTGGAATTACTTTTGTTCTATTGCTCCTTCTTCTAGTTTTTCGAGTCCGCTATCCTTCCAGCTTTTCGTTAAACAAACCCTTTTTGACCGCCTGAGAACGTCCTTTGACATTGACTGGCCCTGCACGTGGACACTATTTAGAATTCGCTCGTGTCACAAGCTATAGGTGCAGCTGACAACACACAAACTTGTTGTATAGTTTAGATACCTTGTGCTTTATTGAATTTTAGCTACAGGGCAGTGCCTCACGTGGGACACCAGTCCCGTTCGCACCTGCCCTTTTGGGTTAGAATTAATTTTTGTTCCTCTCTCCATTCATTTTTGTCTCTATGTAATATGTTTTTGTAGTTGGTACTATGTTATAAACCCAATAAAGTTGTTAAAAAAAAGTCTGTCCTCGTCTGTCTTCACTTTGTTAAGCGAGGAGCAGCGAAACAGGCGCAGTAGAAGGATTGCGAAGCGCAAACGTGTTCATTGAATTCCCGCTGCTCCTGTTTTCATCGCAGTATTTATGAACTGAGAGAAAACAGAAGATCTGCGAACAGACTAATTCATTTTACAGCAAGGAAACATAATCTGCCTCACCTGTTTCAGGAACCAAAGTCATTTCCAAGAAAGGACAAACCATGCTCAGCATGAAATTCTTCTGAAAGGAACCTGTCAAATGATTGCGTAACAAAGTTCAACGACGTTTCTAAGAAAAAAGGCAGTTAACGATAAATAGCTCGAGTTGTATTCAAAATCAAACAGAAATTCCGTGTTTTAGAACTAGTTTCCTGCCATTAGGAAATGGCTGGCACTTTCTTTTATCACCATCAGTTGACATCCACCTATAAATTTCACCGCCATTGCAGCTTTGGAGAACATTTGAAAGACTCATTCACTTAACTAGCTCCTTCTGGCAAGTGCCCGTATGTTGAGATAATACCTAATTTCATTCACCAACGTCTGTGAGGCACCACCGCGTGAAAAAAGGCCAGACAACAACACAAAGAGCTTTGTGCACTTCTAAAACCCTTTTCGATAAGTACGCGGGTTCTTAGTCACGCCCTGCTAATCATAGCTACGCTGAACAGGGAGCGAACGGTTTATCCAAGAAGACTAGAAAATCTAACCATCTACGAAATTCACCGCTAGCGTAGCACATTTTCGTCAGTTATTCTGAGACCTTTGATATCGCTCCCGCTTGGTCTCGCTTCGTCCCGTTTAGACCCGCCTTGTTTTGGCCTGTGTAACCGGTGAAAAGCTGTGCATCAGGTCACAATTCATTTCAGGATCACAAACACAACTTACCAAGACCCTGCCACATCTGAACAATCTCAAACCCCATGACCTGCCTCATGTCACCATACCTACCAAAGAAAGACAAAAGAAAGAGATTTGCAGGTGTAAAAGTTTAGCTAAAAGTATATTTAGTACTGAAATGCTACCTCGCCCAAGTGAATAAAACTATACAAATATTTGAGAGTACAGAACAGAACATCATGTATCACTTAAAATGTGATTTCGGCGTTGATTGACAATCAACAGTACACCATAGCAGAAGCACACAGGGGCTCTATGCGGCGTAGCCAATTAGGTTGCAGGTTTTATAACACGTGGTACCTGTCGATGATCTTGTTTCTCTTGACCTCAGTGAAGTTCTCCAGTTGTAGGTGAGATTGAGTGAGGAAAGACACCGCTAGATTGAAGTAGTTGTTCCACAACTGCAACAGTGAAAGTAGTAACAAAAAAATGTCGTTAAGATAAAACAACGAAACGAACGAGTTCTACGTCAGAACTGCGGCTCTCACCTGATAGTCGAAGTTATCTCCTGAAAAGTTATCAATCAAGGCTTGTGAAAAGTTCTGAGTGGCCCTTAGAATCACACTGGAAAAAAGCAATTTGGAAATGTCACTGTCAGGAGAGGAATGCGCTAGAAAGGAGGAATCTGGAGGAAAAGACCACTATACATGATCTCTTTGGCAGCTAAGGAACGAGAGGATAAAGAGAAGGATATATGGCACACTGCCCTTGCTGAGAAATGCTTCTTAATTGATCAATTAAAATGTGATTTCCGCGTCGTTTCACAATCAATAGTATACCATAACAGAAGTATACGGGGGCTATATGGGGCATAGCCAATCAGGTTGTATGATTTTATACCATGTGGTACAAATTAACCAATCATATGGCCGGATTGGCATCCAAAGTCGCACTTTTCTGGATTAAAGAAGTTGTATTTTTGCAGTTACATTATTCCCAACGTGTCGATGAATTTCCGTATTCGAAGATCATGCTGAGACTTCTCACCTGTTCCCCAAGATAATGATGACAATCCAGTCCCTGAGGAAGATTCCACGCTTTACGATTTCAATGAACACAACAAAGACATTCACCAGGAAGTCTTTGAGTTCTTTGTTGTCTTTGAACTCCTTCAGATACAGACTGTAATGTTTCTCTTTCATAATCAGTAACAGGTTTATCAAAACTGCCAGGAGATGCCTCTGAAGGTAAAAAGAAGAAGAGTTTAGGCGAGTAACATAACATGATAAACTCAACCAGCACGGAGGCTTCGTGCAATTTAAATAATTTCTACCGAGGGCAGATCTCTCAATGACATTTCCGGCGTGTCAACTTACCGCAAGCTCACTTGATCTGTCTACAGTCATCACCGTTTGGAACACAGGTTGTAGTAAGGTTCTCACCACAAGATAAACGTCGTCTTCAGTTGCACCTTCCTAGAGAAATTTAAGACAGTCGTAAATTGTGATCACCCGTGTCTATCTCCAAATTCAGAAAAGTTAACAGGAATGCCACGAAGGAGTGACAAAGGGATGGATGGGAAAGGAATGAATTCTGTTTTGGGACAAAACAACTACTCGGAAAAGGCTTTCAGCCATCTTCCGAGCTAAAAACGAGTCACGGCTTTAACAAACTTTCTGATGCAACTTTTTCTGCGTTCGTTTCCTGATTAATTTGCCGCATTATCATTTGATGGAATTTTTCTCTTCCTTTTCATTGACCGTGGCTCACAACGTGACCTGCATATAACCTCCTACATGTAATAGGTTACAAATAATCACGATTCTACAGCTTTGTTCATTCTCCTCAACTGCATGTGACAGATCACTCCCCTAAACTGTCAGAGAGTGACTCCCGAACATAACTTCCAAAACTTAACTGGTTAATCGAAAGTTACACAATTATTAAACTCAGTTACAGCTATAGTTTTCATTTTCTGTTCGTCTTTAAGCACTAGTTTTTGCCTTTCTCGCACGGATTTAGGGAGGACTTGGAGGAGTCCTCGTAATTATTTTATTCGATTCTTGTAATTAACTTACCGCAGATTTTTTGTGCAGTGAGGCAAGAATTGATCCCACTATTTCGGCACATTTTCTCATGTCTTGCTTTTGTATCAGTTGTTGTTGAATGGTAGCCACAAGAACTGGCATCAAGATTGCCCTTGATTCTTAAGGAATAAAAACAAACCAATTCATTGCTTATTGGTACGGTGGATATGCAGTAATGACATTCAGAAATTTATTGATGAAATAGCTCATGTAAAATAACGTACAGCAATTGCAAGGAAAGCAGCAGAGGAATCGGACGTCGTGTTTTGTGACAACAATGCCTATGAAAAGAAAATTTACCTTTGTGCACAAAGAGCTCACTCTTTACTGTTGCATCAATAAACTGCAGTCTGCTATTGTTGAGCCCTTTCTGATCCTTTGCTGCACTGAGAAGAAAATCCTTCGCAATGGTACTAAGAAGAAAAATATACGAGAACATAATTACATCCGGAACTAAGCCAGAAGTTGCTTTTTAAAGGCTCTTTTCTTCCAAAGGCAAACTTGCGTCAAATATCTAAAGGGGGTAAGTTTCTAAAGAAACTGTGGTGCTGTGTCGGTGGGTTTCGAGCGTTAGAGTCTGAAGAAGGGCTAACGCTCGAAACGTCCGCCTTTTTACTCTTTAAGGTGGCCAATTTACGTTTTCAAGTCAGTTGCTAACACTAAATTACTTACGTCAAATCTTCCAAAACACGTTCACCGTTACTATTATTGCTTACACGCAAAAAAATTTTCCGAGAAATTAAGAATGATCACAATTTTTTAGCTATAAAGTAAAAAGAGATCTTCACGTTATGTTACAAAATCACATTTATCGACTTCAGGTCAAAAAGTGCGCGTTTGAGACCCGGCCAGGTCATTGTGTCTTGTTCTTGGGCAAAACACTTATATTTTCGATTTTAGACGTCGATTTAAAAATGAATATATATTTTTAGTTGTAATCTCGCGAATTACTGGATGTGTTTACTATCTCTTACGGCGACACAAGTTACTCTCAGCACAACGTATGAGAGCGGCGTGGAGTACGAATGGAAACTTAAACAATTTGCCGTTGGGTTCCCTTTTTAAGACCACGAAAATTTTGATGATTTCACGTTGTTATTTTGCAGAGGGCGGCTAAGAAATGTACACAGTTTTAAAACGCACGTGCTGAGCTATTGTTCTGCTCATCAGATCTTTTGTCTTGCCACGTTCTCCTTGCCTTCGCCGTCGTGGTTTGCGAAAGGTCCTTACTGTTGCAAGACGCTGCGTTGAAATGTTGCGCGCGTTTGACCGGCCTTAAGCAAACCACGACTACGACAGCAACGACAACGTGGCAAAACAAAATACTTATGAGCAAAACAGTCGCTCAGTGCGTGAAATCACCAACATTTGCGCGCTCTGAGAACGGAAATTCCCACGGCCAATTGCCAAGCTTCCATTTTGAACTCAACGCTGCTCACATACGTTATCCTGAAGTAAATGTGTAACGCCGTGAGAGACGGTAGACGCGTTCAGCTACTGGTAAAACGCTAACTAAAGATATAAATTCAAGTCTTAGATCGACGTCTTCCTCGGCGTTGCCTTCCTACTGCTAAAGTTATCAACCGTCCGCTAAAAAATAATTAAAGTGAAAAAAATGAGAACTGACCGGGTCTGAAGTGTTATTAAAGGTTAGATGGCAGTTCTGGACTGACATAACTTAACAACGAACAATTTGTTACCTTAATTCTTCATAGCTAAACACTTTCAAAGAATCTTGATAAATTCCTGAAAAATTCACCATTGCTAGAGACTGTCGAAGAAATAATGAAAATAAATTAATTAACTTCTGCTTTCAAAGCAAAACATTCAGCTTTCGAAATCTAATACCCATAACAAAAACTTGCTATGGGTAGATTTTTATAATAAGAGGACCATTATCTAGTTCCTGGAGAATACTTCTCCTTTCACTTGGAGACTATGTCGGTTGTAAGATAAGCAACGTTTACAACGTACTTTTAAAGTTATGTCTGGGAGACGTGAGGATATCAGTGCGTTAAGATCAGTGAACACGGAGGCCAGCTCTTGTTTAAAATTCTCGTAACTTTTCGCATCTCGTCCTCTATTCATACTAAAAAAAGAGAAAAGAAACTGTTTGGTAGAGTATATCAAAGTAGAGGTTTCCTCTGCGCCCAAATTATATATTAATAATGGAAAAGTAAAATGTATTAAACAGAGCTTATCTTTCAAACAGAGAGGACTGGCGATAGACGAGGCAAGGACGAAAAAAAGGAAACCAGGCAATAACAATTAATGGAGTAAATTTGCATCGAGTGTCAGGAGAATCTGATACAAAACTAGTTTTGCTTTCCTGCACTTGATTGGTCGAGAATACTCGTGTCACCTAGCCAGCCAATCAGACGCTTACATGAAATCAACCACACCTTGTTCACCTCGCGTTTTCCCGCGCTTTCCCGCGCTTTCTTGCGTTCGGAGCAGATCACGTGTTTATACGACTGATTCTCGATGGCTCCTTGAGAAATTTATCTTCGTTCCAGTCAGCTGTTTTAAGAATTATTTTGGTCTTGGCTTTCCCTAAAATTCACTAAAAGTGCTCGAAAACAAACAAATACTCGAATAGAATACACGATCGCCAGTTAGGGTCTCGACAGATGACGATCACTATTTCATTTCATATCATGACTGTCTCCACGAGCGGGCAAGATAAAGCAAATCCTAACTTCTCATTGGATATCTACGGGGCTGTTACGATCACTTTGGTGTTGGTTTCATGACACCCGGTCGAAACGTGCCCTAGCAAATTCGTATTGCACAAGAGAAGTACAAACAGTTACTTGCCTGATCAACAGAATTCTTGATTGAATAATGAATTTAAAAAGATATTCTAAGGCCTGGAAAAAAAAAGAGAGAGAGTGGAATTAAATTCACACCGAACCAGATGAAATAGGTGAAAAGACCGGCACTCGATGAACCAACCTTATTCTGTTCTAAATATCAATAAAATAATACAACATCAAAAAAATGTTTGAGTGACTGATTGTCTAAACAAAAAAATTAAGCGTAGTTGCAAATAGTGACGGAGACTAAGTCGGGGCCGTAAAAGTTAATCGGGAAAATCTGAATCATAAGCGGAATCATGAGCCGAACGGAATCAGAAAAATCCGAACGTTTCCGATTCCACCTTGGACCACGACGCCAAGGATATAATGACAACCAGATTGCTGGAGTCGCAATCAGAAGCAGAAGAACCAACCAATAAGAATGCTAATCCTAAGGCCCTCAGATTGCTTACGACTCTGAAAAAATCTAGTTTTCATTGAATCATGACCAACAGATAATGTCGGCATCTGTATTCTGTTTGCGATTCCACACGTGGTTTCATTAAAAGCTGGTTACCGGTGGTCTACCGCTGCCCATGAGACCTCTCACCCCCGTCTGTTGACCCTGCGAGCAGGCGCTCGTGTTTGGGTTTTCGCCTTACGGCACTTTTACCAAAAAAAATAAATTAAATTTATTGAACCCCCTGGATTCCATCGGTTTGATTTTCACCGGATCATATCGTTTTGTCTCTCTGAATACGACTCCGACTTCGACTTCGTCTAAAGTGGAAATCAACTTTTAGTGGACGATGATTAGCATTACCGTCAAGGTATTTCGGAGGTTATCCATTTTATCGTTTTCTCCTGTATATATCAGGGTCTGTTTCAGGCGGTTAATTAGCTTCCTACGCCAAAATAAATATGTAAAAGAACAAAACAAAAAATGAAGTAAAAGAAAAAAGCCAAACAAAAATGAAAGTCTTCACTGAAGATAAAAATATCAATGCAACAAATGCACAAAGTACAAAACAACAAAAAACAAACAGACAAAAAAGAACAACAGAAAGTTAATGCAAAATATAAATGGAGTAAGACAGTCGTACTAGGAAGCAACAATTTTGGTTTAACAACATTTAATAGTTATTTTTACGGCATTTCAACCCAAAATCCTATTAACAATAATTTAGGTTTTTGTAAAATGTTCAGTTGAGCGCTATGCCAGTTAAACATGAAATGTATAACTTTTAGGAACAGCGTTTCAAGAGGAAGGAAAACCAGTTGAAGACTGATTAACACCCGGGTAGTTAAACAGGAGCATCCAGATGTTGCACTCATCTGCAGCAAACCGGTAAAGGAACCGGATCTGGGAAGATCGAGGCTTGACTAATGAAAACAACCCAGAGCATGTAAAAGAAAATATAACTACCCCTTCCTTTGGAAGCCATCTTCCGCCACATATCATTTCTGAAGAAAGCTTATACGAAGAAAATAAAAAGCGAAATGAAACAGTCCATCCATCTATTGGGCAGATTCACCGGTAAGCCTTGATTTGGTGCACTCGCCCCAGTTTTTACGGCTCTCGTCCAACCGTACACTAGTCGTACAAACTTACCGGTGCGCCAAGGCTGCACTGAAATGTTTTTCAATATATGTCGTCAGCACATCTTGGAAGTGTTGATATTTTTCATCAGACAAAATGCAGATGATAAAAACCTGGAAAAGCAACGAATTTAACGCTGATCAAAATCCAATAACGAATTGATTTACTTTATAGGATTTCAAACAACTCCTTTGCCCTGGGCATGAACTCATGACGCTGAAGATAATTGTTATTCATTCGTCACGGACGTGGTACGATCAAAGAGATCTACTAACCATATATCTACTTACCAGAAAGACAAAGCGTTTTATCAGAGTTTTGTTCCTTAAAACCCAATAAAAGCTTAATCTATACATTAAAACATCCACGCTCTTCCAGCAAAAATTAAGTTGTTCCTATACAAATATCTCCTCTCCTAACCTCGCTATCTTCATCCCACAAGAGTCCCTTCTAAACAATATCTCTTTATATTGGTTTTGTTTCTGACCTCTTCACATAAATGCATCAATGAAATACGTTTCCCGTAAGTAAATATTTTGCTGACCAGTTTACTTCACTCACCAAAGCTTGAAACACGAGGTTTCCACACTGTTCTGAACTTTCGTTCTGAATGGCAAACAGGGCGTCAAAAATGTCTTGAAGAAACTGTGAAATTATCAAACACAAATAAGTAATTTGTACAGTTGGCTATTAGTAAGTCGATCCCGTGGCTCGATTCTCGCGCTGGCTTGAAAGTTGATTTCCCCTAGTCTTGCTTAAAAAAATTCACCAGAAGTTTATTCTTCCTAAATAAAAACCTCGATATCTTTAACACTGCACCAGCTCGAGGCAGTCCCTTTTCTTCATCAGGTCAATTTTAAGAAAAGTTTACCGTCAATGACTCAAACCTCTGGGTAAAGATCAAACCCCTGGCTAAAGATCAAACCCCTAGCTAAAGATCAAACCCCTGGCTAAAGATCAAACCCCTAGCTAAAGATCAAACCCCTGGCTAAAGATCAAACCCCTGGCTAAAGATCAAACCCCTGGCTAAAGATCAAACCCCTGGCTAAAGATCAAACCCCTAGCTAAAGATCAAATATGTTTTGACAAAATATAAAGCAATACATTCGACCCGGTTACAATAACCAGGTGAACTCTATTACTTTCCTGTCTTCCATGAATGATCAGATCGATCGAAATTATTACGAGAAAAAAACCAACAACAACAATCAAAATAACCTTAACAATTTCTTCTCCATCGATTTTCAGCAAAGAAGTTAACACCGATGGGATTTGACGCTTCTGTTGTCTCCATCTCAACAGACCAACAAGATCAACTGAAAAAATATCAATGATAGAACCTACTTGTTAAAAGGGTAAATAAAAAATAACTCGGATATTACATACAGAAAGTTGTTCCTTAGCCACTGCTCTCCGATTTAATTAGAAATTAGAGTTTTGGGTTTTGTTCAAGAAGGGGGGGGGGGGTGAAAACTCCCAAAAGGAAAAAGAACACTGAGGAAGACCAACAAACAATCCCTTCTCCCCAAAGAAAAAACATTTTTGTATGGTCAGGATGAACGCCTAGCTACCGTTCCTAATGCATTTTGTCCTAAGCACACTATTTATAGGCTCTTACCATTTTGAGTCAGCTTTGTGGAACACACTATCGTTTTGATGTAAAAGGCATCCTTTGAGTTGCGTACCAATCGATCTGAGCCCGCAATAGTATGGTTTGCCATTTTTGACAAAGTTGATGGCATGTGGAGATAAGTCTTCGAGTCATAGAAACAATGTTCATCATACTGTAGAGGCAAAAACATTTTTTGCTCTTTTTGACTGACAAGCAGAATCAAGATGTAAGCAAACCAAGGAAAACAAATAGAGCGTGTATGGTAGTTCATAGTCTCAGCTCTGTACCGCGTGAATGTACATCGTATACATGGTGCATTCAGTGTTTCTAAATTTTACCAGTGCGAAAGGGCCCAGTAACATTTGAGCCACAAAATTGGTCTAGAGAGTGGGAAAACACCCATACAGTTTATATTTGCTTTTTTCTATTTTTATTTTTGTTTGTTTGTTTTGTTTTGTTTTTCACGAAACAGGGTTGTTAGCCCTGCGTCTATTTCCCATCCCGGCGAACCAGGGGATAAGTCGTCGTCAAACCCTTGGCCTCTGACCTATCAAAAATGGACGACCCCGAGGGATAAAAGACTTTCTTACCACCTTAGGAGTTACTTCGGGATGATGACTACACCCCACGATAAGGAAGTGACTCACAGGGGTGTTACTTTACACTCTATTAGCACAAAGGGTAGTGAGTGAGTGAGTGAGGTCGAAATTGAATGTTTAACGTTCAAGGTTTCAGCTGTTGAATGGGCTTCCCTGACACGATTAAGAGTTCCATCTCAAAGGAATTGCTGTGTGAATCAATCGAGCTATGTACTGTGTTCACGTTATACCTACAATGTCTACTGTGTTATGCAGATCATAAACTTTATTTGGTCAAGTTGTTCGTAGCCAGATAATCAAACCAGACTCGTAAAAATCTAATCAACGCTTCGTAATACTTGAGCCTTAGTTGAAGTACAGTACCAGAACAGATTACACTTGTCACAATGAAAGCTAAACTCACCTTATAGACACACAGGTCATGTGTACTATCACAGATGGTAGTCCCGTCAGCTCTCATCAGGCTCTCAAAAGCAAAACCAAATGTCTTGTCGGCTTTCTCCCTTTCTGAATTTTGAAATGAAGTTAAAACAATTCAAATAAACAAATTGTCATAATTCTTAACTGTCGCAGCTGGAAAGGCTTCAAGGTTAGTGTAGTGAAACTTAGGAAAGTGATTGTGTTGTGTTCTTCACCCAGACATTTATATGGGGGCCTTCGACGAATCTTATCACAAGATACTACCCTGCGGGATAGGCGTAAATTCTTTTGCGTTTTTCAGGCGAGCGTAAACTCGCACGAGGAGGACGCGAGGAAAGCGCGAAGGGTGAGAAACCCGCAGGAGGAAAAACATTTTTCGCGCTTTCGATAAAGTTATTTCAGCAGAAATGGCCCATTATCGACACCAGGAAAAGGTTCACTCAGTAAAAATGGTTCATTAGAGATAACATGATAAGGTTCTCCGATAGAAATGACCCATTATAGATACCAAGATAAGGTTCCTCCAGTAGGAATGACCCATTTTAGATACCAGGATAAAGTTCCTCCAGTATAAATGTGCCGTTAGGCTCTTAATACTCAACCACGATTAATAGCGTTTTCTTATTTTGTAATACAGGTTAAGATGGGACAGTAAATGGTTTAAATCTGATTCAGGAAGAATTTCATGGTATGTTCATTTACAGTTATTTTCAAAACTTGATTGCTAATACTCTAACAAAGTACAAACCTTCAAACTTTGACAAATGTCTAAAGCCAAATCTCAAATGGGCTCCCAAGAACAATTCAAAGGGAAGCTGTATCTGTTATCAAATCATAGATGGGAAATATTTAGTAACCAGTTATACCAAAATGTGATGTTCATCTTTAGAATCTGGCAATTGGTGATTCTATGTATAACAATTGGTCAGAGCACGTCCATTGAGATACTTAGCACGCAGGAGGTTTTTAGAGACTGAAAGATACGCAAGTGTTGCTCAAGATCCAGCCACAAGGAAATTGAGCTTCATAAGACCTCTGAAACTTTCCATGTCCTTTGCATCTCGATGAATGCACAACGTAGGCAAGAACCAATACTGTTTTGTAACAATTTTCAATGTGGTAGTTTAAACAAAATTCCCTCTGCCTATATGTACGATTCAATTTGGACACAATACCATCAGTGCACAAATTGGGAGTACGATGCTTGTTCAGTTGTTTGAATTTGATAGCACAAATTTGTTCGCTGTTTGTAACAGATGCTGTTCGTAGATGGCACAATCTAATCGCCAGCGTGAGAGTCCTGGGAAGGACTTTTGTCGGTAGGAGTGACTGATGCCTCTGCAACCGTGACCCTTTGCACTCTAGCATCAGTATGCATATTCTCCATACTGTTCTCTATACATTTCCTAAAGTGCTGACAAGGAGAATTTGTTTAACAATCAAGAGCTGCCTTGATGTTTGATTCAGTGCTGATATTGAAGGGAGAAATTAGATGCTGGTCACTCTTAGGGGCCATAGGGTTAATGGAATTCATTATCAGGGTCAAGAGTTCGCATTTTATGCTTTATATCGGTACCATGACAACAAGTCACTCAGCCTGTGTAACCATTCCCCTGGGGTTAGGAAGTTTCAGACACTAATCTAATAATTCACCTTTATGGTTTCATTCCACTTTGGGCTGCTGTTGTGATAAAAGATAATGGACTGATATTCTGTTACACTGGAACCTCCAGCCCCAAGGAAAATACAATCCTGAATTAAAAACACAAAAATAAAAAATGTAAGTTTCATTTTTAATCTACATTTCAGATAACTACCATCCCTGAACATAAACTGACACTGCATGGGTATCCTAGTTGCAACAATAGACACAAATACACTGTGAGGATGAGAAAAAGTAAAAGTCTGCCTTCCCACACAGATTTGAACATCAGATCTTTGCAGTCTGATGCTATAACTCTCAGCTATAGTGAACTAATTGACATCCAGGCCATATGCTGGATTCACATGAGACAAACATCCCACACCCAGCAATAATCAGCAAAGGTGAAAGCAATGAGTTGCTGAACCTAACAATATGCCGGACACTGTTCATTTATGAACCTAGTACACCAACTGGCTCATAAAAAGGTTTTCTTTAGCTTAGTGGTAGAGCAAAATATCATGAAATTTAAAGGCAGAAGTTCCCTTCCTCCTGTTTAGTAAAGTCTGCTCTTAGGCATGGCACAGTGGCCTATTCAGTTGGAGCTTATCCCAGTTTCTGTACCAAGAAGCGATTAGGAGTATTATTACTCCACCCTAGATATCATCCAAGTCCATTGCTGGGTTACCCCATTGTCAGCTTTTCCCAGCAGTTAACTGCTATCCATTTATATTCCTGAGTGGAGATAGGCACTGTGAAAATAAAGTGTCTTGCCCAGGAACACAACTTGCTGGCCTGACTACATCTCAAACCCACACCACTCCACCCAGAGTCTAAGGTGTCAACCTTTTGGCTGCACCTTCATATCTTTGGCCTTCAATATTTCATGAATAACCATTACCTCAATCACTTTGCCTTTGGGTCCAAGGACACACATGGAAACCTCAACATTTTTGGATGTAGTTTTTCCTGATCCTAATTAGAAAGAAAGAATCCATGTTCAACTTCTTGTTCAAACTGTAAATTCTTGCCTAGGCCCTAATAGATATAAGGAAGCCTAACTGAAGAAAAAAAGTTTATTTGAATTCATTACCTTTTTCAAATTCTCCTCTTTCGATAGTAACATAAAGATCATTCCTTATGTCACCTGTGGAGATAAAATGCATCAATCCATTCTGAGTTGAAATGAGTGATAAAATTTAATGAATTTAACCATGAATGTGAGAGAAAAATTTAATTTAATAAAGATGCTAGCAGTTGATTATTTCAGACATATACATTACAAGTTCAACAACTAGATGTGTCATACCAACCTGGCATGATAACATCAGGAAACCCTAACTTTCTGACAACTGGAATCCCTTTTGGCAATACAAGGGGGTTTTCACTTTGAATCTGAAAATAAACATGTCATTGATTTAGCTTCACTGAACCACAACTGTTACAGATACATACACTCAACCATCAATAACAAAAATGTTTGATAAATTTGTCATACGAATTCCTGATAAGGATATTAATACCCAGTTTGCAGTTATGAAAAACCTACAGAAAGATTTTTTGGTCTAGTCATAAGCATGAGACAAAGGAAAAAATTCTGAGTCCCCATGAGGAATTGAACCACAGACCTTCCAATTCTGTGTTCTGGTGATCTACTACTAAGCTATGGAGACTCTATGGTGAGCATGACTTTTTACAAAAAAAAAAACCTCTCACATGGAGACTCCTCTTACTAGAGATTATTAAAGAATATGCTTACTCTGCCTGTCCCACCCCACCCCTTCCACTTTTCTATTCTGTAAAAAAATAAACTATGAGAGTAACACAGAAGGTTTACCTTATCCAGATCACCTTGAAACACTCTCAGGGAAACAGAGATACCTGGAAAAAAAGTAAATATTTGCCCTTATTATCCTACATAGCCAGCTTACAAAGAGGAGTAAGGGGGTTGGCAGGAGTTTGATTTGAGCACAGAATGTGACCACTGAAGTTTGGGAAGAGACACATAGGCAATTCAAACTCAAATTTAACTTTATAATCATATGTTTCTGTCCTTTGCTAAATGGCCAGCACAATCCTGCTGACCAATGAAAATACAATTACATAATTAAAATCTGAAAACGGAGAACCAAAGAGAACTACAAAAACTTGTGAAAAAAAGGAAATTATCTTCAAAAATCTTAAAGCTCATCAGTCAAGACATACTTTATAGACAAAGACAAATTTTCACCTTGCTAAATATCAGTTGCTACACATTATTCTTACATGAAAGTAGGCTTCTGTATCCTCATGGATACAGGGGACATGTTTCTAAAGAAACTGTGCTGCTGCATCAGTGGGGGGTATTATGAGATAATTTGGTTTTATGAACTGAGTTGATAATGTAAATTGGCCATCATAAAGAGTATCTAAAGAGTTCCTAGAAACTCAATTTACTTAGTCAACTCAGTTGATAAAACCAATTGTCTTTCACTATTCTCATGCTCTCTAGAAATGCACCATACCACATGATCATTTCAGTGCTTGAGATTTTGAACATTTATAAATTAAATTTCTGTGACTTATTCTCTCAACATGTATTTTAAAAGGGTTAACACTCATAAATTTATTAACTCACTGCTGTTTGAGCTTGAAGCACTGTACTTGCTGGTTTGTTTTCTAATGATACTATCATGGACCATCCAGAAATCACTGTCACTACAACTGGAAATTAAACCCAAAAATAAAACATTTAGTTTACAACAATGATTGTCCCATTTCTCCTTCAGGTCAGAAAAGGGTCAACACTCATAGGGAAGGGGCGTGCCAGGAAGGCCATCAAAACCTAACCTTTGCGCAGACAAAACCTTTTCATTTCACAAGCCTATTTAAAACAAAAACTGAGTAAATTGTGGCATATTGACTTCAAGGAGTCACCCCTGATAAACAAATCAATAAAAAGTTAGTTAAATAATACTTATTAAATAAATAAAAAAGTTGAAAAATAAAATATGCTCACCTGAAAATTGGCATGTGGAATTCCTTCTCCTCCAAACGCTCTTCCCTTCCAGTCAAAACGTCCACTATATCCAACACTTGAAGTAAAAGGGAATGTTTACTATTACTTAATAGATTTACATTTCTGTTTGACACAAAAAACTGTCCTTTTACAGTTTGTTTATTTTGTCCTGAAAAAAGGGCCCTCAAAAGCCACATTGAAGACAGATTTAAATGAATTGAAGAGGTTTCTACAAGAATGGCAACATTACACCCTTAAGCACTTTTATGCTAGAAATTTCACTCACCAGCACATCCAAATGGCCTTCTATAAGATGTAGTCGAGACCTTCTTGGATGAACCATCAGTAAGCATTCTCCCTAAGAAATAAAAGGGTATTGGAAGTGGTTACTAAATAAATGGAGTTAACTGATTGGTAAAACAATGTAACTTGAGTCACTAAAACCCACCAAATCTCCTCTTTCTATTCTCAAGCATTTTCCTTAAACAGTCAGTTGGAAACAAACAGAGTGGCAAGGAGAGAGAGAGAGAGAGTGGGGGTGTGTTAAATGTAAGGTGCATTGTCTGCATAACACATGTAAAATTTTTATCTACTATAAAAAGGAGGTTAGGAGCTCTGTTTGAAAACAAATATGAATCAGGGCTGAGTTAAAAGTTTGCAGCAAATGACACAGAATAGAAAGCAAAATCCTTGATACAAAACATAGAACAAAATTACTGCTCTAGTCCTCAGAGGCAACATACCTATTCTCACAATGTGAGCAACAAGAAAAGCTTCAGCTAACACATCCTTGCTCCCAAGGTCCTGCAATTAAAAATAAAGTTATATTTGCATATTTATTCTCTTGAGTTTGCCTAATTTATAATGCCTCTCTATAGTAAAAATTTTAACTGCTTTTAGATTTTGTGCAACATTAGTGTGTACTTTATGGTTAACAGTGGGTGGCACTCCCTTGGTCATGTGCTGTTAAGCAGGATATGGTTGTTGGGGTCTTGCATCTAAACCTGGGTATAAAATTGCACCACATGGCCTTCAAAACAGGTTGTCTTTCTCAAATGGAAGCCTAAAATATGATGATGGCATTCATACTCCTTCTGAAAGGAAGGTTGGCACTGCCTTGGGCATTTGCTGTCAAGCAGGGTTTGGCTTATGGGGTCTTGCATCCTAAACAAGGTGTGCAATTTCACAACAACCTCCAAAGCAGGTTATATTTCAGGGCTAGAAGCCCTAACTACACTGTGGGATGTCAGTATCTGTGAATGAGGTCTAAATGTCTGGTACTATGAACCAAAGTCTCATTCCAAAATATTATATATGTTATACAATGTACAGGGTTGGACAAAGTCTGTATGCTGAAATCTATTACAGTTTTTCTCAAACAACATTAGGATTTTTTGGAGGCCTCAAACAAACATCTTACTCAAACTGTAAAAGTTCCCACATTTAACATTCATTCTCTACTTAGTTAACAATTAATCTGACAACTGACATTGTCACATACTTACAGTAAAAACACAGAATGAGTTTTCAATCTTCTGTGGTTGGTTAACTTTCAGTGTGCTATCACTTTTTCCTATAGAAACTAGAAACCTCTCACTGCATATAAAGAAATACACAATTACAAACAAAAACGGTACTGAAATGAGAAGCACTGAACCTTTTATTTACCCCAGTGTAGGACCAATATAAGAATGTTTTCTATCTCTTTCTAAGATCCTAAATTCTTTACCTCTCTTAACTCCAAAATTCAAAATCCTCCCAGTACTGTCTCTTTCACTTCACAAATGAAAACTGTCCTCTTATGATAAACCTTTCATATTTCATGTTTATAATGTTGTTGTATCACTATTTAAATTTTTTTATAAAATGATTCAAATAGTATGCGCGCTCTGATTGGCCATAAAACCATTTTACACGAGCGTATGTAAACACAGTTTTCGTTCCTCTTTCATAAGCTGGAAACCACTCTGCTTCATGTCGTGGTTTCCTACGCTTATCTCGTGTTCTCCCAACCTCCCATGTGTTTACATCAGGCTATGTAAACACGGAAACCATTTTACATTTCTTCACTCTCACTTTTTTTCCAATTTTTCACTTATATAGAATGATTTATAAATATAAGCCAGTTAAAATAACTTTAAGGTAATTTTGAATTAGTATTATCAACTAAGTTGATAATGTAAATTGACCACCATTAAGAGTTTCAAAGCTTAAGTTTCAAGAATCACCCCTCTCTTTAGAGTGATTAACAAAGGACTAACGCTTGAAACATCAGCTTTGAAACTCTTACTGGTGGCCAATTTACGTTATCAACTCAGTTGATAATACCAAACTACTTTGTTATACTCTCCCACTGACGTAGCACCACAATTTCATTGGAAACTTATCCCCACTATTTAAAATAATTCTAGCTCTGCTCAATTTCCTCTCTGCCATTGATTCGTCACTATTCTTCCTCAAAAAATAATATTTTTAAGAGGGAGCCCATTGTGTAAAAGCCCTTTGCTTTCTCATGGCCATTCTTGCCACCTTTAGTCTTCTTTCATACCGGTAACTTGATAATTAAATTTATAGTGAAATAAATAAAGTATAAAGCATTCACACACCTAATGAATCTTCCTTCCCTTGCATCATAAATGGAGAAAAACACCTGGCTCTTCTCATCCATGTTGTGCGTAAAGTTTGTCATGTTCAGGTAGACATGGTGTATCACAGTGCTGACACCACGAGTGGTTGTCTTCTTGAAATTTCCTCTCCCCTGACATAATTACACAACTTTGCTTGAGTGCAACAAACAACTATGCATGTTAGAGGAGCATCTATGATAACAAAACTGAAGCTTGAGAAATAACAAAAGAAAGACTGAAGCACTTTCCATGTTATAGATTTAATTCAACATTATTTGTGAGGGGAGGGGGTGGGTGGAGGGTACAAAAGAGCTCACAGGAATTTTCCTTATCTCCAAAATGTAGATTTATACCCAGCTAATACAAACTGTAGTATCATTCAATGGATATATGAGAGGCATGGCTGTACCCAAGTCCCAAGCTCGTCTAAATCATTTTTTCAGGTTTAACTACCTGCAACTGCTTTAAACCTTTGACCCATAGGAGTGACTAGGGTTTAAATTCTTCTCACAATATCACCTCTGAATCACATAATTATTCAGATCACAAGAATATAGGAAATGATCGCCAACCTAACAAGCTTTGATTGTTGAGCTAATTCTCCTTGTCAGTGCCAAAGGAAATTTATAGAAAAGAGTATCAAGAATATAGATACAGATGTTAGTATGAAAAGGGTCAACTATATCCCCACAGATAGGTATCCTTGAAAGGAATATTTTCTCAACCTCTGATATTCCATGGTAAATGATTTAATATAATTGACAATAACACAATCATTGGAAATTATTGATAGGTAAAAATCAAATCCTCAACTACAAGCTGTTTTATAGAAAAATTAAGAAACAGGTATTTTGGAAATATATTGGATGATAGGTGTTCAATGAACAATATCAATACCATTTTATTCAAATAATATTTGAATAAAATATTATAATTTTTTCAATAATTATAACTTACTGATATTTGGAGATTAGCTTCAGCACTTGACACATGCTAAAAATAAAACAGATGCAAATAGAAAATTACACGTCATCTAAGACACCATGAGTCAGACTACTTCCATTAAATACAAAATAAGAATATCACTTATTTCAACCTCGCAGTCAACATTGTCCAAGCACTAAAGTTAGTTTGTCAATTAGATATTCATCCAGTGAGCCACTTAAATTACCATGTGATATAACATAGCTAGTAAATTTGTCTAGTAAACAAATTCAATTGCGCAAGCGTGCTTCATATTCCTATTGTGCACGCTCATAACGTCAGGAAACAAACCCTCCCAAAAAAATTTTCCATTGGGTTGAAAATGTTATAAAACAATTGGTTCATACATCAGCTGTGTGTTCATTGAGATATGAAGCACTTGGGAAGTTTGGAGAGCACTCAAGAAGCTACGCCTTGAGCAACTCTAATGCATCTTTCGTGCTCTCCAAACTAACCAAGTGCTTCATATCTCGATGAAAGCACACTGACATATGAACCAATTGTTAATTAACCCTTTTACTCCCATGAGTACCAGGAAAGAATTTCTCTACAGCAAGTCAGTACAGTATCTAGCAGAAAAGTGATGAGAATGAAGAAAATATCAATTTGATGATTTTTTTTAGTTGATCCAATACCAAATTCTCCAAACTAATAAATTATTATAAGTAGAATTATAAGGCAGAAAGAAAGATTAACATATGACCCATCCAGAAAACCATAGAGAAAACTGACACGTGGGGCTGGACAAGTTGACATGAGCCAATCCAGAAAAAGGCCATCTGGCCCTGCACTCAAACAGATTTGTTGCAAAAACATAACGGAAAAAAGGAAATGAGTAAAAAAGTCACATGTTTCAATAAATTTTGAGTTTCTTGTTTTACCTTTTTATCACCTTGTGCCAAATATTTTCCTGTATAGCCCTCCCACTCCATCAATAAGTACATATTACTAAAAATTAGATCTTTGTGGAGAAAGGGCTCATAATATATACACCCACAGGCTCTACAGTAATTACATGCAACATACCACTTTGTAGAGTTCAACAACACTTGTGGAGTCAGCATCGACCACTTCTCCATCCACTCTTGGAATGAGATCCAGCCCCATTTTGCTGGCAAATAATTAAAGACAATACCCATTAGTACAATATCTAGGTTTGCATCATTGTGCTGCTTTAAATTCTTACAAGGGAAGTTCAGCTTTAGTGTGTAGGTAAGAGACCTTACCATAAATTGGAAATAGGCCAAATTAGTGACCTTTGTCACAAAACTTTTTTATGGTTACCAAAATATTACCTTACTTGCCATGGTGACCAGTACAGTTGCAGTGTGGAGCACTTTTTGTGGCTGAACAGTTGTTACAAGTAACAGAATTCTCTAAATGAGAATTTATGATTATTAAGGTACATACATACCTGTTACCCCAGTCAATTTTATTAATAGCTTTCTTCTTGATGTCATCCATTTGATCCTACAAAATAGATAGCATTGTGAAATGAACATGTAAGGCTTTCAATGACGTGTTTTATAGATGTCTATGAATTTCTTATCTTCCTTCTATTTTAAACAATGACATCTTATGTGAAGGCACGAATTCAGCCATCTTGAAATGTTTTAAAATTTCCTCAGATTTGAATATTTCATTTTCATCTAGTACAAAGAAGTATGAAGAAAGGTTTTCAAAAAAAGGAAAAAGTGGACACAGCAACCTTGAAAGGTAATATGGGTATCTGGTAATCAATAAATTTTAATAAGTCAAAGAAATATTTAATAAATTCATCTAGCCTGCTATGCCTGGTCCTTAAAGTGACATTTCCTCAGATTTCGCTAATAGATCCTGAGGTCAAGGAACCATGATCTGAAAACTACCCACAATACCTTCAGGGTTGTCACTTACACTTTTATGTGTAATAAATAGGACATTTCACATTCCCACATTGATACAACGTTATCTTTTCCTCACTCTTACAGTGTCCCTGGCTTGAAATCATTTTTCTATGATACATGTAAACAAGTACCTGTGTCAGTGTTCCAGATAGAAGCTTTTGCCTGCACTCCACTAAATCCCACATGATTGTTTTTAGTGCTAAAAAGAGGCGATCTTGTTTTCCCTATAATGGCACAAGTGTTAAAACGTTATGTTAATAAAAATTGTGAACAGGCTCCTATGTAAAACCCTAAATCATTTGTCTCACTCCCAATGTGTGGCTTCCTAGCCCAGCTGGTAGAAACACCTAACTAATATCTCGGAGGCACAGATTTGAGTCCTGTCAAAGCATGAATTCAGGCTCTTTTCTGCAATTGCTTCCATTACAGCCCACTTACGTGGGTCATTTCTTAACGTAAATCATTTACTATCACATTAAAGAGGGTTGATGCCTTTCATTATTCAAGTAATGGAAAAAAATGAAAAAAATGAGCCTCCTTCCCCCCCCCACAAGGAATTGAACCCAAGAGCCAACAATCTGATGCTCCACCACTGTGCTACAGAAGACTCTTCCACAAGCTACAACCTGTGGCAAAAATTTTGAGGTACTTTCTTAAAAAAAAAAAAAAACAACTGTTTTAACTCAAAATGGTCAACAAAAAAATTAACTACATATCACTAAATATTCCCCACCTCTCTTTTGAAATCTAGGGGGGAGTGAGGGGTGGGAGAAGGGGGAGGGGTAGGTAGGTGGTGGTTTTATGACATGCAAAATGTCTTTTCATCATAATTATGGCCAAGATGACTCAGTTTCATCTCCAGATCAAATGTGTATTTAATACATAATCATTAGTTTTCTATCATTTCCATACCTTGTAAAGGTCTTTCCAGATGACAAACCATTCTCTTAATATCAAAGTTAGCTCCTTAACTGTAGCATCTTCTTTAGGGACAACACTTTCACTTGCAGTACTAGAAATAAGGGAAATTTTGTGGCTTATGAATTTCAAAGAAATAGTTATTTCAGCATTACACTTAATATGTTTATACTTTTATATTTTGGAGGATTAAGGGAAGTTATAAGTAAAAAAAAAAAATCTATATTTTCCCTGGTGCAAAAATATACCCTGACCAATATAATTGTCTGCTGATATTACAATTATACCAGTTCCTTGCAGCTAACAGTTTTCCATCACCTTTGCATTTGAACAATAAAGCTCACAGTTTCTATCAAACATTGCACTTGGAAATTATTTGGTTCTCAAGACAGATAACATCCAACCACAACCATACATTCAAGCATTTTTACCCTCTAAATGGAGGGTATTAAGCTTATTTTCTTCACTTACTTTTAGAAACACACAGGACAGAGTATTTATGAGTAAATTACAGTGAGCCAAAATGTAAACTGAACCCCATGATCATATTTAAGTGTGCCCAGATAAAGCTTTCGCATCAAGCAGGTTTATCTTCTTCTCTCTAACAAAATGAAAGTCCATCCCATTTGGAAGTAGATTTTTTAAGATGACTGTCATCTTACCAAACAAGAAAATTGAAAATAGCAAAGCATCCATCATATCTTACCAAATTTTAGCAAGGGCACATACAGTCACAAGAGGCATTATTTAGTTTGACCATATGCATAAATAGCCATAAATGCACTCAAATCAGCTAATGGAATTCCCCTATGCTGTGCAGGACAACACTCTCGTAGGCTTATCACAGAAATAATTGATAAATTTTTTTAACTCAATTTACAGGTTAGCAAGTGCTAAAGATAAAGTATTGGTTGAAAATGAATCAAATGAATCTATCTATTACTTCGATTAAAATTTTCTTGAGTAATGGCAAATTGTTCAAATGTACAGAAATCAAAACAAAGAAAAACAATTACATTTACCCTGTATTTTCCACAGTACATTGCTTGAGGTGAATATATGTTGCTGGAAAGATACCCTGTCAATAAGAAAAATACAATTACCCGTAAGTGATACTGTTTACTCAAATTAAAGTAATCTCATTATTTCATGTACCACTTCAAATTTAATTCTGGTTACTTCTCAGTAATGTTTTTTTAAGTTCACCGACATTATAAAGCAATGACTGGAAAATTCCAAAACCTCTTCTGTGAGACCTAAACAAAAGATCTCACACCGAGCACGATCTACGATTACAGCAGAACCCTGCTAAGTCAAACTCCATATGGAAACAGAAATAGCTCAAGTTAGCAATAGTTCAAGTGATCGGGATTGGTGTTGAATTTCAATTATCTTCTAATAATTAATAGGGAGACATGACTTTACCATTCTTGCACAATCAATAGTAATTTTAGTACATTTAGTTTTTTCATAAGAGCTTTTCTTTGAGAACATTTGATTAGGGAAATTAAGCAAACATGTTACGTTTTCATACATGTTATTACATTCACATCATTGTGGTTACAGACAATCACCTCTTTTGTGATATTTTGACCTTTATCAGTTTTAGCTAAGTTTTTGTTATCAGAGTCAATCCAAGCCAAGGGAAAGTAAAATTAACTCAAGTTCACAGCAAGTTTAAGTTAATTGAGTTCAAGTTAAGATAGTAGGGATAGTAAATCCAGGGGAATTGAATTTTGTTCAAGTTATTAAGGGAATTGAAGAAATGAACTGAGTTCAAGTTAGCAGGGTTCCACTGTAGTTACAACAGAGAAAGGATCACTGTTACAGTATGTATAATTGAAAATAAAAAGTTGTGAAAATTAATAAATCAAATCAATGGTCCTTTTCCTCAGAAGCAGTTCCTGTTAGTGATTTTGGTGGCAAGAGAGGCGTTATTAAAAGCTCTTCCTATATTCCTAATCCAAGAAGATAAACTTAAACATTACAAAACTAATGAACTTAACTTAAAACATAAATCCTGATTGAATTCATTGCAGGCTCTTCTACATTTGAATGAAGCATTCATATATTTGGATAATTAATTAATAAAATAAACAAATAAAACTTGACAGGCTGACTTCTGCAATGACTGGAAAGGCGATGAACTTACCTTTACAGATTTGTTTCGTAAAGTGCATCCCCTGTACCAACCTGTTCCATCGAAAAACCGTAAAAACACGAAAACATATTTTATCTCAATTCGTTAGCATGTTGCTGAAGCATTGATTGCCCACGCATACGCTCAAACGTTCGCGACCAAGACATGATCATTACGACAGAAGTTAACTGATAACACTTAATAATGCGCGATTTAAACAAACTTAGAAAAGTGTTAAACATTTTAATAGACACGATCAAGTTAAGCATAGATAAAATTACTGAATTCTTTTCTAAGAATATTCCGGAAAGCCATCTTTGCCATTGTAAAACATTCACAGCAAAACCGGAAAACCTCAGATTAATAACAAAGATTCAGATAACAGGATAGGTCAATAAGGAAATATTCTTAGGAATTGAAAGACTGCTGATATACCAACTGGGAGTCAATGATTAAAATTAGATCGCGCTTACCTGCGCATTCTTCTAAAATGTGCACAGTTTCGCCAATGGTTAACCGTAGTCCATGAGTAATATTTCCGTCAAAATTGTACACAACTACAAGACGCAAAAGACAGATCTGATATAGTTCCGTGCATCTTGAAAAGTTCAAAATTTGAAAGCGGATCTTTACATGTCAACGATAAACGCCTACCAACTCCAAATTTTGCATCACTTGTCGCTTTCCAGGCATTCATATTTTCATAATTGGCCCTCTGAGCTGACCTTCATTGCTGTTTTCAAGGAATAACACAGGTATGAGGAAAATCAAGGGTGTAGATTGGTATTTCGGAAGCTCTTAATGTTCTAGAGCCCGGCGCCATGTTTACTTTCTCCTTTAAAGCCTCGTTTGCGTGATGGCGTTGATTCTCCTCACCTCACCCTACACGCATAAGATACAACTGTCTCTCACATTGAAATGGTTCTTCATTCCATTTTCTTTTCCTTTGATGAGGAGCTCTTGTTACAAAATATTCTGGTTCTAGTTAATGCATTAAAAAAAAAAAAAAACAGGGCTAATTTTCTGTTAAGAGATTAAATCATTTCGAAGACATTCATTGACATATTTCAACGATAAACCTTGACACTCGTTTGATGTATCGCTTATAGTAAAGATGTTTTAATGAAGCTAATAAGCCTTGAATATTCTAGAAGTGAAATTTGATATATAGTAGTCGTATTGAATTTATCCTCGATGCTCTGTAGACAAAATTTCAGCGAAAAAAGTGAAAATGCTTTCACCAAAATTATCAAAATATTCTTATGATGCTGGTATTTTCGGTTTGCGACAGTGAGAAGTTAAAATATTCCTTGTTCCCCCCGGACGATCTTTTCAAAAATTACAAAAAGAAAAATAATAGTTACAATGATAACCGCGCGAAAGAACAGCAGGAGTATTTGATGTGACGTCACTATTTACCCATAATATAAATTCCAAGATGGCGACCTCGAAGGAAGTTGCCGTCAACGGTCGCGATACGTTTTTTAGCAAATCTCCTTTCCTGAAGAAACCAACAAGCCTTGTATTACCAAAAGATGAACATGTCAAGAAAAAAAGAAAGGCGAGTTTCGAAGAAGAGACAAAACATTTGGAGAATTTTGGCAAAACGCATCGTTTGAGTTCGCACGAAGAGAGTTGGAACATAACGTCTGTGTCGCCGACATCACCAACACCGTCACCAACAAAAACACCGAACAACAGTTTAAAGACAACCTTAAAGAAAATTAAAAAGGAAGGTGGGATGCAAATTTATGTTGAATTAGCTTATGGTTGAGAGAATTAATTGTAAAACGGAAGAAATCCGGGTGCTTAAACAAATCGAACTCGTAGAGGATACAGAATTGTTTGTTCTGCTTAACTGTGGTGGCCGTTTTTTTACAATTTTGCAAACCTATTTGCATCCGTTTGGTATGGGTTTTCAAGGGAAAGAATTGGTAGCATTTTGGAGGAAAATTTTCTTGTTTGTTTGTGAATCTAAAGAGTTTTTTCACGTCAAACTTCACCATATTGACTCCGATCTTCGCCTAGCATGTGTGACTTGGGCAACCAGACTTCCCTTATAAGACAGAAGTTAAATTCTCAGTGGTGTGGAGGAAATTTCCATTGCATTGTGGTGAAGGGTATTTGTTTTAAAAGAAAGAAAGATATTTATGTTGAATGCTCTCGTTTTATTTCCTTTTAAAGTTAATTCGGCGTACACAAGTGTGTAACTTTCCACGTGTTTTTACAAACAAAAATGCTGCGGAAGATGAACTTGTCTTGCACAAAGAAGTGACAAAGGAGTCGATCTTAATATAAAACATAGATGCACTTTTAAAACTTAATTAAAATAGGAGACTTTCCAACTCTGAGAATTTAAAAAAGTGATTAATTTGTGGTTATTGCAATGTCATGATATGCAAAGGATGGGTAGTTGCAGTATCAGCATTTGTTAGATGTACCAATATTGTTTTACCTATAAGTAAACGGTGTAAGACCTGATCACACGAGTTGTGTTTATTATCCATTGTCAGGGAGAAAAGGGCAAGTCTGATTTGAAATTAAAAGTATCTCAGAGATCTAACAATTGACCAAACTTAGTGGATTTCAATGTAGCATTGTAACTTCATACATGCATTTGCTCCCTTGTTGATACCCTTCATTGGAAAAGAAGGCAATCCGAAAATAGTTTTAAGGCTCAAAACCCAACTTAAACATTAAATGAACCATAACACTCTTTTTTTAACATAAGTACATTACTCCTCAAGGGAGAAGTTTGCCCTAAAAACTATGTAATTGTCCTGATATTGAAACAGATGTAGTTGTATGAATTTCATTCAGTTGTATTTTGAGATTCCAGGGAAGAAGCGACCTTGTACCTGCATTAAAATTGTTTCCAAATATAAACCAGCAATTTTTAAAATGTACCACTTACTAACCAAGTTTGAGATCTTTATAGTAAGCAACATTTATGAACCATGTATTTCCCCCTTTGGATTTATAGCCAAAGTGTGATATGTGCAGGCCATAAATCCTAGCAGAAAAACAAACTTTTGAATTTAGTGGGCGGCACAATGAGATATGGCCTGGTAAATTTACCAATCATTAATATGGTCTCTAAAAAAATGTTATGATAATTTTTTTTCTGAAAGAATTGTTATTATTTTGCAGGGAAGTGTGAATTTACACCTGCAGCCCCAGAGATTATTTCTCACAATGATTTGAAACTGAAAATCAAGAGAAACTCAGGTAATGAATCCACATGAATATAGCGCCAGTAAGTTTTCATTACTTACAGTTATTAACCCTTTAACTCATTGAAGTGATTAACATGTAACTTCTCTCTATCATATCCTTGCATCGTCCTGCAAACAAGTTATGAGAATATTCAAACTTATCAGAGGGAAGTTGTTGATCTAACAACAAATTATTGCAAATTTAATGTGTCACAGCTAGAGGGAAAAAATTAACTGTGAGTTCTTGGGGGTTGAAGGGTTAATGATCATTCCATCTATGCCTATCTCAAACTCCATAACTCCATGTAATGAGTCTGACTAGTGTTTGTGGTATAATAAAACAATGGAGGATATGTTTATGAGCATAAAGATGTTTTTGGGTTAGACTCAAAGTCATTTTACCCTAAATTGTGAGGCAAGGGTTGAAATGACTCTGGAAGGGCTCGAAACATATTTATTCCCAAGAAAATAAGCTGTATTACATTTTATCATTGGGGGGTATTGATAAAATAAAAACTGAAAAATATAGCCCAAAATAAAAGAAACAGGCAGAACAATCAATGCAAGTATTTAAGCCTGCCAAAATCTCCATTTTAGCCTACAAAATGGACAGCAATGCCCAACAAAGTGATAATAATGGTGTTTTGTTGCGGTGTATGTGCTGAAATGTAGAATGACTTACAGGTCAAAACTATTCAAACCAGATTGGTCAGTGTTTTCCTTTGTGCTTGATACATCCTGATATTCCCTAGACACCAGAAATTGGAAGTCAAACTGGTTAACCCTTACACCTTAGCAACAGTATGTATATTCCCAATACAGTTATTGCTCAATTCCTAAGGTGTTGACAAAGAGAGTTTTCTTAATAATCGAGAGCTTTTTTAGTTGGTGATCATTTCCTTTAATCTCATGACCTTAATGTGTGATTCAGTAAGGAGAAACAAGATCATAGTCACTTTCAGGGATGAAATGTTTAAAGACAAATTTAAACTAACATCATTTCAAAATACAACATGTATATTTTGGAACCACACAAAACAATGCTATGGCAATTACTATAACTGTTGTGATACAATACTAGCTGAACTTATGATTTCTAGACTAAGCAACCTAACTCAGAAGTTTCAATAACTTTTTCTAGAAGAGGTTGAGAAATTGTAATTGGTAACAAAGCCAGAAAAAGTGCAATCAGGTGAAACTCAAACAGGCTGAACAGATGGCAGTAATTGGTCTTGTAGGCAGCAGTTGGCCACTGATGAGTGGCTCTTAGTTAACCCTTTAACTCCTAAGATCTCAATAGTAATTCTCCTTACTGTCTGCCATACAAATCTTGTGTTGTTAGTTTGGAGCATTTGGAATTGGATCAACTAATAATCCCCTAATTGATATCTTTCTTTGTTCTCATCCCTCATCTACTTGATATTGTATTGATATTGTAAGGAGAAATTCTGTCTCAGTCACTCATGGGATTTAAAAGGTTAACCTGCAAATATTTTTTATTTTCACAGTTGACACAAATCATGAAAGCAATGGTACTGCTAAACTTAATGGAGGATCAGATGTAAAGAAAAAGAAGAAGAAACACAAGGAGCATCATCATTATCATCATAACCATGAAGAGGAAAAGAATTTTAATGATCAAGATTATACCATTAGATTAAATCCAAAGGAAAAAACTCGTCTCTCGCATCTGATTCATACAGAGGTTGACGCCAATGGTGGAGCATCAGTGCTGCATGTTTATACAGATGAAATTGCTGGGTTAAGAGAAGAAAAGCTGCAAAAGTTTGTCAAACTGTTTTTTCGTGAAGTCTTTGCTGAAAAAAGTGAAGGTGTGGCAAAAAATGTTATGGGCATTGTTCATAACGCTGCAGGATATCTACCTGAACTTGTGAAACACTTTGGAGTAAATCATCCAAATTTGACTGTCAAGGTTTCTTCTTTATATAAAAAATCAGACCTTGAGACTTTGAAGATGGAGGAATTCATGCAAAGAGTGGAATCTTCCTATGATTGTGGGACATACCGGTCAGGCCCTCTTCTGCAGTTCAGCTTAGTTGGGACGGTTCAGGAGGAAAGTGGAGGATATTTCCCAGAGTTTTTGGACTTACTTGAACAATGTCTCTTTCTGAAGGAGACAATGCCTTGGGGAACTTTCTCAGCACTTAATTTAACTGAGCGAAACAAAAGCAATGATGGCCCTATCATGTGGGTTCGACCAGGAGAGCAGGTTGTTCCCACAGCAGAATCAAGATCACCATACAAGAAGCGAAGGTATGTCATGCACATTGTTATATGGTTTTGTTGTAATGTATGTCATGGATGAAGCTTGGAAAAATGTTTGGTACTTAACAATTCGAGTCAGTCTGCTAGCCCTAAAGTTATGTCTTCTTTCCATGATTTTGTTTGTCCTGCACCAGGTCATGATAGCGATTCTACAATACTTTGCTCAAATCATTTGGAATTTTTATTCAAGGTTTAGTAACTGTGTGTAGGGTTTTACAAACTGGCCTTTAATAAATGTTTAAACATTTAATTTTAAAAGGGAGACTTGATTTCACCTGTTGTGCAGCTCTGTAGGCCTTAAAGTGCTCTAGGCCTTAATTTATATCTTTTTGTTAACTGCTATTGTGAGTTATTCAATAACTTCAGCTTGCAAGTTGAAAGGTCAATTGAGCTTCTTTTTTTTTAATCAGGTGATAATAGCCAAACCTGGCAGCTAATTGCTATATAATCATTTAGTATTTACATGTACTAGATACTGTAAATCAAATCTTCAATACTTTTTTTTTTCCAAGAATTGGTGTAAATGAACTCCAAAACCTCCAGTACCTTCCCAGGGTTTCTGAACCCAGAGAGATTCTTGCCGAAGATAGAACACGCTGTCATGCTGATCATGTTGGACATGGCTTTGACAGACAAACAACTGCAGCTGTTGGTGTATTGAAAGCAGTCCATGTAGGAGAAATGTAAGGGAACAGTTCTGTGTACAAAATATTCAGTTTGCTTCTGTAGCTATAAAACATAAACCTTCTACAGGTAGTATGCTGCCATCAGAATGTTTTGATAGTTTGATCATCTTAATGACAAGAAATTGGCAGGTATCAGAATTGAATGATAATGATCACAGTGCTAATGATGATGAGGATATTTTCAGAGCCTAAAACAGGAGTATCTCTGCTTTTAGTTAACCCTTTACACCCTTACATCAATATGCACATTCTCCTTACTATTCTCCACACATTACCCTAAGTGCTGGTAAGGAGAATTTGATTAGTAATCAAGAGCTTCTTTGATCGGTGATCATTTTCTTCATGACCTCAATGTGTGATTTTGGGGTAATACTATTACAAGAAATTAGATACTAGTCACTCTTAGGGGGTCAAAGAGTGAAGTTGAAATAAAAATTTTATAGGAATTGTCTTTTGGAGTTGGCTTATCATACTCATCACACAAGCACAACATGTATAATTTAGAGCTACAGCTGTAGAGAATTATTCCCACATTTGAACACAACCATTTAAAAAGTGTTAAGCTACCATCCTAACAATTTTCTTTTCACTTGCTTTCCAGTCCAGCTGCTAACAGAGACTGTAAGGATGTGATCTGTTTTAGTGCTGAAAACTTTAATTTCCTGACTCAGAAACTGCAGTTGGATCTTCATGAACCTCCAGTCCAACAAGTGAGAATACACTTTTAGACAGTGGTATTCTATGTTATTTGCTCACATACAACTCAACTTGCTTAAATACCTCCTCCTCTATCTGATCTTTTTGCACTTACCTACTAATTAATAATTTTTATGTCCCCTCTTTCTAGTGTGTTAGTTGGGTAGATGATGCAAAATTAAATCAGCTGAGAAGAGATGGTGTGAAATATGCTGCATTCCGGCTGAGGGATAATGACATCTACTTCATTCCTCGCAACATCATTCATCAGTTTAGAACAGTTACTGCATGTACAAGTTTAGCTTGGCATCTGAGATACAAGAATTACTATCCTGAATTAAAGGAACCAGAAAAGGTAGTGGAGCAGTAAGGAAAGAAAATGGCCACAGGTGAACATGTTGAGAAATTTTTTGCTGCCACAGGCAGAAATCTTACCTCTACTTGTATGTAACATGTTACTCCTTGATGCTGTGTACGTGATCATGTAAAATATACAGCACTGTACAGCATTATGTGGTTCCCTTTTCAAAAGCCTGTTAGAATTGTCACAGACCTCAATGTCCCACCATCACAATGGTTTTTAAGAAGAATTCACCATTAGTGACATGATTACTTGTATATTCTCCCAGTCAGAGCTGGTCTCTGTCATGTCCACCTCATAAGAAGGTTACTTTTCTTTAAAGAAGCATGCAGTTTAGAAATATAAGCACATTCATGTTTATGACAAGTGTTGTCTGACCCCTCACAGTTCCAGTTCTTATACAATGTAAGCTAAGCATCTATGTTACACTTTATACAGTAGCTGGTAAAGGCTGGTTTTCACTAATTATAAAGTCAGAATCAGAGTTGCAATCAGAAGTGAAGAGCCATTACTGGTATGTCATAATGTAGGACAAACTGAAAGAGCTGAGTGCAAGATGCCATTCTTCAAATGGCTCAGTTACTTATGAGCTAGTGAAAACTAGATTGTTTGAGTCATAAGCACTTGGGGGCTCAAGAACAAGCATTGTGATTATCAACTCATTTCATTTCATCAACTGAGTTCATAACTTAAATTGACTGCAGTAAAGAGTTGTAAAGCAGGGCTTCCAAGCATTAGCATTTGTCGTTCACTCTGACATAGGGTTAATGCATGAAACATCAGCTTTACAAACTCTTAATGGTGGCCAATTAACATAAACAACTCAGTAGATAAAATCAAACTAACTTGTAATACCCCTCGCCAAAAATTAGCCCCATACAACTCAGAGTTGACCTGTAACTACTGGACACCAACATTAAGCTTTGTGAGTGGTTACTTGAGGTGGGTTATCATTACAAGTGTTACACCATAGTTTCTTTGCCTTAAAGTGACTAATTTGGACAATTTATTAGAATATCCTTCATGAATTTAATGCCAGCTGATTCAGGCACTTGATGTACAACGAGTGAATATTAAGAGAAAGTGCTTTTAGTGCTCCTTCAAAAATCAAGATTCACTATGTTTCATTCTCCAGGTTTACTGATTAATTACATGTATTTTAAAAATTCTCCTAGTAACAGTTGAAGAGTTACTTGCACTCAAACTAGAGTTTGTCCCTTCTATTTTGTATGATATTATGAATGATAAATCCATGTGGGTGACAATAAATTGTTATTAAATGTATTGATATGATTTCTTAAGAATAGGTTTAGTACCTAAATATTTCATTTCGAATAATCCACTGGAAGCTAGTGACAGTCAAACCAAAGTTTTTACTGGGTTAAAGAAACCAATATGAGTACAAAGAATTATGTTGTACACTTTCATTGATCATTCCATAAGTGTTGGTTGATCAGATTATGATAATCTGTATTGGGCAGGTGTTAAATCCATGTTTAAAGTTTTTATTTCTATGGTTCTAGCTTTGAAAATGTTAACCCTTTACTCCCATGAATGACCAAGACATAATTTCTCCTTACAATATTAATGCAATGTCAAGCAGAAAAGTGATGAAAGTAAAGAAAAATATCCATTAGGGGATTTTTTTGTTGACCCAAAACCAAATTCTCCATACTCACATCACAAGAATTGTATGGCAAAAAGTAAGGAGGATTAAGAATGAGATCTTGGGAGTGAAAGGGTTAAGGAAAAAAAAATTCTCATATCTATATACTAAGTAATTTATAGAAAAACAGTGTAAATAATATATTATGGTATGTTAACAGGGCACTTTAGGAGCTTATTAACCTGTGTTTTGAAAAATTCTGCAGAAGTCCCTGTCGGTTTCTGAGTTGCTGGTCATGCCCCTTAAACCTCATATCAGAGTCGCCTTGACTGCACTAATAATGTAAATTGTAAGGTGTCTCTGATGTTGACAAGGCTTCACCTGAACACTGCTGAGCTTTTTTTTTCTTTTTAGGTGGCACTGAAACCCTAGTGATAATCTCCATTAGGAAATCAAGTGTAACATGCGTGCATGCTCTCTATTGAATCGTTTTAACTCGTTAACCCCTAAGAGTGATTAACATCTAATTTCTCCAATCAGTATCACTCCTGAAACAAACATTAAAAGTCAAGGGAATTAAGGAAATGGTCACCAACTACAGAAGCTCTTGATCGTCAAACAAATTCTGCTTGTCAGTACCATAGGAAATGTTTAGAGAACAGTATTGAGGATATGCATATGGTATATAGGGTTAAACTAGCAAGTATACTGCAGGGCTAATACTGAAGGCTACTCAAAGGCCCTCATTGCATGTACTGATATTTATCTTTAAACCGACTTTGAGATCTAAAAGTAAGAGTGTAACCTGATGTTGGCAACGAGTGATTCGTTATTATATCATATCTTTAAGTTCTGTTCTAGTGGTGAAAACTGTAGCAATTTTTGTTCCAAAATGACTTGGAGTAAGTTGTGCAAAAAGTGAGAACTATAGTTACAACTGTTAGGGAAAAATTCCTTATGGGAGAGAAAAAATATTTTGAAACTGGAGATTTTCTGCAAATGGCAACTTTTATATATTACAAGGGGTTGAAATAGGTAACAGAAATAAATGACCATATCTAGTTCTCCATGCACTATGTTTGGTTGCCTTGCAAGGCACTGGATGAAGTGATAAATGTTGTGGTTACAGATTTCTATCTTGTTTGTAAAGAACTCAGAGATGCTTAATGTTTTGCATCAGGGGATACATGAGCAGAAACAATTTCACAATCAATCCCTGTGCGAAATTAGTCTGAAGCATTTTTGCTTAATTCTGTCATACGCGCGGGCCTGGAAATCTTGATTAATGATTAAGTTAGACTCCTAAGTTTAGAGAAAGATTACATAAATTGTTTGTAAATCATAACGAAAAGAATTATAGTTATACTATTTGAGAGATAAATATTTCTTATTTACCGTGTATTTAATAATAATTATCAGGCCAGGAGAAAGTACGTTTGTCGCAATTAGGGTATGTTTTGCTACTTATGAGATCGCGTGACATCTTAAGACCACGCTATCATTAAACATGTCCGCAAAGTAAATACAGCTACTAGGCTACCAGTTGTTTACCTCACTTCAAAACAAAACTATAGCACTATGCTAAGAAGTCGAGAAGTATTTATTGATAGGTTGAGGAGTCGTTAACTTATTATCATTGTAAATAGTGTTTTTATCCTTATTAAAACTTATTTCAAAGCTATTGAGAAATTTTTGTCTGTTATTAACCCTTTGCCCCCCTAAGAGTGACTAGCATCTAACTTCTCCTTACAATATCCCCCCTGAATCACACACAAAGGTCACAAGAATAACGAAAATGATCATCACCTGAAGAGACTTTTGATTGTTAAACAAATTCTCCCTGTCAGCACCTTTGGAATTATAGAGGGAACGGTGTGGAGAATATGCACAATGATGTTCGGGTGTAAAGGGTTAAGCTGGATCATACACTCATTTAGATTGGCTCCTGACCTCAACATGTACAGCATTTTAACGTGAGTCTGTTTATAGAAGATCACAGAGGAAGTCAGAATGAGGAATGGACGTCAGTGACATACTTGCGCGCTCGGCTCGGGGAAATCTGAGGAAACTTCACTGTAAGGACAAGGCATGGCGGGTTTGATAAATTTATTTCTTTACTTGACTTGTTGACATTGATAACCGGATACCCAGATTACCTTTCGAGACTTGCGTACATTTTTACTATTGTTTCTGACAACCTTTTTCGAAACAGCTGTAAACCACACACAACCCACAATTCCTCTATTCGTCCTAACAAAGGGCTAATGCTCGAAACGTTAGCTTTGGAACTCCTAACAAGGACCAATGATCTCATTTCCATTTTAGCAGCAAGTTTCATATGAATTCCACCTAGGCAAAGGATTGACCTTTTTATTACTAATTATCGCAACAACGAACAACCATAAAAAAAAACGGTAAATTCCTTTTAATGTCTACCATCGTTTTAAATGAAAATATAGGAATTTGATATGTTTCCACTAAACCAACAGTTACAATAGAAATTCTCCTGGTCGTCCTTCACTTAATTTCCCTTGATAAATAAGCTGGTCAAAATTTAAAATTAACTAGCATACATGATACATCTCGCTTTCTCTTCTCGTCTGGGGAGAGAATGCACAACGTTTTGTGCTGGCCCTGAAAGGAAATGAAAAGGAAAGATATCGGACGGCACTGTGAATAGTGTTGTAAGAGCACTTTTCAAGGCGGTCAAGTAAGTGTTTCCAATCTATTTTACTTCAGGATGCCGATGAAGAGTCAAGTTCTTGTCTTTCAAGGTCAGTCTCCGTTGTTGGAAAAAATAAACAACAACAACAAATAGAAGGTAGAGTTTCATTTTTAAGGCGAGACCTAGACCTGAAAGAGGAAGAGGAGTAGGGGGCGGGAGGGGTACGTGATGTGAATTAGAATCGCCTAAAGTTATATATCAAAACAATTTTGGAGAGAATGCACAAGAAAGAGCTTTAGGCCTTAATTAAAAACGCCAAAAACTTTGTCTTGAGGATTATTCAATAATATTCACTTCGCCTCCAGCGAACAGTTGTTAATTATTCCCATGAGACCGACCCTACCGGGTCTGATAAGTCCCTTAATGGGGATTCAGTCTTAGCCGGCTGTTAGGCGCTAATTATCAGTGCTGTGGTGAACGCGTTTCTCCGCCCGAGGGAAGATTTGAGATATCGTGGAGGGGTTTTCCAGGGGTCTGGTCCTCTTACTAGTGCCAGACCCCTTGCGGATTTCTCACCAAGGCATCAAACTTTCCCGCGGGCGAAGGAACGCCCGTCCCGAAAGGGCTGATAATGAGGGCCAGCTCGCTAGCTATTTCAGTCTCAATATGATCCTTTTACCTCTTACATGACTGTCCTCCATCAATAGAAGTTCAGTTTGACCACATAAATTCGTCAAGTCTCTTTTGTCCGACAGAGTTACCTCTGAATTTAAATGCTTTACCTCCATTAAAAGCAATTAGTCGCATGTTGTTTTGGAATATGACAATATAAATGTCCGCAAATGAACGATCTACCGGTGGAAAATCAAGGCAATTTACAGCTCGTTGTGTGACGATGTACTGCGAGCACATACGCCAAAAACAATCCAGTTAAAAATATATTTTCTCTTCTCACCTTTAATCTCATCTATTTGCATCCATAGAGCTCGACTCGTAGACAAATCTGGCTGTACCAGTCAGTTGGGACAAGTCGTACGTATCGACCACTAAACGGTGTTCGGAGGGCGTTGTACTGCACGGAGTTTGCGTCCCAATTTCCCCTCAAGATCTGTTGAAAAGTCAGTATACGATCATGAGGCTAGGAAACTGCAATGCCTGCCAAAAGTCTAGGCAAGTTTTAATTATTTTTGAATCTTTACTCTATCTGACATTTTTCCATTCATCTCCCCCTCTCCCTTATTTCAAAGTTGTCTGGTACTGGAGATGGTTTCTAAAAATATTAAGCACCAGGCAACATTATTTGGGGGGAAAAGAGGGGGGGGGGCAGGCTCAAGAAACTTATAAAACACGAATTATAAAATTTCTGTTTATATGTTGAGTAGAAGGCTGTAGACCACCTACTAAGGCGAGGCGTGCCATCTTTTGCCACTCTTTAAAGTGATATCTGATTATAATATCCTGTTTGAGAGCTTGGCTTATCTATCCTGCTGCTCAGGTGTAGCACGAACGGAAAAGCTTGGTTAAAATCTCAAGTTCGATTTACGACTTTATTTAATGTTGAGGTCTAGGGGATAGAGAACTTTTCCATTGAGTGCCGCCAAAACCAAAATAACGTTACCAGAAAGGCCAGTCAGGGCAAAGAATGCGTCACAGAACAGCCCAGTAAAAACAAGCAAACTGATAGAAGCGGAGGAAAACGTGAATGACACAAGTCGCGATTGGCTTTAGTTTTGCATCGAATTAAAGAGAGTGGCGCGACTTTTTGGGACCAATCACAGACCTCGATTAAGCATTACCAAAGCAATCCTGGGTTTCTTTCCACATTTAAATGCAATTTCTACTCAGAACCCGTAGCGTCTTGCGCACTTAAAGGATACCATAATTTACGGCGTGCATGGCAGTCATCAAAACCATAGGTACTCAGTAAACAAACACGTTTTGTTAAGTAGTATACCCTATTTAAAGAATTATTAAAACGAACTCAATCAACTCCTCGATCATTCAAATTATGCATGATACACCACTGACCTGTGTGTTTAAGACCCAACGGCGGCCATCGTCACTACTTTGAACTTTGTACCCTTTTACCCAGGCTTTCGTGAAAAGACTTGCTATGCCTTGTGTTGCAACTGCTGTAATCTTGTGTCTTGAGCCTAAGTCAATCTGTGAAGTGGAATCCAAAATAAGGAGAACAGTAATTACTGCAGCAGCAACTGTCAAGTGACCAAAAGTTCACTGTCTTTTCGTGACACAAAGCACGTGAAGACAACTCATGAACAGATCTTCCTGGGTTTTACATTGGACAGCCACAGTTAAGAGTGAGATTTGGCTTTGCCATTAAAATAAGGGTGGAAAGGTAGGTTGGATGATTCAAGAATTATTTCATGGTGTACGGACATGACTCCCCACTGCTGGTGCACAAAGTCTTACACTTTCCACTGCAGTTAACTTAACACACTGACTGAGACATAAGCCTTTCTGATGAAAGGTAAGATTTAAATTGGTGCACGTGAGTCGGACCGGTACACGAACGACAATCCACGCGCAGGAAGGCCTTCCAGCGCGCGAGTTACTCGTGTTCTCGCCAACTTCCTGCTAGTGACGAGAGCTAAAGGAAAATGTACCTCCCCGCACCAGCGCAATATCCCCGAATGATTCATTCATGAAGGGGGGAGTATGCGTCTTCCCAGATTATAGCTTGGTATTCTCTGATGATCAGGTTCTCAAGTGCTACTTGTGAGTCGGAGGGTGATCTTAAAATGCTTTTCAAGATACTGACTCCACAGGTAGAATAAGTTCCTGTTAAACTAATGGACGTTTCTAGCATTATGAAGAAACTAGACGCATATTTGCGTTCACTCGGGCTTTCTGTTGGAAGGAATCTTTGTTTTTTCCCTATGTGCTTACATGTGCCTAAGTTTTTTTGTGCAATTATTGGTTTATCCTATAACTGTTTCCTGTCTGATTTTGCACCGCGAAAGCTTCTCTTCGTCCGCCATTACACCATGTCATGTGCTCGTTAGTTAAAACGTCACACATGCGTCAGAGTCAAAAGGTTGTGCATACGTGATGAGAACTTGACTGTGTTTTGCGTCTTAAGACGGAAACTAATAACGAAGCCCAAGTTATAACTCGGGCATTCCACAGGCAGCCCAAGTAACGATTTTTTGTCTTCGAACCTAACACAGACTTTATTTGTATTCATTCCACTTAAAAGACGATTTTTGATATTAAACTGGTAGATGGCAACTTTTAGTTTGTTAAGAAAAATAAATATGATAACGTACCTGTAAATATTCTCCACTTCTACTTCGAGCAGCGCACCAGGCACCATTCCCCTTGGATCCCGCGGTCAGATGTAACCGAGCCTGGTGTGGCTCGTGGTATATCTTGTAAGAACTTGCGCGCAATTGTGAGTCGCGTATTTGACTTTTCTCGATACCCACAGAGACAAAACAGCCTGTGAATAAAGCAATTTATTAGAAAACAGTGTATTACTTGGTTTGTTCTTTATCACGTGGCAACTCCAATGATTTCATAGTGTTTCTACGAGTCCAGCATCTTTAAAAAGTTGTTGGGTTCTTAAGTTTCATCCAATTGAAGCGATATCGGCTTTCTTAAAACCACTATGTTTAATTTTAAAGGATTACTGCAAGCATTTGAGGCATAGGGGTTTGAAGAGAGTCCTACCCTTATTGCCGCCACAGTTGTACAGCTGATTAAGCTGTTGTTTATCCACAACTGATAGACCTCTCTGTTGACCCAAAACTACATGGGCTCCAGCGCGTGACTCTATAGTGTTCCTCCCATTACGGCTCCAGCTCCCCCGTGGTACGTGCATGACTGACGTTACGTCATAAGGTGCACCCAGTCGATCCACCTGACCATGGCTGTACTTCCTGAAGTTTCGTTCAAAACCTGATGGAAATTTTACCCAGCCATAAAAATATCAAAACCCTAACTTCATTCATTGGTTTTTGACATAATGCGTAGTAAGGTTGAACAGTGCTTTACATGAAATTACCTTTACTTAGATAACAAACTAATCCTGACTTATGAATCAAGGGGGTAACTTATTAACAACTAAATTTATAGTATAGAGAATTTGGATTGAATGTCGTAAAACCAAAACCAAAGTAAACACAAAAGCCAATCAGAGTAAAGGAAAATATTACGACGAGCCAATAGGAGAGGAGAACCTCGGGTGAAAATAAGTAAAAACCAGCAGATTGACTGAAGCGTGGGAAAACACTTGTGACCAAGTCGCAAGTGGCTAAATTCTTGAATCTGATTGATCGAGTAAGAAGCGTGAGTTTTCTGGACCAATTACAGAGCAAAGTGAAACAGAGGCAAAGCAATCCCGATTATTAGGGCTTAACCAATCTTGTTCCCAGAGTCTTTCTCTTTTCCCGTCCATGAAGGAATGAAAAGAGAGCCTTGGAGCGAGTTGAAGCTTACCAGGTTTGATGTTCTTTGAATACACAATGACATAAGCATCTCTGTCGGGTCGTGAATTTGTATGAAAGAAGCCCACAGTATGCATCAGCTCATGTAGCACAATCCCTTCTTTCTCACAGTCAGATCCGATAGAAACAACTTGTCCTTTCATATCCATCGTTCGACCGATGCAGGAATAGCAGCTGTCAAGGAAACAAACAAAAAAAAAACCAAGGGGAAGCCTTGTGTACAATTTTAGCCACTAATCAAAACTACAACAAAATTCCTGGACGTGATTGATTGTCACCAGCCCGATTTGAGCAATAAGAGGACGGTGCACGCGTTATGCTTTTAAATTGGACATTCAAAAATGACAGCAGAAAATGTTTCTTAGTGGACTCACCCGTCCCCTCGTATGAACCTGACAAAGTAGGGTTCGTTTGTTCTGAGTTTGAAACGTATACATGAGAGGCTTTCCATTTTCCTCATGGCCTTGCTTATGGCCAACCTGGCTAAAGCAGCTATCGAAATAAAATTAAAAAAAAAAAGAAGTAAAAGTTTTTGGATTGTCTTGATATCTGAAGCAATGTCATTGTTCAGGATAATACTGGGCCATTATCGAAAGTAGTGATGTCCCACGAGTTGTATGAAGAAGAAAAGGGAGTAGATTTCTTTAAAAAATCACGGATACGACCATTACCAGGAGTACTGAAAAATATTTCCTTTACAGAAACCCAGGTAGCCAGACAGCTTTGATACGCGGTTTCATTCGAGTTTGACCCGTTCCCTGTGTTTTTACTGTCCAAAGACCTAAACACATGCGAGGGTGATACATTATTTACAAAGTTGCGCGTTAATTTCAGCAAAGGAAGCCAGGCAGAACAACTAAAAGCTAACCTGGTTTGATACTTTTACTGAAATAAACAACGAGAACATTGGAAAATTATACACCTTCGGGCGGGGTTTCCCCCGGTATCGAATTGGGGTTACCCGGAAAGAGTCGACGTATGTAACGTTTTCAACCGAGAAATTCTAACAAAAATCTGTTCAGTTTAATCACTACAAGGGGTTACCCTTAGCAATAATTCATTCCGCGTATGAAGGCATGCCCGGCCTGGGTCACGTACGGACGCGCGCCTTGCAGGAGGAGTTTACATACTCAGTCCTGAGTTCATAACATATGGTACAGTCCCTCCGGGCCATACGTGAATTTTCTTGTTGACGGAAGCGCGACCATTCCCTTCCTCCAGCATGATATCTCCCTCCAACAAGTCTGAAAAAAAATTAAGAAAGACTTAGTAAGCTTCAAACGGTTATTTCATCCGATCTATTTTTTAAGTCCCTGAAGAATACGACACCCAATACACGAGGTACAACCCTAGTTTTCTAGGTTGCAACTCTCGATCAAAGCGCTAAAATAAACTTTTGATTTTTGAGCCGGCGACAAAATTTACCATAACTGTTTCAAGTGAATATGGAAGCGACCTTCGCAGTTATGAACACTTCTTAGCTAACAAGGCAACTGGAAGCTGGTCATTATGTTGGTTCCAAATAAACCCGTAAGGTAGTAATAAAGGGCCTGTAAATATATGAAAATCATGTATGTGAACTGCGGATAAAGAAGTAAATATGAAAGTGATCTTTGCAGTAATGAACGAAATAATGGCTGAAGATCGCTTACATATTCATTCCTACATCCGCAGTTCATATCTATGATTTTCATATATTTACAGTCATTTATGACTATTTCAGCCACCAACCGATCGGATGCTGAAATTAAAGGAAAAAGTTTGTTTTTAGAGATGTTCATACTTTCTCAAGGCACGAACGCAAGTCTTACAATTCAGTTCCTTTCTTTCAGTGTTATTGTTGTTTTCTTTTATTTTAAGCCCTGTAGCCAGTAGCAACGTAACATGGTAGAAACATCCAGTCTGTATTTGCTCACGTATTTAGACTGTTTTTTCACCTGAACTTTGATAGGAACGATTAAAAATGTCCAGCAATTATCAATATCACGTAGCCTCTCATTTTTTTTTTTAAGGATTTATGGCCATAAAACCAAGCAGAAAAAGCTCGGTCTGTAACTTATAGGACGGCCTCGAACTCGTTTAGTAAGGTGTGTATGTAAGAAAATTTTGCCAGAATTTAAATTACTTGAAATGGAGTAAACGTCAATTTATTCTCCTCTTTGGTTCAGGTCTACATTTTATTATTCTTAGTATTGTTAATTTTAAATTCTACCACAAGTCAATTTTGGACAAATAATGACAGTTCTGAACTCATGAGATGATATCTCTAGTGTGACGAACCGTTGTCAAATGGTCCGACTCCCAACACTTTGCAGGAATAATACTGCGCATGTGCAGGAAATTTACAATCAGTTACAGAATATCAATAGTTAAACGCGGCACTGACAACCAGAATGAAACTGAAACTGGAGCATCAGCGACTCAGTTTTGTTTTATATTACACCCATGTTAGAACTAAATCAAAATCGGTTTTTTTTTTCTCTGCATGCATGACTGTTTTTTTTTTGGTCATTAGACACTTTAAAGATTTCAGTTGAGAACACCAAATCATATTCACTCGAAATGAAACTGTGATTCTCTGAATTGAAAGGGTTTCATGGCGCTTCTTTGGTTCGATTTAAACTACATGTGCTCTTGTGCAGGTAATTAGAGAGTATTAACTAATGAAAAGCTATCCAGAATTACACCCTCTTTAGTTTTGAAAATATTTATCGACGTTTTCATCGCGATCAATCTCAGGACCTATCTCCAGTGGTAGAAGGTGTTGTCGGAGGGTTTCAAATTCACACCTCAGTTTCACGCACATAAAATATTTCATACCCGGTCGGGACATCCACAGTGTGCTTGTTGCAGAATTTTTCGAGGATCTTGCTTCGTTTGACTTAATTTCCGCTGCTGAGTCCGAAATTGAGTTTGTCGAACATGTTATGAATAATAAAACAGACACTGCAAAGTAAATCAGTGTCTTCGACTGAAGGTATTCATACGCCATGTTTGAAACCAATCGGACTATGTTTTCAACGTTTCAACAGATTTGTTTTGCCAGATATAAATGATACATCAATTGTAAACGGCTTTATACCGTTTCTTTGATTGCCGTTGGCGTTTATTTTGATTTTAAAGAATGCGCTAGTGTTTTACCTCAGCTGTTTAAATGACACTCTGTTTCTTGGCACGTTGGAAGGTAAAATTGTCAAGACCATGTATAATCAGCTTTTCATGTGTAGAAAATCCACATCAGAAGAAAAGATCTACATATAAAGTAACCAATTAATCTTGGGGTCACATGGAGACAATCCTGCCAAAAATCACTCATTAAAACACGGAGAAACAACGGCGACATCGAACGAATTTATCGAATTTAAAATGTCCTATAATTTTTGCCAGCGATCTCTTTTCTAGGAAAAGTTTTAGTTTGAGCAAGGGCGTTGATAACCTTCAATACTAAATTGGCAGAGTGACATTTTAATGATTTTAACAATTGACGGGTAGTAATTTAATCTGAGCTATCAGAGCTGGTTCTCTGCAAGAATAAAAACTGAAAAACGCACAGAAGTAACTATGTAAATAATCCGCCTAGCTGGAGTTAAAAAAAAGGGCACGAAGAGAGTGAAGTGAATTTCAGTGCGAAGCGCGATCGTTGGAATCAGCGATTTAAAATTCATTGGACCTCATGCTCGAATTAAACTTTCTTTTCTCTTTCTAGTCTAGGAGCAGAGTCCCTAATGACCTTACAAGAATTCATAGATGAAGATTTACAAAGGGGCCTGCGTGGCAAACGTCCAAAGAGGAATTCTCTTATTCCTCTTCAGAAGTCAGCCACGCGGGCTCCTTTGTGAATCTTCTTCTATGCATGTAAGATCATGTTTTAAGAATTATGAGCTTCTCACAATATTTCCCTGTGGAAATATTACTTCAAAAGCAAACCCGTCTTCTAATCTATGGTATACTGCGCCTCTAGTGGACTTCAACGTCAAATGGCAACCATATTCTTGACTTAAAAATCTGAAATTCTTCACACTACTTTCGTTTTTTTCCACACATCTCTATACAGTATGTAGTATTGAATAACTTTTCTACTCACAGGCCCAGATCGTTGGCCCAAGCCTTCATACATACCACGCTGCTGACTCAAGGTGGTGCTTCACGTAGGCGCAAATGGGCCCTGAGCAGATCAAGCGGGATTAGGGGACACTTCATCATCCTCTCTCCATGAAGGACCCGGTGTTGGATTTTTGTAGATTCCATATCTCAGCTCGGGCCAGTTATTTTCTTCGTCGTCCGAATCATTTGAATCTCCTTCATCCTGTAAAGTAATCACCGAAAAAGATAACACTGATAACATCAGCCTGTGTAATCTATCGAATAGAGCGCTTTTTGATTGAATGTCATAAAACCAAAACCAAAGTAATTGCAACGGCCAATCAAAAGGGAGAAAAATACCTTTAAGGGCCTATGAGAACTCAAAGTAAAAACAACCAGGATCAATATCAGTATCTGGGCAACTGCCCACCTACCCCTCCCCTAACCCAACATTAACCTTCACTTGTTGTCAATTGACTGTTGTTGAGTTAGGGGAGGGGTAGGTGGGCAGTTGCCCAGATACTGATATTGATCCAACAACCACACTGCCTAAAGCGCGGGAAAACGCGGGCGACCAAGTCATGATTGGTTTTAGTTTTGTGCCTGATTAGTTTAGAGAGTGGCGCGAATCCTCTGGACTAATCACCGAGCGAAGTAAAGTAAAAGCAGAGCAATCTCGGACTATTTTCGATACACAGTCGCTCTAAAAAACTGCTCTATCTTCACTCGCGCACGATTGGTTTAAGCCTGTCATATGACCAAGTTTGAATTGGGGACCATAAAGATATTAGCCTCGATTTATCGACGATATTCATCAGTTCCAATGAGAGAACTGCTCTGCTTTTGTTGATTTGTAGTCTGATTCTGTGCTATCTTTTACTTTCATTCATAAAAAAAGTTGAAAAATGTGGTAAGGCGTACAGTTTCGCCTGCTTTAAAGTGTCTTAAAATGAAGACAAAAAAAGTCTTCATAGAGACCCACAATACTCCATGCTACTCCCAAAATTTGAAGCAAAATTTCACGGAATAAAAAAAATGTTAATTATTTTTTTCTCAAATATCAAGTTAAGGGAATTCTAATATCAACATATACGTTTTGTTCTATTGTACATTTCATTTCGTCTATTTCACAGAAAAAGAAACCCTTTTAACCCATGCAAGATGCAGATTCCTTTGTCGTTGTTATTGTCGTTGAGGAAAAAGTGTTGCCTCATGGAAACATAAATATACATTAGATGCTACTAACCTTTCCTTTGTTTTTCCACCAGTTGTAAACAACAACAGTAGCACCCACAACACCTGTTGCAACCAAACAACCAAGCGCGAAATTCAAAGGTTTCATTTTGGCGTGAGTTGCGCTCGTTACAAAACGAAGAACAAACGCCTTTGCACAGTCACAGCAAAGATCAGTAGAATTAAATATTAATTGAAATCTTTTCAGCGACGTTATTGGGATATTGTTCTTCTTCCAAAAGCTAATTTTTCTCCTGCTTCGTTTTTGGCGTCATCATTACGTGAAATATCTTCTATGACGAGACAGGGCTTAAGATGATTCTTTGATCTTTACTGTGCACGCGCTTAAGATGTTGATTAAGTTGACACAACGACAAAACGAGCGCGCATGCTTGTAACGCGCGCGAAAATTTACGCGCGTAAAGGAATAGGAATTACAATATTTCCATAGTAACATTCTAGGCGCGATATGGCGGTATTTTTAAAATTACTATTGTTTGTTTCATGTCGCGGGGATAAGCCCTAGCCTAAACAGATAAGGGCTGGGTTGTTTGTTCAAAGCTGGGTTTAGATAACCCAGGGTTAGTGTGAAATATGATTTCAGATCTGAAGGCTTTAAAAGAAGATTCAGTATAATACTTTTTGTCGACAATTTGATAATCAAGTGCTCCATTTAGAATAGAGAATATGATCTAAAAAAGGCCGCGCGAACAGAGGAGTAAAGAAACCCAGATTAAAATTTAACCCTGGGTTAGCGCTAATCGGCCTTCGAACAACTGGACCAAGGTTCCCAGTTTAAAGAAAGTTTCTTTCGAACCTGCTCTGCAACATATCTTTCCCAACAAAAAAAATATATGTTTTGGCCGCAGGTGTGAATTTAAGTATTGAAGTGGAGCGTTCGTAACATG